AGCGAAATCAACCATGTTGCCAAAGCACAAAGTCAGACAACTCCGACGACGAGGACGACTCCTCTGTTGGATCCCATACAACATGAAATGGAACAAGAAAATGGCTGCCGTTGACAAGGCGCTTGCCGAAATCGACTTCAATCATTCGGATGGAGAGATCTCCGTCTAAGGATTAGGCCAGGATGATTATTCAACGGAACCATGTTCCACTTTCTCATACCTAAGTGATGAAGAAATCTCACTAAAGAGTAAACAAGAATTGTTTGCAAACTAACGAAGTCTACGGCAAATAGATAATTGCCTACTAGCAACTACTCAACTAAACACTGAACGATCGGTTCAGCATCGTTAACTTTCGTCCATGGCCAATCAAACTCATTCAACGTCGCAAGACAAAGGACCTCAGGGACACACCTATCTGTCTATATATATAGACGAAGAGAAAGGAGAACAAAAACCTCTCTGTATCACCACTGTTTTGCTTAGCTGGATACAGGAGCGCCGGCCCAACTTTAATTACTCAAGACTCATTGCTAGGAGTACTCATGAAGAAGCCATGGGGGCGTCCACAAAACATTGAACGGACTGCTTCTATGAAGGAATCGAAAACCCGCACGAAGTGAAAGGGCACAATCGCGATTACTGAGTTCCAAGATGATAAAATTATCAAATGGAATTAACACGTCACCAAGAACTTAGGGGCATATGACATGATCATAGATCAAGACACCCTCTTAGACCTAAGAATCAAGTTCTATTTCACTACCCGATGTATTGGAGTTGGTAATCAGCGCTATTTCCCTGTCGAAAGATGTGCGATACCCTAGATAGATATAGGAGAACTTTCTTCTCATTCCCGATTCCTTGCAAGCTTGTTCTATATCTGACAGTGCAGATCTCCTCAAGAAGATTCTTGATGCGAAATACGAACAGACTGACTTTTAAGGCAGATGTGCCAGAGTCAAAACCAGTTAAATAAGGAAAACGCAAAGAAACTGCCTCATGCCTTGTTTATATCTCAAGTGCTTCGGCCCAGTCGAGGATACTGGGGGAGAGTTGCGAATGGACGACTACGAGGTAGAACATCGTCCCGACGCTAAATCCTATATACTAGGGCTCACCCTACTCCAAGGGTCCATACCAACACTCTTAAAGAAGGAGGTTGAACGTCTCTGCGAGGCAGAAGTACTAAAGAAGGTGAATCGCTCCGAGTGGAACGGCACCAACCTTATCATTCCCAAGAAAAGGGGATTCGTACGATTCATCTCTGAATTTCGGGAACCGAACAAAAGGATAAAAGCGGAAAGCATAATCCTATCCCAAAAATACAGAACATGCCCTTGAACCTAATGGATTCAAGTGCGCTACTAGTCTATACCTGAACATGGGACACTAACACATCGAGCTGTCACCTCACTCGAAGCAAACTCTGTACCATCGTACTCCCTTGGGAAAAGCACGAGTACCAGAGGTTACCATGGGCCCATGTAATAGTCCGCGACATCTCCAAAGGAAGATGAAAGCAAGCAAGCATGACTTTTAGAAAATGTCCGTGCCAACATTGATGATCAACTCATCCTAACTGACGTCGATCTGGAAGATCGCGTTGAATAGTTAGACGACCTTTTCCAAAGACTTCAAGAAGTCGGGGTGAAAATCAACACTACCAAAGGCCTTTCGCAAAAGGAAGACCTGGAGTATCTAGACAGTTGAACTACTCGAGAAGGAATCCAACCCTTAACTAAAAAGATAATAGGTGTGATCCAGCTATCGCTATTCCAACCAACAGGAAGGAACTTCGTAGATTCATTGACCCAATGAACTACCAAGGGGCTGCTCCAGGACAGAAGACGGAGTAACCACCGTCCTGAAAAAAGACGTGGTTTACCCAGTATCCATGACCGGTTTGCATGGACAGAGAACGTGAGTCCCGTGCAAAGGTCGAGAAGACTCTCCGGATGAATATGGACTTCGACGCAATTTCACGCGCGTTAATCGTGACAAAACTCACTACATCCGTTTCAAAGCAAACCGGAAAAACAATAAGGAACGTCGCCAATGACTTATCCAGAAAAAACCCGAATAAGGAGAACACGACCGTGCCCTCATCAACAACAATGTCAACGATACATGTTGATTCATCAGTATCAAAACCGTTATTACGGTCAGCCAACGCACAAGTCCTTACCACACAGACCGAACAATAACACATGGCACTATACGGCTCCGACTGAACTACCGCCAATGGCCGGACCAGTCTACCAGACTTGGGAACAATAAGGTATTTACACCCATAAACCAGCCTGATCCCCTTGTAGGATTGCCATCGTGCGACGCACATGTCTACATCCAATCTCCGGAGAGTGCCCCGCACTTTAATTCATATGTTCTCCTTGTCCGACTGATGTCGTGCCTTCCGTGACTCTTGTCAGGGGGCGAATGCAATACACGGCTCTTAGCCTTATTCGCGACTCGATCCTAGATAGGGTTTGAGTTCGACTCATGACTGAGTCTCTCGTGAATAGTCATCGAGACAGGGTTCTCAATGACCGCTCTAGTCATACTAGGTTGATGATGAAACATCGCTCTAGATATTTAGCCAGCGTGGAGTACTTCCACGCTACTAGATAAATGCTAGACGAATCTTCCACGCGTTCCATTTTTGGATCGTGGAATGAGTAGGATTGCTACCGCAACCTACTCTATCACACTCTACAGTCTCCCGCGGGAGTTCAGATCTACGATCCTTTGATTGTGGATCTCTCTCGTTGATTAGTTTTTCATAGCTTTCTAATCCTCTCATAACTTTCATTCTCTCAAACTCAAAACACTCGAAAGATCTTTACACTAGCTTTTAGCGTAGTGCACATAGCCTCCCCCACACATGAAGCACCACCGAGGAGACAGATGCTTTCTTGAATAAGCAAACACCTGTCGGCTGTGTCGGCAAAAGATTTATAGCCACTTGCTCAAGAGACCCACACCAGTTGCATGTCAGCTGCATAAAGCACTCATTGGCCAAGATTGACCTTGGTGTTGGTTCCTGTTCCTGTTGCTGTTGTTGCGCTTCGATTCCTTCACTTACTTGTGGATATTGGGAGTTTAGAGTACATGTAAGTAGATTGTTGATATGATTGTATGATTGTTGATGTAGCCTTCCATCCCTGCATTGATCTGATCAGAGTGGTGGCTTGTTGTTTGACTGAGCGTGGAGAGATACTGAGAGTGGCTGGTTAATGCCAGTGGATATTGGATACTATTTTAAGCTACTGAGTACAAGTGTACCAGCATGCTACTACCGGTACCACCACAACTATATGGGTGAAGCGTTGGATCACTCTATTAATAATAGCAAGAGTGACCGGCAGCAGTCTGGACATTGGCTGGCTGACAATCGTGTTGACTTGATCAGCGACACATCTAGGATACCAATACCATACCGTACTATCAAGCTGACCGTCTCCGAGTCAGAAATAAAAGCTATCCTCATTGAAACTGTATGGACCATGGGATGGCAGTCAGTTCTCGACATATGACAGTCAAGTTGGCCAATTTTGAAGAGCCATGGTATGTCTCTGGTTTTCTGCAGTATCAGAACGGAAGAGAAAACCATATCAATTTTTACTTTCTAATCTCTTACTACAGACGTCTGAGGAAGAACAATTGTCAACAAGCCATGAAATACAGCAATCAACCATGCAGAGGAGACCACATAACAACTCACACGCACTGGTGAAAAGTGAATCATCTTGTTGGATTCATTCCTCCCTTGAATTTTCTAGTTTTTTGGTGCTGATTCCTGTGTAAGAAGACCAGTACCAGTTTCCCTGATGCTGAGAACGATTTTGGCATTATGCACAAGTCCTAGGTCAACTTGGTTCTCCTTCGTATGAAATTTAATTGCGTGACAAAATCGGTACTTGTTGGCAATCTTAGTAATAGCGGTAGTAGTCAGTTGATAGCTAGCATTTGGTTGTTGTTTCTGTTAGTTGATCGTATCGACGCGAACAGCCGCTATCGGTATCGATGACCTTGTTGTTCGTTGCAGGAGTAGTATGCATAGTAAGTTGTAGCAGCAGTGGTACCGTAGCCGTTGTGGTGGCATCGTTCCTGGTTCCTTGCCTGGTTGTGCTTGTCGATGGACAAATCACAATGGCAGTGGTTGCTTACTGGCTGTAGCCGAAGCAGTAGTGAGTGCTCGTGGATTCCAAGAACATATGATGTACACCAAAGTCTCTTTTATTGCACTGTTTGAACTTTTGCTGGATTGAATGATTTTGTTGGGAGAGATGCATGCTGCTGTGATGAATACTGAGTGGAGGAAGCAGTGTTTGTTGTGGAATAATGCACACCTTCTCTTCTAGATATTCAAATCCAACGGCCATATTGTTGTCCATATACATAGTAGGCCATTTTGTACTCCAGTTGGTATTCCTACAAGGCCTACCAGGTTTGGCAATACAGGGCACTGTACTCTATCTCTGTTGTGATCATCAGTAATTCCATGCTCGATTAAAGTAGGCAGCTCCGAGTAGACAGCTCCTGATGGCCAAAGATATGACAGCACCAGCATTGACGCATGGCACAAGCTTTGACACACAGCACCAGCTTTGACTACAGTACTGACATGGATGGCAGAAAATTCAAATAAGGAAGATAAGATACCAACCAGTTGGTATGAAATGAGCACATCCTAGCTACCGGATACTCCAGAGTGGATAGTAGACTAGCTAGCTAGATTTGGCCCTGCTGTACCGTGGGCTACAATGGGCTACAATGTACTGGTAAAACTGTCTCAATTTCTTGCCCTTGATCCCACAGAACCTAGTCCTGAATTTCGACTGTTCTTTGCTTAAGCCTGGCCCCGGCTGGCTTCCGTAGATAATTTCCCTACTCTAAAACCCCCCTATCTAATTGGCATCAAACTGCTTTCCTTTTCTAAAGCTGCGAAGCTGTAATGGGCACAGAGGCTGAGATCTCACCCACTTTCCGCACCATGGACGAATAACTCTGCGTCCAGAAGCATCTCTGTCGTGCCTCAAAGTGTTTCTCTCTTTCCCACAATCACAACGCCTCGAATTGGAAGATGTTTCTTTAGAAGAGCTTACAAGAGACTGTAGCTCCGAGACCCCACCGATACTATAGATAGCAACAACAAGACAACGACGACACGATGTTCAAACTAAAGAAAGGCAAAAAGGACAAGGGCGAAGAAGGCGATGACATTAACGAACGCTTGGGTGGCAACAAAAAGGATCGCAACAAGGCATCCCGTCAAGCCGTGGATCCAGCCGCTCGACCATCGTACAAAGTCTATGACAAGTCCAAACAGGCAGAAGTTGATATGGACGGAGATTTCATGATTGACGAAAATGGCGAAATGATCATTGTGGGTGGAGGTGGAGGAGGAGGAGAAGAAGACGAAGAACATTTGGCCGCCATTCAAGAACAAGGTGATGATGCCGAAGAAGAACATCAACCCGATGGTGATGGAGCCAAAGGAGGTGGTCAAGAAGGAGGAGGAGAAGGAGCAAAAGACGACGAGGACGAAGAAGAAGATCGAGTCGAATACGATCGATTCAATCGATTCCGTCACGACGACAGTCCAGCTGCCAACGAAGCCAAGGCCAATCTGATTTTGCAGAGTGCGGGAACCCAACGATTGAATCGCATTCTACGCAATACGGCCATTCCCGATGGTGCCACAGCGGCGGGACGCAATTTCTTGGGCACCACCGAAACCAAAGTCCATCGAGTGGAACGAGTCAGCAATCCACACAATCTGAACAGTGTCGCCAAATTTGTAGAACGCATTGTGTGTCCTCCACTCAAGGTCGATGCGCACAGTATTGGGGGAGAGCACGATTCCTATCCCGAACACAAAATGATTCAAGAAACACTCCTCTGTTTCAAATTGCACGCATTTGAGACGAGTGGATCCACCGAAACGGTTCACATGGGATCCCTGGAACGACCCGCCGAATATGCCAAACACAAGCGTGGATTGGGATTCTTTGGAGTGGGAGGTGCCGGAAAGGGAACCAATCGCAACAAATTACGCTATGCACTCATTGTCCGATCTACCAATGCGCCACTCATGGAAGAACGCAAACGAGAACAGACACAAAAACAGAATGAAGCGCTGAGAAAAGAAACCATGGAGGCAGATGCCAATCGAGATCGTGAGGCCGAAAAGGATGATATTGGATACGATACCATGTACTCGGCCGATGCGGCACTGGGACCGGGTCCGGAAAATCGTCATGGCAGTATGAGTCACATGAATTCCAGCATGCCAGAAATGGGAGCTGGAGGTGGAGCTGCAACCAACAATAACAACAACAACAACGAAATGGATGGGAGTTTGGGAGATAATACCGATTATTCCGATGGGGGCGGCGACGATGGTGACGACGAAATCAACCCAAATCTATTGCGGAATCCCATGATTCATGGTGGGAGTACCAAAGGCGGTGTGGGTGCCAAGGGTGTGGGATTTGCACCCGACACCAATCTAAGTGGAATGGATGAATTTGATTTTGAAATATCCTCCTTTCCCGTGCTGGTTTGCATGACGTTGTACAGTGACGGAACCAACCCCGATGTGCGCAAACTGGTGCCACTCAGTCAACTGGTCAGCATTCAGGATCTACAGACCACTGTCTTGCAGTTGGGATTTCTCAATGGTGATTCGGTTCGTTTGGATTTTGGAGAACAAAAGGAGAAAAAGGGAACGCACGGGACCACCGTCGCCAAGGAACAACCCTTGGACGAGGCACAAGCCATTGCTGGATCCATGCAGAAAGAACGGTTCATTTGGTCACTGCTGCAAATTCATGCCATGCTCTGTGTCACTGTGGTGGACGCGTACACATTGAGAATGGAGACACAGAATGCGCAAGCAGCAACGAGCAAAAAGAATGCGGCAGCGCTTGCCACCCTGCCACCTCTGAACGTCCGAAATGTCGACAAGGCGGAACTGCAATATGTGGCTACTGTCAATGGCTTTTTGAATCAATCACCAACGGTTCGTGCCTTGTTGGCTCGACAAAAACTGTTAGCGGAAGACATGCGTCGAGATGCCAGCGACGTTGGTGCCGGTGTGGGCTCATCACTGTTGACGTCCAAATCGACGCCGCTGATTGACGATGGAATCACCAGCAGTAAGAGCAAAATATCCGACGATGCCAGTGAATCCAAACGAAAGGAGGCTATTGAAGACATGGATAACTTGGCCTATGACTTGATGATGGGTAACTTCACCACACGAGTGGCCATTTTTCATTCCGATGAAGAAAGGAAGGATGCCGAAGCAGTGCTGAACTCTACCCAGTGGACCTCTGGCCTCAATAAAGATGACACTGCAGCAGCTTCTGCGGCTGAGCGACTGGGGACAGCCTTGCAGCGGAGGATGCGTGATTTGGAAGCAGAGACATGCCGTCGTTTGATTGCCTGGGAAGATGAGAAACACTCGTCTGCATCTAGCAATGCACACGCATCCAAGGCAGCAAATCGTGATTCCGTGGATGCGCTGTATTTGGAGTCACTGTTCAACGCACTGGACGGCCTGGACAAGGAGCTGCAGGACATGGAGAGTTGGTTAGGTGAGCGAGCTGCAGCCATCAAGCCCATGACAGATGATTGCCGTGATATTGAGGAAGAAAACCGACAGCTGGAACAACAGTGGAAATCATATGATATGCTGGGAGGAGAGATGAGGCGCCTTTTGAAGGGGTTGGAAATTCAAGATGAACTGGATCGAGTGTTGAAGAATCCAGCATCGGCATTGGTGTATGACAAGGAAGGTAGAATTGATTTCAATGAGAGTCAAGATGGTGTGGACAACGTCCATGAAGCTGGTCGGTCATTGCAAGATGCCATGTTGCATGTGCAGAAGTCAGGTGGTCTCCATTTGAAAGCTGTCATTGAACGTTCTGATGCTCTCGAAAAGACGGCAGCCTCTTTCTGCACAGTCCTTGCACAGATTATTGTGACTATCATGGAACAGTTCAAAATAGATGTGGTTGCGACCAGCGACTATGGCAAGGTGTCGAAAAGTGGTAAGTTTTGTCCCGCCAAATTTTCTTGCGTCGCACTGCCAACAGCAGCTCAGAAGCCTTTTCTGTTCCCTTCATGCTTGCACGCTTCTTCAGATACTCATACCATGATTGCCAAGAAGGTCCGCGACACTCAACGCAAGTTTCAGTCATCACTGCTGGGCTACATCAAGTTGATTGAGATCTTGGCAGAGTTGAGCCCTGAGCTCTTGCCAGCTGTTCGAGACGCTTATTCTGAGATGGTTGCAGAGGGAATCATGATGAAGAAGCGAATGAAAGGATATTTCCAGGCACTACCAGGCAAGAATTCTTCTTACATGAAGAACGTCTCTCGAGATTTGAAAGAGTACACCCCAAGATTCAAGAGTGATGCAGAGGAGAAGGAGGGCGAGGGGAAGGTGGAACCCGCTGTTCAAGAGGGAACGGTCCATGCCGATGACATCCGGTTTGCGTTGAGCGAGCTGCTGCCTCTGATAGCCCGAGAAGCCTACTTCACAGCTGCTCTGTTTGGTCTGAGCAACAAGGCACAGGATGGACGTGATAAAAAGAGGAACTTCGAGGCTGCCAAGAAGAGTGTAGATCATTCTAGCCAGTACTTTGACTATTACATCCAGCGCACCTGTGGCATCATTCAAGACTTTGACGCTGAAGCTGCAGCGATGAATCCCAATGCCTTCAGGGGAGATCCGATGCTTTGCCTTGTGGCCTCAATCCACCTGAATGAAACAATGGAAAACTACATTGATCGAGAGAAGAAGGGAGGTGATCACTCTTTGTCGCTGGCATACGCTCGAGCCACAATCTTGGAGTTGCGCAAGAAAGTGGACAAACAGTGGGTGTTATGGGTTGATCATCAGATCAATTGGATTCGAACACATGCTGGCGTCCCAGCCAATGGAAAGCGGGCTGGAGTCATTCCCAGTTTTGCCAGATTTCCCGTATATCTTGATCATGTTCTGCTGTGCTGCCGTGAGGGGAGAAAAGGGGATTACACTCCCAACTTTGCAAACAACAAAGTCGTCAGCTACCACCTGCAAAAGGTTGCCTTTGCCTTGCTTGAGAGCTTGCGAGAATGTGCGGAAAGAGAAAGCACAGAGAAAACATATGCTGCGAATGTGTTGCAGATGGAGAACACACACTATTTCACACAGTGCATTAAAGATCGTGGTGAAGAGATATCTGCTCTTTTCCGCAGACCCATGCAGAGAGCCAACACCACTTGTAAACAAAGCACAGAAGCCTACCTTGGGTGGATGATTAAGAGAGAGTTGGCTGTGCTACACGATCTGTTCTCAAGGATTGCCAAGAAAAGGAGAGAAACTGGAGACAAGGAGGTTTTGCAGGAAGTACCCTCAACCGTGTTTATCAGGACTCTCCAGAAAGAGGCGAGCCGTGAAGTGATGAAGGACAAGATTGGGGCGATGTATGCTCGAATGAGCAAACACATGTCCGAGGAAGGAGGAATGCTCCCTGTGGCTTGGAAGGCACTGGTAAAGGTCCTCTATGAATGGTTTGGGCGTTGGGAGAAGCTCAGCTCTCAATGCTATCAGCATACGCTGGACCCAAGTGCAGTTGATATCGTACGAATTGCGAAGGCTGCAGGAAGTGCAACGGTCAGCACTATTGAGAAGAGCCCCAGTGGCGACAACCCCACAAAGAAGTCAATACTGGCCCGCTAGCTACTACTCAATGATCAATAGGTTCTGGCTAGTACCTGTAGTATCTCGTTGTCGTAGCTTGGCGCGATCACGCCCTCGAAACGTCCAGCGATGGCTGTCACTCTAGCTAGCTAGACATAAGGATTACTAACTAGGTAGCCGCGCTACTTACTCACCGATGCATGGTCCGGATGGATGCACTGGAACTTTTCGCGTGGAGCCGATTGTGGTGTAGAATGATGGCAGTTGTGTGTTGTGCAACGACCACAATGCCCTTCCTAGCAAAGTGCCCGTCCCCAAAAGTCCACTCTAACCCATAGTAACGTTGTCGTTTCATGTACTTTTACGGTACCGGTATCGGAGCGTTGAAACTTGGTCAGGACGATGTCAAGAAACCCTTCACGTGAATGGAATGATGGAATAATTCAATCAAGATACACACAAATCCGCCAGAGTGGTAGATGCCGTTTTCCAAGCAAAAAGATCACCAGGAAGATTTAGAAAGAAAAATAAAGAGTGGACAGTAAAGCAGCAGTTAGTTCTACTTCACACGGACCGACCTCCTCCTACCTGGATACCGGTACTCTGCTGCCTCTTGCGAGCGATTGCTTAGGATACTTACTTCATCGATCGGTGGAAGCATCTCGGGGCGCGGGACACGGAATTCACAGCAGCAAAAAGTCGGGCAAAGCTCCTAATTGTCACTTGCTTTAGCCTGAAGGTCCACACCCCAGAATTCGTGCTATCTTCGATTCTTCTTTTTCTTTCCTCCTCCCTTCTTTCCTCCGCCTTTGCCGCCGCTCATGTTGTCGAATACCTTTTCGAGTTTTCCTCGATCTGCCCCGTTCCAAGTCTGCGTCATGTTTCCACTTTGGGTATCATAGACTTTAAACACGGGGTAGCTCTTGATCCCTTGAGCTTGTGCCAACTTTTTGGTTTCCTTATTCTTGTCGCAGACGACTTGTGCACATTGGACATCCGCTGAATGAAGTGATGCGAGTTCCTCCCAGAGAGGAGCAATTCCCTTGCAAGCTCCACACCAGGTAGTCACGAACTCCACAACCATGACATCCTTGAACGATGAAGATGCCTCTCCCAGCAAGCCGTCCAGATCTTGTTGCGTGTAAACCTTTTTGATGACGGTTGGCTGAGACTTTCGCGGTGCGTCATGCTTTTCTTGGTTATCAACATTATTGGCCACAGCCTGGTCCCCTTTTCCTCCCGTCTCTGCCTCTGGATTATGGCCATTGTTATTCTTCAAGTCCTCTGTTTCTGCTGCGGCTGCTTTCGTGGCTGAAGGGGCTATACAGATGCCGTCGGTACATTCCATTGGAAGATCCGTCATGGTCGGGCTTTGGAATTCTGATATCTTTTCTCAGCTGCGATGAGTCATGTTCGTGAATGATAGTCTGAATCGAATGATTCGAATCATTCGATTCGATTCTTCAATCGAACCGAACCATTCGATTGAATCTAGCGACCGGTACCATACCGGTAGATAGTACGTTAGAGGTTTAGCTCTAGAGCCAGACAGTGGGTTTTTGGACTCTAGTTAGGCTAGATAGAGAGGGAGAGAATGATATCGTAGGGCAGAGAAAGGTGCGCATGGTTACCAGTACCGGTACCACAGAAAGATCCAAAAGATTTGCTTCAAAAACTCAATTCTGTAGCATCATTCTTCATCTCAGAACACGACGGCCGTCAACTTTGACCGTCCTTGCCTGTGGACCTGTTTGGGTTTGGGGGTGCCTCAAACCAACCCCGCATGCCTTCTATTATCTTTTTCCCGCCTTCCTAATGGAACACTTCAATCGTTCGGCGGCAACGTGCCAAGAAGTGTTTTTAGTGTCATTAATCTTGGAGGTCAAAAATGGCTGAAAATGGTAGAAGTCGGTGAAGAGTGGTGAAGAAAAAGCTAGGGAAGAACAGCTGGCAAAAGTGATTAAAAGGGCGATTGATGGGGCTGAAGTCCAGTAACACTTCCCCACCCTGTGAAAACCAATTTGGTGTAAAGACAAAGAAGAAACAGGTTGGGGTAAACATTCTTACTGTCTCTTGTGTCTTCGGCGACGGGTACCAGTACAGTACTGTACAGCACTTATTCTTCACGTTAGTATGCTAAGGGTTACTGGAGCTTGTTCTGCGGCACCTTGGTCCTTGGAGTACCAGTAAAAGATCGAAAAAAAGTACAGTACCGAGTATCTTAAATTTTGGAAAGCTTCAAATCTCATGTAAAATAATGTACCTGAACTTGAGGAGATTCAGGGTAACAGTTCCACAAAACCTTCGAAAGTTCAGACTGATGCCGAGTTGACCCAAACTCACTGAGGAACGTTCAGAGAATTGCCCTCAACCGACTGAGGGTCTTTCACACTTTTATCGCTGTATGTGCAAGTTAGTCTGTACGTCTCTGTGTGTGCTGGTTAGTGTGTACGTCCGGCAGAAAGGATGGGGTAAATAATAATTGTTAGTTGGTAAAATATACTCCGAGTACCAAACTATGTGTGTGTGCAAGTTAGTATGTACGTCCGCCATAAAGGATGGGGTAAATAATAATTGTTAGCAGGTAAAACATACTCCGAGTACCAGAGTATGTGTGCAAGTTAGTCTGTACGTCCGTCATAAAGGATGAGGTAAATATTAATTGTTAGCTGGTAAAACATACTCCGAGTACCAATGTGTGTGTTTTGGTTGGCTATCGATAGACTACAGTAGACTGTGTGTTCAGTTGAACACAGTGTTGGATTTGGCCAAAGAATCAAATCTCTTTTTTGACAGTTGAGGGCATCAGCCTTCGGCTGTCTGTTCTTCCTCTGATACTTTAAAAAAAATAAGATGGTTGAATATTTAGCAATTTGTTGCAGTTTACCCAGAGTAGAATGATCAATCGAATCATCGAATCTATGGTTGGAGTGAACATTGATGATCATTCTGCCTACATGAACCGCTCCAGACCGCCAGCTAGCTAGAGTCTAGCGTGCTCTCTCTAATTATTCCATTGATGTACTTTGTGGGGCACAAGGCTGAATTACTCCACTTTGTTCCGGAACATCTTATTAATAGTTTCGGGGGACCGAGCTTCACTGTGATGCCGGACTGCGATCACTGCAATGACAACATTGGCAATACAACTAAATGTTTCGTGAGGCCGAGCGATCACAACTAGCTACTGAACTGCGACCACGCGCTTCAGTAATAAAACTCAGCTCTACTACATGTACTACGCTATGATAGACTAAAGTCAATCTCCGAGGGCCAAACTGCTACTAAACTGCCATTCACACCACTACACGGTACGCATGTATTACTCCCTCTGGTGGAAGGCGGAAGGACGATTAGTCTACGATCAATCGACTGATACTCCTAGAGGCCATACAATGCCATGTAGGCCAAACTACGATGTGACTGCATCTACTGATACTGCTTTTAGGCTTCATGATGTTGGTGTTGACGTTGTGGTGGTTCTTGGATCATTGTTCGTAGTCAACCCAAACGACCAACGGAACAACAGGTCCGAGGTGCGGCGGACTACAAGTAGCACCACAAGTGGAATTATCAAGTCGATTACGAGTGGAGCAACACCACCGGTAGCACAGCAACAGGCACGACAAGAAAGAAGAGCTGAAGAAATGGAGTAGTCATTCACGAGCGACTACCACAACAACAAGAACAACGACGGCTACCAGCCAATGACTACCACTACTACATGCAGCAGGCTGTCAGTCGTCGATACCAATAGCATCGCCATCGGCAGCAGAAAAGTGTCGGCGTAAGAAGTTTCCAGGAGCTGAAAAGCTAATACTAGTAGCTAATACCGGTAGTGCCCTCCTACCCTCCTACCGGCAGTTCTAGATTCTAGAGCTACGGTACCGGTATTGGTACATAGCTAGTATTGGAGGAGATCTTACAGCCTAATTACTAGTAATTAAACAATTATTTTAAACAAGGGGACGAAATCGTGACAAACAATTAATTAATTTATGGTCCCGTGTTCACTTTAGCAGTAAACTTTCTGAAACGTGACTGAAAGCATTTCTCTCCGCTCCCGTTCTCATAAGCCCTAACCCCAAAATGAAGGCTTGAAGGAGCGGAGCTGTACTGGATAGTTCCGTCGAATTGGGTGAAGACGGTTGAAAATGATCAAAAATAGTTGAAATAGCTGTTGAAATACCTTTATTATCTCATATAGGTTGAAAATGGTGAAAATGGGCTAAATGGCTCCTAAATAGAGACTGTGTGTACCCGTACGTACCGTACCGTAAAGTACCGTACGGTACTGGTACCTTTCCGCGGAATGAATCGATCATCCCCTGCGGTTTGAAGGAGCGAATTGTTCGGATCAGGCAAGCGAACACCCACAGCAAGATGTCTGGTTCCCAACCTGACCGTAATAGCTAAAGTAGTGGGCTGGCAGCAAAGTTGCTTGGTGGCTCTCAATGAATTAAGACTCATCTGGCTGGGGAAGCAGCAATACCAGAAAGATTGAATGCAGAGATTCAAGTTCGATTCTTGGACTGAGTCGACTCTGAAAATGGAAGGTTGCCGCGGAGTATCTGGGAAATGCACTAATGCACTGGCAGCATAATATGCCATAGTTGCCACGCATCACAGGTCCACCGCTGGTAGCAGCAGACAGGCAGTTGCATATCTTTGACTTGGTTCCTGATGACTTCTACCGCACATCAGTGTTGGTGTACAGCTGGAATGAGAATGCGGTACCGGTAATGGGGCGGCAACCTTCTATACTAGTGGTACCGGTAGGGACAGGCAGGAGATGATCAAGAGCCCTTACTGGACAACACAATTCTGTACGTGAAGCCATTCTTTTCTCACCAGAGTGTTCAGGCCGATGACACAAGTCCAGCTATGATGGTTGCTACATGTATGACATACCTGGTACCACCAGTAGCAGGCTTCCCCTCAACCCGACCAAACCACCGTTTCCCGCTTACTTTGTACGAGTACTGTACCCGTACCGGTACGGTACTACATGTAGCCGGCCCTGCCAAAACTCCTCGCCAGTGGTTGAGTACTTTTACTTGTAGTCGCAAGTCGTAGATTCCCACAAAGCGGAAGCGCCGTCAAAGAATTCTCACTGAGAAAATAAATAGGCTAGTCATTTTGACCGTTTTGTTTACAGAGGAGTACACGTGAACTCTTCACAATTCACTAGGTCATTCGGTGATTTAGTAGCTGTTCCCGAAAGAACACCCTGGGGGGAAGTTGGTGCGATTGCAGGCCGCTGCTCACAATTTCAAGTTGCAACGCCAACTCCAACAACCATAAAGCTCAAAACAGAAGATGCCGGCCACAATCATGATGCAAGAGAATAACGAACGTGCAAGGCCAGGAAGCATCATACCCAAGAGTTCATCCTTCACAGTCGACGATGGAAGTTCGAACAGTCATGAGGATGTTACGGAACTGAGTCTTGAAGATTTTGCTGATTTTGCAGCCCCTCCTGATTCTGAGGAATCAGGCAATGGTCATCTTCACAATACCATTTCGGCGCTTCAGATTGCGGAAGAAGCGCACAAATTTCACTGCACGCGACTGACGGCGCCTTCTGCTGTCAACGAAACCCAGGTCGCCCAAGATCGTCGAATGCGCCTTCGGTCCATGAAAATGACCCACCAGCAAGAATCCTTGCAAAGCTTGAACAACAATAGTTTTTCAAATCTTGGTGGTAATGAGTCCAATTCTAGCTCGAACATTGACTTGGAGGCAACCAGCACTCATAGCCAAAATAGCGCCGGCGGTAGCCTCCGTGGACTCTTCAAGCGCGCGGCCTCAACTTCCCCCAAGCCACGTCGCGGTGGGTCCGCTTCTCCCAAACCACAGCGAAGTTCCCCTCCAGCAGGGCATACTGCCAAGGATACATCTCCCACTCGCCGTGTTGGCAGAATGCCACGCCGCCCGTACTCTGAAGTTTGGCGAAAGAAGGATATGGAATATCTTCTCATGGTGGATGATGACAGCGAAATTGAACAACCACCAGCAGGATTGCCCAAACCAGCAAAAAGGGCTTCTAGGGCACGCAGCGACGAGGGGCGGCAGCAAAAAGCGTTGAAAAATCCGGTCGCTCTACGAAGGAGTGCCACGGGAGATGCTGGCACTATCAGGCACCGGGGTGTGAGACGAAGCTTGTCGGACAAGGAACCAAACAGATCCCAACGTGGTGTTCGAACTGCAACGGCTGCCCCTCCTCATCTGAGGAGACAGTCATCTGCTCGTGCTCTCCCCGATGGTGGCGCTTCTGCTCATCTGAGGCGACAGTCATCTGCTCGTAATCTATCCGATGGAGGTGTCACCGATGCTCCTGTTAGACTAAAGAGACAATCCTCCGGTCGGGCGCTCCCTGATGGCGGTGCTGCCGCTGCCCCTGTTCGTGTAAGGAGACAGTCATATGGTCGGGTTCTCCCCGATGGCGGTGTTACGACTGCTCCTGTTCATCTTAGAAGACAGTCATCTTCCCGTGCTCTGCCACGTCGCTCCAGATCAGGGAGCAATCCTGCTCGGCGGACCACGTCTGTGGCTGCGTACTAAGCAACTCAAGATGAAAGGCAATGTATTGCATGCATGGACACTCGATCGCAATTTAAATTTAAAAAATCATGTAACAGAGTAATGAAAAGCTAGCTGGACACAATAGCCTGATTGGTTGATTGATCATTGGGGAGCCAATGTTTCAAAGATGCAACGTCGTCGGTCTTTCAGATCTTGTCGTAGCTTACTGGAGAGAGCGTTGGTCAGCGCATCGGCAACCGTATGTAACTAGCTAGTTTGGGAAGTGTTCACATTTGTAGCATGCACTTTATCTGTTTCTGTTTCTAAGATAATGTACCAAACCTGTACGTTCTGGGATCCTTCCTCAAACCTTCAATGCTATGTCCCAAAGCCATCTCACAGCCCAATCTACTCTGTACCACCATCTAAAACAGTGTTGTCAGCCATTTGTTGGAAAGCTGATCCAATTTGGTGGAGAACTCATGATCCTTGGGCATTGTGCTCTTGATGTGTCCCAAGGGGAAATACAGACTGACAAACTGTCCTGCCATGGGAAAGGATCCCGAAGATTCGCCGCCACGAACAGGAACAATATTGAAGAGTTCGCCAGGTTGATACTCTTTGCTCGAGAAGGATTCTTCTGTTTCTGACGTGTAGGCAAGACCATGTTTGATGCAAAGAGCCTCAATAGAATCATTGGCAGGATCAATCGAGAGTTCCACCTGCTCTTGGGCATTGGTGGTATGGAACAACATGTAGACGGGTGCCAGGTCATCCCAAGATGCGTTCACGCCACATCGAATCCATGTTTTGGTTCCAATGGGTGGTCGTTGCAATCCCCAAAGAGCAGTTCTGGAAGTTCCAAAGCCCATCTTTGGGTTCTTCATGGTGGCATCCTGCAAGTACCTGATCACTTCCACACAAAAGCCACGAGTGGCACCATCTTGGATATCCTCCAGAAGCGCCTTGGAGCTTTTGTTGAAGAATTCATCCACAGCCAACGACGTTAGATAGTCCTTGGAATACTCCGCATCATAGCTTGGCGTAGAGCTGGGGACCACCACTGGGTACCGTGTGTACTCGGTCAACCTGCTCCGCGGTGGGAATTCACCTGATTCGTCAGCAAATACATGCATTCAACCACGGAATTTGAATAATGAAGGGTTGAGCAACACATACAAGGATATCAGCTAGCTTCTGCCAGCGACAACTGTTTGTTCCACTAACGTACCAAAGACTTCTGCTTCTTGGGGACGTGCTTGACACGTCAATGCTGGAGGATGCTCTTCATCATCGGTACTTCCAATGGTGTAGACCACCATCCCCGTCTTGTCAAAGAGCTGCACACCCAACTCAAAGACCTGGTCACGGGGACCATTGATCGCCAACGAAATGGGTTGATGCTTGTTGAGCCACGCAGCGAGTTTGTCAATGTTGGGTTTCGACAAGTCCATTTTGGAAAAATCCACGACAACCTTGCGCCAATACTCGGGCAAATCGTCGTCCCCCGTCACGGGTGGTTCGTCTCCCACACGAAAGTACGCATCCACCTTGTCGTGATGCGTGTAACTGTCATCATTGGAGGGTGCAACACTCCCTTGATGGTCCCGAAAGACGCCATCAAACAGTGCATTTTCCACAGCAAATTGAGGTGTGGGAATTTCTTTAATGCCATCAAAGACTTGCTTTATGGAGGCATCATCCACAGTGGGGGGTGCCACTACATGTCGCAACGCCGTGCACTGTCCCGCACATTCAATCGAGGCGGATATTTGTACGGCTGCCGCCACTTTCTCGTTCCATTCGGTTGTGACAAGTGTATTGGGGCCTCCCGTGGATGCCACCGTTTTGGGATATCCCGCCATCATATCGGCGGCCAATGCCCGACTGCACGTGGCATAGAGGTTCCCCGCGGGACAGGATTGTGTAATATCTTTAATGTCGTCTAGCGAACAAGAGAGAAAGGTCAACATGCCCGGATCGACGCCTTCTTGTGCGAGTAGTTCCGCTAGTAATAGTGTCCATCGATAGGCATGTTGTTGTGTATTGGATCGTCCGAGAATGACAGCGGGAATGCCCACTTCGATGGATCGAATGGTTTTACGAAACAAATCGAGAAAATTGGTAAAGTTGGAAACACAACTGACATAAATGGGTTGTCTTTGGATATAGATTTTGCCTTGCTGTTCTTGACTTAGCACGAGATCATTCAATCGTTGTTCGACTGTATTGGCCATGATGGATTCTTCCAATTCGGTAATCCCATCTTGTTTTCCAAAATCGAGGCATTGATTGCCAATGAGAAATCCCGTGTGTTCCGTGAGCAGCGCGTGTTCAATTTTGCGCAGTGGTTGTCGTAGATCTTTCGTGATAGTAGTAGTATTGTTGTTGTTGCTGTTGTTGGCTTTTGCTGTGTAGGTGGCAATGTGCTGTTTGAGTTGTGCCACTTGTTCGGGTGTGGCAAGGTACTGACTCCCATTGACATTGCCAAAGGCATCGGTGGTATCGACTTTGGTACCAGTAGTGCCAGGGAGTTTGGAGCCATTCAAGAGTGACGTGATCTGTCGAATAGAATACACAAAACCAAAGGTAGAAGATGAGGCATACAAATGAAATTGGGCATACAAATATTGATCCAGCTACTTTTGTTGACTTGCTGACTGATTTACTTACCGGCTCATCATACCATAGCTTTGGATCAAACGACTGTAGGTATTCGGTGGAACTGTTTCGTAGAGCTTCTATGTCTGGTTTGGGCAGGTTCCGAAAGGTCCTGGAGTAGTCGGTGGATCCAAAATGGAATTGGCGGTTCGTCGACGACATGACAGACATGGTGGGGACAACAGAAATGGTACTAGTACTTGTAGTAGTCGAAATGTTGCCATGTGACGAGGCTACTGCTCGACCGAGCATTCGTTGGACAACCGAAGATCGCATCATCGTTCCTCCTTCCACTTTCTATAAAAGATTGATATGTCAAGTAGAAATGGGATACCTACCAACCAGCAAACAAAAAGTCAACCAGGATCCAACCACTAGCTAGTGGGAGTATCTCCACAGAAAATGAATTTTCACAAGTTAGTTTTTGTTTTGTGTGCTTCTTGGCGTAAGGCTCTGGATCCAAATAGAAACCACAAACTAGCTAGCTAGCTAGCAAGGATACTCCAACGAAATGCAAGAATGATGTCAAGCTTGAGAAGCGAACAGATCGGCAAAGATTGATGGAGACTATTGTTCTTCTGTCAACTCAGACCAGTTAGTTGAGGAGGATGTTGTGGACCTCGATCGGATCAGCCATCAGCTTGATTGTGAGAAACAGAAGAAGAAGAATGACACGGATCTTGACAGCGCCCCGAATGCAAATCAGACTGTGGACTGACGTTCCATTAAGTCATGACAATGACGTCACTAAATCTTTGAACGGTTGGATCCGGAAATGAGAATTCGGCGAGGACGCCTCAACCACACATACAGCAACCAACAAACTCCTTGTGCTTGGCACTCCTCCAACAAGTTCGTTGCCTACACATCTAGAAGTTTCTTGCTTGCTTGCATCCATCATGTCTCCCAAAGGCTTTTGTCCCTTCTCACTGTTTCTGTTTGCCGTCACGGCAGGCATTGCGACCACCTCGATGAGTAAGAGTAAGAAGAGCAGCAACAAAAAGAAACAAACACCATCACTTCCCGCTTGTACTGTCATTTTCGTGGTGGGTGCTCCCGGGACAGGCAAGGGCACGCAATGCCAACTACTCATTGAAAAATATCCACAGTGGACCCACTTGAGTGCCGGCGATTTATTGCGGGCCGAACGCAAACGGGCTCAAGCGGCTCAAGCCGGCAAAGGCGATGGCGGGGATTTGGAATTGGCCAATACCATTGAAGCGTGTATCAATGCCGGTCAATTGGTACCCAGTTCCATTACCGTTCGATTGTTGGAAAAGGGCATGACTACATCATTCGCGGCGAATGGCGCCACCCACTTTTTGGTGGATGGATTTCCCCGCGGCCAAGACAATATTGATGCTTGGGATGCGCACATGACACCGCAACAGCACCGTGTTGTCAAAGTCCTCGATTTTACGTGTCCGGAAGAAGTCTTGGTGGGACGATTGTTGGAACGTGGAAAGAGTTCGGGACGCAGTGACGACAATATCGAAACCATTCGCAAACGATTTGCCACACACGTGCAAGCTTGTAAACCCGTGTTGGAACGCTATACAAACGACGGCATTTTGGAAACCATTGGATCCGATCGATCCGTCGACGAAATATTTGCGCAAGTCGAAACGGTAGTAATGGAGAGTACCAAAAAGCAATAATAATGTCCCAATAAAAGGATGACAATGACGAACGCACAAACAAACAAGCAACAATCCACAAGACACCTTGTTGTTGTTTTCCTCCTTCCACACACTTTTTTTCAATCCTCCAACGATACCGACACAACAAGCGCAACAACAACGAGTCAGGAATGGCTTTTATCCATTTCAGGATCGACTCCCTCGAATTCTAGATGTAATCAGGATACATAGTAGTAATAAGATATGCAATGATGAGTGATTTCCGTGGTCAGCTACTACATGCATCTGGACGAGATTTGCCAAAAGCTGCTCCTCCAAGGAACTTCTTTTGGGGGAATACCGTATTGGAAACAATTCCAACAAACAGGACGGTGTAGGGGCAGAAAGACAGCTCCAATCTTCTCACATTTTGTTTTCTCGTTTGGACTCATATAATTTTTGTGCTTGCCCGAGCTACGCGGTAGTTAGACTACCGCCGTAGACCAAACCCCAAATCTAGGCTCTGGTACGGTAGGATACTACGCTGTAGCTAGCGGTACGGTAGAGGCACGGGACCACGATCCGTCGGTGGTTGCTGATGGAGATATCAATGGCGGGGGTACCTAGTAGGATCTCCTGAACTCCTCCATGACAGACACACACAACAACATCTTTCGAGTAGATAGGTAACCATAGATTAGTAGACAATTCCTCTAGAGGTGGAGGGCTGGCTGGGGGAAGCCAGTTCGTGGCAGCGGAGACGGCTCTGTCTGTGGCTACGGCTGCAGTTATCCTATCCTTTGCTCCCATGACCACACCACCGGAGGAGAAACAACAAACAAACAAACGGGACCACGCCGGATGGCAACTAGCTAGTAGGGGCAGAAATGCCCACGTCCTTGCTGCTGCTACTAGAGGGATCTCTTCATTGATAATAATATTCATATGCTTTCCGTTTATTAAAAACGCATTGTCAAATAAAAGTGCAAGTGAGAGGAGAACACAAATATTTTGCGTCCTTGGACCACGAGAGATTATTGCCTTCCTCGTCTTCGAGCAGCAAACCACCCAGCAGTTGCTCATCTGCATCGTTTCCTGCACCACCACCCGAAGCACCATCGGCTACTCGGCTCCCGTCATCACTTACTATCGCTCCAAATCACCTTCTTCAACACTCTCTTCGTTGCTGTTCTCTTCCTCTTCACCCTCTGCACCACTCTCTTCGCTGCTGTTCTCTTCCTCTTTTAAATAATTCCTGAGGTAGACCTGATACAAAACTGCACTCAATGCAGCAGTCAAGAGGGCGGCTCCTCCTGGAGTAAGTGGCGTAGAGCCGTACCAAATACGACCTAAACTCTGCAATACCCGCTCATGAAGGAATGGGAGCACTTCAGCGACGTCCAGACGAAACTCGGGAGGAGGAAGTGGGAATATCTTGTCAAATTCCACTGCTCCAGTGCACTCCATGGTCATGTCCAGAACCTCGGGGTTGTACTCGGGAACAAGACATGCCGCAATCTCCGCCTTGTCATCCGAATTCAGCTCATTCAGCAAGGCTCTCGACGATCGATGGCACAATAAAGTCAGGTACTCATGGATAGGGCTCCTTTTTTCGTCCTTTTCTTCATCGTAGTTGCTCCAGTCAGCTACTCTCTCCCCACAAAACCTGCAAAGTCCGCAGGGTCGATCATCCACTTCCAGTACACACCAGCCCTGGCAGCCGCGAGAATCAGGCGATCTGGATCTTCTTCCCCTTGGTCTTTCTTCGTCTCGGCATGAGATTTTTCTTTCTGCGTTGGCTGCTGCTTCGCTTCCTTGCGTTCTTCTTCCTTTTGCTTCTCTCCCTTACCATCATCATCGTCGCTGTCGTTGTTGCAACGTACTAGACCCCCCAGATAGACATCATCCTGTTTTTTGACGTGGTCTGGGATCTTTTCAGGGTTTGGAAAGCCCGGGACCGCGTCGTGTAACGCCCTGCGCCCAACATGCTTTGGATGCATAATCGTTCGTGTCCAAGCTTTGACGACTGTTGGCTGCATCAATCAATAATTCGGTACTTGCTGTACGGCTGGAACATTAGATGGGTCGCAACCCAACCAACCTTAGCGAGAAAGAACTCTGCGGGCTTTGTGAGTTTCCCACAATCATAAATTTTACCGCGAACGTGGTGAAAACCCCCTCTTTCATAGCCAATACGTTCCTGGTTGTAGGCTTTGGGCACTTTGGCGCTTTTGAAGCTAAACGAGGAATGTTTCTCGGAATATTGATTCAAGATTTCCTGCGCCAACTCTGGTTCGTCTACTACTAGATCTACCTTTTGCTTCTTTCGAGCTGGATCCATGGTGCCGTGATTCAGAAGAGAAAACAGAGCTATGTATAGTATGCGACGAATATTAGTTCAACCCCTGGACCCAAAGACGAGGACCTGTCCACTTGGCTTGCATGGGTCCGCTTGTCTCTTGTTGCTGAGACTAAGGTGGTTGCTCTTCTCTCGTACTGTACCGTAGCTTTCGTGCAAAAAGATACGAGTACTGTGACGCGGTGAGTTAGGGATAAGGCTTTAAATCAAAAGATATTAGCCTGCCAAACTGGCAATCTTGCTTGAATGCATAGCATCCTTCCCCATCTTAGATCTTCTGAGTCCCTGTGGGCGACGTGACAATCGAGTGACAGTCTGTTAGAAGACTTGCCGCTCTTGCAGCTCTCTTGTCCTCCAGCTTTTGCGGTGTCAAACTGATTGATATAGCGGTTGCATCAGAATGATTGATATAGCGGTTGCATCGGGTCCTTTGACGATTCTGATCCCATTCCTATCTCTAGTAGGGAACTCCCCCCTGTCACAGCTCAAAAAGACTTCCTGCATCTCGCATCCGGGCCAGGACAAGCATGGTTTGAACACGGATCGACGCGTCTCTCTTATATATCTGGATGAAATGATTCCTCCTGCCTTTCACCAACTTTTTCAGTCCTCACGCAATGGTAGGGATCACGAGAACGCAATAATTTGCCTGGTTGGTTCTACATGTAAATAGATATTGCTTTCCTCGTCTTCAAGAAGCAACCCACCTGGTATGCAGCCATAGTATGCTGCTGCTCCCCAGAGCCAACATAGAGATGTTGACGTTTTGCAGCAACTATCCGAACAGCGTTGTCGCTCTGGGGATCTGTTCCGATCCGGCTGAAGCAAACTAGCAGGAAAAGAAGCTTCGCTTGTGCAAAAAATGTAAGCGGTCCCAAGGAGCGTGGAGGACGCGCCTTCGCAAAGCTCCTCAAGGAGTGGGCAGCTATGCCCGGGAAAGCAGCAGACAGTTTTCATGTAGCTTGCAATGGGGTAACACAGAGGAGGCTTGGCCCACACTGCTTCCTTTCGTCCAGCCTGTTTATGCATTGCTTGTACCTATATATTCAATTATTTGCTTGGAAGAATAGGAAGCTGAACGGGCAACTGGCAGAGGCGGTCTTGGTTATCGGTAGCAGAACTTGAAAGTGCGAATCAACGCCGAATCACATGAGTCACAGCTGCCGGTTTAGACTGCGTAGTACTGAGTATCAATACTAAATCAATAAGCAATGCAGCAATGAGTCGAAGCCAAGCAAAGCAAATCAAAAGAGGCACACCACTACTAGGTACTTCCAGCCTGAAATCTACAACTTCAAGTCCTTCTCCGATGTATTCTCCGTGTCTCCTCGGTGTCTCCTCAGAGACTGAGCAGCTACGAGAGTCGAACAGGTAGCAAGCCCCAAACTTGCCAGGTAGCTAGATCTACTACATGTACCGGTAGCTAGCTAGTACTACGTACCCTTTTCCTAGCTAGTACCGCAGAGCTAGAGCCTGCGCTCAATCACTTCAAGCTGGAAATGGACATGAAAATATTGGCTTCGCTGTTTACTGCATGTACAGCGTATGTTGTCTGGCTAGTGCACAGACTGCATGAGTAGTCTACCGGTACGACCTGTACCGGTAAGCGGTAACAGCTAGCATTTCCGGGAAAGTTATCGTAGGTTACGAAAGATTATGAAGGTGTGCATGGAACGGCTCTCAAAGATTATGAATCTCGAAACAGCTTGACGTGACTGACATGACGTGGTGCGTCATCATCTTCTTCACCTCCTCCAGCTACAAATTGAAATAAATCATTCTGTCGACCCAGAATAAGAGAATAAGAAGCTGCAATAATTGCTCCCGCTTTGGTCGATAAAGCACACGTTTGCTGCGAATAAGAACGCTAATATTATGTGTCACCTGAGACTTAGTTACAAGATTATGATCGCCAAGGGTTACGAGCCCGTAAGGTGGAACGTGAGCTAAGAATGACAGGGCATTGTTTGGCAAGAAACTGACAGGATGGACGAAAAGAGTAGAAAGTTCTACTAGCCACTTGAGCAGTGTGATACGCTCGAAAGCCTAATCTGAGGCATACTTGCTCTTGAAAAGGAGAATGAGGATTGATTCTCTTCCTGAACTGGATCGTTGCATTGCCATACTGCTAGCTAGTATCCTGTTTCATTAGAATTATTTAGACTAATCCATTCACTCTTTGCTAGATTCGTATGATACTGAGATCTACCGGGACGGGATGGCAAGGAAGAAAGTGAGTGTTGAAAATAGTAGAGATAGGCAAGGTGCAGAGGTCTGCTCAAAAAGTACTGTCCAATTTGGTAACAATCTTATCAATGAGTTTCAGGGTTTGTATCTCAGTTTTGAGCTGTTTATTACCAGTTGCCCTATGAAGAGGCTTTCGAACAAAATGCCTTTTCTTTGTTGGAACATGTTCAATGAAATGACCGGAATGTGAATTCGGTGTGTCTTGTGTAATTAGTCTAATAGAAGATTGATTTAAGAATCCTTTCCCAATTTACAGAGGCTTATGTGGGGTAGCCTCAATTACTCAATTATGTTGACCATTGACTGGAATGGCTCTGAATTTATAGCTATTTATTTAGTGGAACATTTCTTTTTGGGTGGTCTGCTAAAATCCAGTAGATTTTCTACGGCTATGGCTGTACTGTACCGGTACCGGTTTGGGATCTGATGGTTGATGGTTGAAGAAGAGATGAAGACAAAAGAGGAAGCGAATTTGTGCCAGCACCCTGCGTAAAAACTTTACCATTGCGCACCAAGTTCCCCAAGATCCAAAGAACGCTGCCCTTCTCGAGCCCACTTGGAAATTCGGAGCCACCACCTTTTGCTGTTGCATCTCCCACCAAGTAAGGAACCAACCCATCCAGCATCTATCACTGCATTCAAGGCGAACCACTAAGCCACTAAGCCGCCAACTCCCATAAAGTTATTGCAAGATAAGGGAAGGAAAGACTGGTTCCTATTCCCTTGCCACCAGGTTTGTTTTCTTCTGCCTTACCGATCTTTGCAGCCGCAGCGATCGCATCTTTTAGCACCTCTGTCCTCTACCAAAACTAAACTTTAGAAGAAAAGCACATTTCTCTATCCATCTGAACCAGCAAATCCGAACATGGCGGCTCATCAAAAATCAAACCAATGGATGTTGCCTCTCTTGATGTGGGGTAGCAGCCTCATTGCCGCCGAATCGTCTTCGTCGTCGTCTTCCAACACTCCGACAATCCCACTACCGCTTCATCTACAAGAAGGTTTCCGCTCTGAGATTACCCTGCGTGGTGCGGTATTGCACTCATCTCCCTTTGCCATTGTGGAGCAAGACAACACCACGGGAGAGCTGGCGGCGCGAGGTTTGCAGATCGACCTGCTGGAACGGTTAGCCATCTTTGCACAGCAAGATGGTGTGAAACTCCAATTTGACCTCGAGCCGTGGGAATACTCACCGGAGCACACGTACCAGACAGCTGTGGACCTGGTTGCCAACGATTGCGAAGCTCGATTACAAGAACGGGGCAACGTCACGAGCCAATACGGGTGCGATTCGTTCGATCTCATCATTGCGGACCTGTGGCGCACATCTGACAGGTATATGCGGGTAGACATGACGCCGCCCTTTCTCAGCAACGCCATTGGGGCCATGAAGTACGTGGGGGATCAGGACGATCATCATTACTCAGATGATGACGAGGATATCCAAAAGAAGGAAGAAGATCCCAAGGAGAAGATCATCACCACCCTGACGGAAGCTGCTCAGGCTCGGGCGACAGTTTGTGTTCTCAAGGATACACACAGCAGTCATGTCGTCATTGACAGCTTTCGTGGTGCCCTGTACCTGCAGTGCAGTGATGATCAAGAATGCCTGGATCACTTACGGTATGGGCGCTGCGTCCTCTTTGCCAGAGATGAACTCTTCCTCAAAGCCAAGGAGTTTGAGGACCCCAGATTTGTTACCACCCGCGAGCGTTTCTACACGACCTATGTCGTTTGGCCCATGCGCTATGATCTGGACCCCGCCGTCTCGTACATGCTCAAGAGATGGGTTACACAGGCTGTGGAGAACGCTACCATGGAGGAGCTCTATCACAAGTACTTTGAAAAGAAGCTGTGTCCCATTGGCAAAGCAGGGGACAACTGCGATGACCCGTGTGATCCTGACCACGGGACATCGGACTACAGGACGGGACGCTGTATCTGTGATTCTACCAAGTGGACGGGAGAGGACTGCAGTATCGAAGTACTGGAAGATCTCAACTTGCTGTCGCCGTCGCTCAAATGGATTGCCTACACGCTCTTTACCATCAATGTCGCTGTCATTCTCTGCTGTGGGGCATGGCTCATACGGTACCGACAAAGCGATCAAGTCCGAGCTTCGCAGCCGTTCTTCTTAGCCTTGGTTCTGCTCGGATGTCTCATCTCTTCCAGCACCATAATAGCATTGGCGCAAGAAGGGGATGATGCGGCTTGCCAAGCGGTTCCATGGCTCTATTCGGTCGGGTAAGTAAAGGAATTGATCGTCGTTTACGGCTTCATGAAGGTGACCTGCGGCTCATGGATTGCTTTGTCATGGATCTCCCAGCTTTTGTTGTACCTTTGGGGTATTGTTCGCCAAGATCCGCCGCGTGTATCAATGTTTTCGGCATGCGGGGGCATTGCCAACCCCCGCCCAAAAGCCAACGGCTTCGACGACGACAACCGGAACGGTCAAGAGTAGCTTTGGCAGTAACTTTGGCTCTGGTAGCCTTCGGAACAGCATGACTAGTAGCGGCAGCGCCGCGGTGCTGGTTAGTTTCCAGGAAACACTGTTGGTGATTGGTGTGATCACATTGGTAGATGTGGCCATTCTAGTTGCTTGGAATGTGTTTGCCCCGCTGGAATGGACACGAACCGTGCTGCGAGCGGACATCTTTGGAGAACCGTTGGCGTCGCAAGGCATGTGCACTGGCGATGGTTGGCAGGTGTTTGCGAGTCTCATTGGATGTCTACACCTGTTCTTGCTGGCTCTGGGGTGTGTGCTTTGCTACAAGGCTCGACAAATACCAACCATGTTCCAAGAAGGCAAATACGTCAGTATCGCTATGGTCAGCAACCTGCAAATCTTTGTCGTCGGAGTGCCGGTTCTGATCATTGTGGGAAGCGAGACTCAAGCTTCGTTCTTTGTCAGAAGCGCAATAATTTGGTGTAACGACCTTGCAAGTAAGTTCAGGAATTGTGTGACCCGCCCATCATGATGCAGCATTATTCTCACCTATTGCGTTGTCCTGCATCACCCTTGGAATGTGTTTTTTAGTTGTGGGCATCATCTTTGGTAATCTGATGTTCAACACTCACAAGGCGGCTAGGATGAGTTCATCTTCAATGCAATTGGAGATCAACAAAGCTGTGCATCGATACTCGCAGCAATCTGGGACAGCTGTGAAAGGAATACTCGTAAGAACCAGCTTGAAATCCACATTCAGCAACGCTCCAGTTGCAGCCAACATGTTGGCGCAGGTCCAAGACGAAGATGCGCATGACGAGGAGGAGGACCTAGAAGTGGCGGACCTTCCCATTCGCAAATCTAACAATCGTCCTTGCCGGAACATCATATCCTCCTTGTCCCTGGGATCGGAACACTTGGATCGGAGCAGCAGTTTTGAAACATCAACGTCAGGCATTCAGAAACGTTTTGTCCGCAAGAGGGAGCTAATCTCATCTTTATCTTGTGGGTCCGCGGCATCAGGAACAAAGCATAGGGACAGCAATAGAAGCGTTACCTTCGGCATGGCGTACTATTCGGAAGGAAATGAAGATGGGAGCGAACTTGCGGTTCCAATCGAAGCAGGCCCAAGAGGACGAAACTTAAGCTCGGATTCAACAGCTCGCTTCAGCAGCGATTCTATTGGCGGGGCACCCCCCAAACCACCGAAACGCCCTCCAATTGCATCCATGCATCGTTTGGAGGGGGTCGACGAGACGCACAGCACGGAATCAACGATGACTTGCGACGACGAAGAAACCGAGACGGAACCTCCGCGCAACATTCATGCGCCTCCGTTAAGGCCAATCAGGTTTGTCTCGTCCTCTGAATCTGGTCGCGATGCCCAGTCTGAAGGATTCCGAACAGCACACGACTGCTCATATCCATCATCACCATGGGGATCAAATGCAACTGGACCTCCCCAACGACCCAACAGGTTGGCTTCCCAAGTAGAGTCGATCGATGACGAGCAAATAGAAGCCTCGGCGTCAGATTCAATCACCAACAAGCCACCGTCCCCACAATCATCAGTCAATGGGCCACCCAAACGTCCTGACAGGGTTGACTCGTCTGTAGAGCTCTCAGAAGCCGAGGATGATGACGAATCCAGCGTAAATCCCTTCTTCGATTCGACACCTCTCCCATCTCCAGAGTATTCCAACAGCGAACTACCTCCCCATCTTCCAGTCAGACGCGACTCCCGCGCATCAGGCACTGCCGATGACGGGCATCACGAGAAGAAGTAGTCCCACTCAGATTCCTTGGAGAAGAAGTGTACACAGCCTCAGCCAGTGAGGAAGCTGTCTGCGACCTACAAGGCGTAGAATACGAGAAAGCGTGTTTGTTGAGCCAGACGATCCAAAACTTCGACCTCCCCTTCCTTCATTGCGATGGCTGTTATCGAGCTCGCCGACCGCAGTCCTGGCAGCACCCCAACTTTCAAATCTCGTTTCCTGTAGCTGATGCAATCCGATGCAATTGCCACAAATGCCACAAAGGACCCAATGCATAGGTTCACTTTGAGATGACTATAGCAACTACTATAGCTAGCCAACCACAATTTGTGTCCAGTATTAATGTAAAATATTGCAACTGGCGCTGGGTTCGGAAGAAGTAGCCAGCCCAATGAATTATCTGTGTGGATACTCATGCTTGCCGAAACAAACGAGCCAACAACGGACAGTTCAAACATTGGCCAAGATCAACGGTGGCACTCGCCACGGAGCCACAGATAGATGGTTGGATGTTGACTGAGACTTCCGAGGACAAGCACTTCTAGTATGCAAAGAGATTTTACAACCACAGCTACGAAAACGATTGAACTATATGATTATGTGCGGGATTGGGGGCTGCTGCTTGAGAGTTCCAATTGATGCATTACCAGCATGGACCGAGGAAACGTATTAAGAGCAGCTTTTACACTGTCATTTTCTTGAGCTCCTGCTGATTTCCCCCGGCCTGGGATGATCGTAGTTTGGGGGTACTTGCCAGCAGCAAAGACAAGTCTGGTACCACCCACCAGCTCATACACCATGATGCGGTAGCAACGATGTTCGTTGGGGTGTTTCTGATCGTAAGTGTTGAGAGTACTGATGAATTCGAATTCCACCTCTTGCACCTGTTGCTGCTCTTTTTCGGACAGTGACTTCTTGTAACGAACGTAGCTGGCGTAGCTCTCTGTTGTGTCAAAGAATGGTTCCTTTGCTTCATCTGGAATGGCAACCAGAGTGTAACTCTTGGTTTGTTGGTTTGGAGGGATTGTCTCCTGCATGGACCAGAACATGACAATCCCATCAACGCTTTCTTCCATGTGTGCCGGGTAATATGTCAAATCGAATTGCCCCTCCCTCTGCTGATGATGTGCAGCTGCCCCAAAGCATCCTTCAAATGGATGCTGCCCAGCAATGACATGGTTGTAGTAGTCTTTATTTTTCTGGTCGAGAATGGCCTCATAGTTTTTCTTGAGAAAGTCTGGTTCCGTCTTGCACTTTTCAATCATCTTTTTCCATTCCTTCTTTTGGTCCTCACTCAACAGGCAATTTTTGCTTGTAATGGCATGGTAAACAAAGTTGACGCGTTTTCCAAGCTCCTTGTAAGTGTCTTCCACGACATCTTGGAGAAGGTCGTTTTTGGTAGACCACAGGAAGCTTTCGTGAGGTTTCTTCCCATTATTATTATCTCCTCCGCCGTGGCCTAGTAGGGCCTTGATGGTTGTGCGTTGATGGGACACTGATTCACCTTTGAGCTTTTGATGAATTTTCTCAAGGACGTCAATGTTGATGTGTTGATCATTGTCGTAGTCATGTATGGGTGGGAATTCGGGTGAAGATTTGGCCCTTTTGTTTGCTGGTTGTTGTGGTTGCTGCTGCATTTCTGCTGGTTGTTGTTGTGCTCGCTTCTGTTTACGCCGTTCCATTGACTTGCGCACTGTAATATAGCCGTTCTTGTGATTCAGCCTGAGAATGAGGGGTTTGAAAGCAGCCTCAGGGAGCCCCTTTTCATGGGCTTTCAATTCGGTGTTTGGCTTGTGGTTCCGTTTGGCAATCTTATCAAAGGGGCGGCACCAAGGGACCGTAGCAGGATCTTCTGCGTTTGGAATTGTGTCGAGCACCTTTTCCCAATTTTTGCTTGTTGGCCCATTTTGGATCTTCTTGCAGCTCAGTTCATTGTCCAGAAGAACACAGAGTTTGGGCAAACAAATGTGATGAGGCATTCCAGGAATTTGTACCTTTGCACTGATCCTTTCCCGGCCAGTTTGCTTCAGGAACTGATCCATATCATCTTTCACTCGCTGCAGCAAGAGATGACGGCCAGGCTTGGTGGTGCGTTGATACACGGAAAACCATTGGACAGTTTCCTCAGGGACAACTGCATCTTTATCCCAACACTTGCAGGCACTAAAGCCTGACTTGCCGGACCTGAAATGTTCGCATTGTTTGTTGAGTTGGAACACCAAGTGATGTGCAACACTTTTGTCACTGTCACAGCCACCCAAAAGTGTGCTCTGAATGCCTTCTGGCAGCTCCCATTTGTCGGATTTCCAAGGCATCCTATCCCAGCCCCACAGTTAGTTTTGCTTGCTGACCTTTGTAATGCTGCAATGCGCTAGCTAGCTGGAGGGCCGCACTGGCACATGCACCAGCAATGGCGAAGTGTGGCTTTCAGTCGGGTGCAGTCGAGTCGAGTCACTGAGTGGAGTGACGAGTCGAGCGTCAGTCGAGTCGAGTGACAATCATGAGGATCCTGCGCAGCCGTGATGCCTGATGAAACATCAAAGACGTCTTTACGCTACATGTGGCTCGGTCCTACACTCTGTCCCCACATGTAGACTGTGATGCCTTCACGCATTCTTGTTTCTGAATGGATTGACTTGTGGGCAAGATGGCTTTCAGAGACTTGCACTATCACTCTTCACAGGGACTAGTCAGTAGAGTGCATACTAAGTTTGGGCATATGAAGCAGCTTACTATTGTTATGGCTGGTGTATGCCACACACTTAGTGCATGGAATCTCCATATGTGTTGGTCCATTTGTGGTGTGATGGTGAAAGTGATGGACAGCTCCAGACGGACCGTGCCATGGAAGGTCCGAAGACTGTTCAAGTTTCTGAAAGGTTGTACAATGAAGGTGAAGGAAGTAGCAATGCTAATGCTACTGTAACACCGAAATGATTGGAGTGAAATGTGTTTAGTTTAGTGGGGTGTGTGTGTGATTTCGTCAATGGGCTCAGAAAGGTGGGGGCAGCATGGAACGTGGGCTACATTGGTGAATGGGATGTAACGTGACATTCGGGTTGCAACTCCAATGGTGAGGAATCCAATCTGTTCGTGGATGTATTGTAGGAATGTGTTGGAGGACCAACGGCCATGTTTTTTGATGGTGATTGGGTCAATTCCATTGAGCTTCATAGCCATTGCTCCACCCGCGCGAAGGGAGTGACTGCTAACGTTGGTTCGAGTGAAACCCGCCTGTTGGAGGCCAAGTTTAATGACAGTGTTTTTGATGATGTTGTTGATGTCTTGTGGTCGGATTTGCTTTGGTTGACCAAGTTCAAAATAGGTGCTGAGTGCAGTATTTGGGTTGTTTGTGTGGGCCATAATGTGTGAAACTCGACGTGCTAAGGCTTTGACTGGGCTTGTGATGGTTCCAGTATCGATCCAAGAAAAGAAAATTGTGAGGATTGGAGGGAATGAATGCGCACCAATTTCGCGCGAAGGCTCACTAGATGAAGAAATGCCGCGTGTCCGCGATTGATAAGAGAACTCCTGCTTCAGGCGGTCGGAACAAGCGCTTCTAGTATGCGAATAGATCCTACAACCACAGCTATTCTATGACAATGATGGAACTACAGACATAAGCTTACGTGCAGGATCGAGGGCTATCCTTGACTTATTTCCAATTGATGCATCACCAGCAAGGAACGACGAAACTTATTCACATGAACTTTTGCACCTTCATTTTGAGCTCCTGCTGGGTTTTCTCGGCCTCGGATGATGGTAGTGTGTGGGTATTTGCCAGCCGCAAAAACAAGTCTCGAACCACCCACCAGCTCATATACCATGATGCGATAACAACGGTGTTCATTGGTTTTTTGTTTTTGATCGTTGCAACGGTTGATAGTATCAAAAAATTCTGTTTCCACCGCTTTCACCTGTTGCTGCTCTTTTTCGGACAATGATTCCTTGTACCGTTTGTAGCTTGCGTAGCCCTCCGACTCGTCAAAGAATGGTTCATCAGCTTCATCTGGAATGGCAACCAGGTTGTAGCTCTTGGTTTGTTGGCATTCTGGGATTGTCTGCTGCATTGACCAGAACATGACGATCCCATCTACCGTGTCAACGTGCGCCGGGTAATATGTCAAATCAAATTGCCAGTCCCGCTGCATATGATGTGTAGCAGCCCCAAGGCATCCTTCGAATGGATGCTGTCCAGCAATGACATCATTGTAGTACTCTTCGTTGCTCTTGTCCAGAATGGCCTCGTAGTTGTTTTTAAGAAAGTCTGGTTCCATCTTGCACTTTTGGACCATCCTTTTCCATTCCTTCTTTTGGTCCTCGTCCAGCATGCAATTGTCGCTTGTGATGGCATTGTAGACAAACTGGATGTGCTTTCCGAGCTCTCTGTAGATTTCTTCCACGATGTCTTGGATAATGTCTCCTTTTTCGCTATACCAAAGGATGCATTCGTCAGGTTTCTTCCCATGCTCTCCGTGGGCTAGGACATTGATCATTGTGTCTTGATGGACTGGTTTGTCTTTGAACTTTTCGTGCATTTTCCGTAGGACATCAATGTTGATGAGTTGGTCAGGGTCGTAGTCATGTATGGGTGGGAATTTTTGCTTTTCAATGGGATGATAATTTCTGTTGTAAGATTCCGGTGCAGATCTTGTCCTCTTCCTTGAATCTTGTTGTGGTTGCACCCCCCCTGGTTCATGTGGCGCTCGCTTCTTTTGGATTTGTCGACTCTGCTGGTCAATTGACCTGCGCACTGTAATATAGCCGTCCTTGCAATTCAGCCTGAGAATGAGGGGTTTGAAAGCAGCCTCAGGGAGCCCCTTTTCATCGTCTTCCAATGCAGTTTTTGGCTTGTTGAGTTTGGGCATCTTGCTGAAGGGGCGGTGCAGAGGGACAGTGGAAGGATCTGCTGCCTTTGGAATTGCGCCGAGCACCCTTTTCCAATCCTTGTTTGTTGGCCCATTTTGGATCTTATTGCAGCTAATTTTTTTATCTAGAAGAACACGGAGTTTTGGGATACAGATGCGACACGGCATTCCAGGAATTTGTATCTTTGCACTCATCTTTTCCCTGTTGCTTTGTTGCATGAACTGATCCATATCATCTTTTACTCTCTTCAACAAGAGATGTCGGCCAGAATTGGAGGTGCGTTGATACACCGAAAACCATTTGACAGTTTCCTCAGGGATGACTACATTTTTGTCCCAGCATTTGCAGGCACTATAGCCAGATCTGCCGGACTTGCCATGTTCGCATTGTTTGTTGAGTTGGAAAACCAAGTGATGTGCAACACTTTTGTAGTTACCACAGCCCGCCAATTGCGTGCCCTTAGTGCCTTGTGGCAGCTCCCATTTGTCCGATTTCCAAGGCATCCTATGATCCCACACAGTTTGCGTGCTGATCTTTATTGTGCTGGGATGGTTAGCGGGGACCCGGTGACGAGAAGTTAATACAGGTTCGAGTGGACTATGGCACAACCAACGAAGGAAAGGGTGGTTATGGAGGAGGGCTGAGGGCTGAGCGGATCAAAGGACAAAGACTAGCGGAAGAGATCAAAACACCTCGATCGTCCCAACGCCCACAGACCTGGATAGCAGGAATTGAAGGCAGTGGAGGAGGATTGTTGATTGTAGTAATGTGGTCATTCCTCTGCCAGCCAAGGCTGTGGTTTCGCACCACATCCAGCAAAAACAGGAAGTCAAGATCCGCTGGTAGAAACTGGGGATTAAGAAAAATCCCTGATGTTTGGCCATGGCCTTTTGGTAATTACCGCTGCATGCCGGTTGAGTACAGGCTTCTAAAGTGCCAGGTACGTGTACCGTCGACGGTACAGGTACGTTATGTAGCCCCCACAACCATTTCCTGGGCTGTTGCACACTGACACAAGCAACAGCTCTGGGCTACCCTCGCAATATACCCATCAACTACTCGTCTACTATCGGTAGCAACACCTTCTATTGAAGAAGGCACTCAAAGTGGTGCTGTCTGCACTGATCTAGATGGATTTGTAGAAGCAATGATTCGATTCGAGAGGAGTTTGACGCTCTCTATACAACGATAGGCAAATAGTTTGGTCCTGCATTTCATAAGAATGAGGAAGCGGAAGTCAAGATCTTCAGTCCACCCGTAGCAGACCTATAGGACCTTCGACAGCCTCTTTTTGAAACATCATAGGAGACCGCGGTTCTCCATGCTTGGCTAGTATCTTCCTGTAGATCTAGTACCAAGTAGCCGAGTTCCTTGCATTCCAAAATAGTGCGCACGCATTGTGTTGCCTTCTTGAGATGGTGGCTAGCGCGGTCTTGTCGATCCTGCTGTGGAATGCCGGGAGCTCCTCCACAGCAACCCTTAAAAGCTCCTCCACAGCAACTTCTGACACCGCAGTGTCGATTGCGGAGTCTTTTCCTTGTTGTTGTTACTGTTGCTGTTGTAGTCTGGTCGCCCTCAACTTACTCTTGGTTTCTGACTCCGCCGTTGTTTTTTCTGTAGGTGTCGCCCTCAAGCCAGCAATATCAGTCGACAAGTTCAATCTTCGTTCTTCCAGGGCACGGCAGGTTGTGTGAGGCTGCACGAAAACTCGTTCGTTCCATTCTCGAATTGATGCCTCCAGCCGCCACAAGCCAGCCACACTCATGCAGTCGAGCAGTGGTTATCATTATCATCATGGTCTTCAGGCAACAACAAAGTCAACAGAGATCGTCTCAGCCATTTCCAAGAGCTCATTTCAGACCTTGGGATCTCTCTACTTCTACCCTTGCTTTGAGACCATCAGATAACCTTTGGACACCATTATAACATGCTAAGAGGTTTCAATACTGCAAGAGTGGAAGCGAGCGGCAGTCACTTTCGCTGTGGCTTTGTGCGCTTGTGCTGCAAGCTGCTAGCTATCATAGAAGCTACCAGATCCGCGGTCATCGGGACGCTGATTATTCGATTGAATTGAGTACATGTAATTCATTCAATCGAAGAATGATGAATCGAATCGAATCGAATGGAATGCTTCGATCTTGGATCCGCTTTGAAAAAAGAAAGTGCGGGTGCAGTCACCACGTCATCGACTTCTCCGTCTTTCCACCGCCCGCTCTCCGTCAACTAATCCCCATGGCAACAACAACAACAAGAACGGATGTGTTTCTGCTCGTTTTGCTGTCGCCTCTTTGTCAACCGACTCGACTCGACTCGACTCACTCCTACACTACTGAGTACGCGTCAAGTGTGTGAATGAGTGATGTCCTGTCCTTCTATTACTATAATATCAACACCCGAGGTGTCGAGCTGAGAGGTGCTGAAAGGCGTCGAGAGTGTGTTGTTTGAGCGTAGCGGTGGTCCACCGGTAGGTGGCTGGGACGCACTCGTAAAAAATCATCTGTGTGCGGAAAGAGATTTAACTCACGCCTCCAGTACTGGTACCGGTATAGCAAACACAGGGTATAGCAAACACAGTGGCCGGCCATATCCCAAAATTTGCCAAAACAGACAGCATGGGAAACAGAGTTATGTGGCTTGAAACAGAGATATGTGCCTGATGCAAGCAGTCTGCTCACGCCTCCAGTACTGGTACCGGTATAGCAAACACAGTGGCCGACGATATCCCAAATTTTGCCAAAACAGACAGCATGGGAAACAGAGTTATGTGGCTTGAAACAGAGAATGTGGCTGACGCAAGCAGTCGGCTCTAAATCTCGTATTTCGGCGAGATTTAACTGGCTAGTCTACTATTTTAATAGTGTAGCAAGCACAGTGGCCGGCAATATCCAAAAATTTGCCAAAACATGCAGCATGGGAAACAGAGTACAGTCATGACACAGCAAGCCTGCTTTAAATCTCCGAATATCCATGGATTTAACTTGCTAGTTAGTATGGCAAAAGAGTGGCCGGCAATATCCAAAAATTTGCCAAAACATGCAGCATGGGAAACAGAGTACAGTCATGACACAGCAAGCCTCCTATAAATCTCCGAATATCCATGGATTTAACTTGCTACTTTAGTATGGCAAAAAAAAGTGGCCGGCAATATCCAAAAATTTGCCAAAACATGCAGCATGGGAAACAGAGTACCGGTACAGTCCATCACAAAGCAAGCCTGCTATAAATCTCCGAATATCCATGGATTTAACTTGCTACTTTAGTATGGCAAAAAAGGTGAGCGACGAAGCCTGCCCAAATACTGAGACTTATAGCTTATTGCTCTTTTTAAATCTCTCTAGATTCATAAAGATCTAAAGATCTAAAACAGCTCATTTGACAACAAAGGCGTCTTTACGGAAGAAATGCCGCGTGTCCACGATTGACCTATGAGAACTCGTCAAAGTCAAGACATCACAGCACTATGCGTACCTGAAACCTGCAATATCATACCTTCACTATAGACCATTATTACTAAAACATGACATCTGAAACTCTCGACAAAAGCAAAGATGACAGCATGGAACGTCCTCTCTCTCCTGGCGAAATAGTCGGCTTGTTTGCCCTGGTGCTGACCATGTATCCAGTTTGCCTTGGAAGTATCTTTTTCGCCGGGGCGTACATCCACTCCTACCCCGATTCGCCGCCTCTTTGGTATGGATTTTGGGCTTCGATTGGTGGCTTGACGACGGTTGGTCTGGTCTCCGTGGCTCTTCTCTTGGACTGTCCTCGTTTGGTCCGTCAACGAATGGCCAAGACAATGGCTGGCAAGACCGAGTCTTCGTCGGAGCAACTCTTCCACAAATTGACCTCGGCCGTGTTCCTGTCCGCCATGCTGGGAATGGGCTATGAAGGGGTGGGTCGACGAGATTCGTTTCCCCACAAACTGGTCTGGGTGGCATTGGCCGTCTACGCCAGTTCCATGATGTGGATCATTTACGTCTTTCGCAGCAACAAGTATGCTGCCAGAATCGTCTTTGTACAGAAGGGACAGCAACTCATATCGACTGGGCCATATGCCATCGTGAGGCACCCTATGTACATGGGGATCATCCCCATGTGTTTGTCATTGCCATTGATAGTGGGATCCGTGTGGCCAGTGATACCAATGGCACTCTGTGCAGTGTTCACCGGGATTCGCACCTATGACGAGGAAGAATTCTTGGTTCGGACCTTTGGAGATGAATATCTGGACTATCGCAAAAAGGTTCCCTATCGAATGATCCCGCTTGTCTTTTGAAGCAATATTACATGTTGTACTTGTAGAATAGTAACAATGTGGTGTCTATGCTATTTTGTTGCTTGTCATAAGCATTCATTGGTCACCGGACCAATAGGTCTCTCAAATCGGCCAACCAACGACAATGGTGGAGCACCAAACAGTGGCACTCCTTTCATACAATAGGGTTGTCCTTCCGCGCACAGAAAACGAGGCCATGCTGGATTACATGATCTCTGGGTTTTAGGGCATGCGACCAGTCGTTTCTGGGCCTCTCCTCCATATGTGCTCGGGATGGCGGCATTAAATTTGCAATCCTATGCCAGAAGTCGTGCTGGTGCAAACGTCTCACGGGCATCTCTTCTGACGAGCCCATCGGAGAACAGGCAAACGACAACTCGAAGCAGCTGCTGAGCATGTGTACATGTATTTGTTGCGGGAGAAACCATTCTAATGTGCCCATTTCGGAATGTCTAGCTAGATTTCCGCTTTGTGCTGCAACTTCCCAGCAAAACGGCATCTCCACAGGAGGCTTGAACGGCTTTGGAAGGAGACATGGTTGAACGAGTGTCTCGGCTTGGACTCTTGCAATGGTCTGTAGTGAACCGTTTCGTGGCTGCGTGCTGCTTGCATGGCTCCAATGCGATTCGATTCTTCTTGGGGGCAGGGAGGCTTCTGATTACTAGTAGTTAGTTGTAGTCAGTTGCCTGTGTTTCATGCAATGTGAGTACTGGTAGGTTGTGCAAATACGGACTTGTTCACAGCAATACACAGCAATCAGCTCCTCAATCTCCGATGCTTGCTAGCTAGCTAGTATGTATGTAGCCTTCTCGCTGCCTGTCCATTTAAATTCAAAAACACGGTATTATTAGCTCTTCTGGAGGACTGGGATTTCTATTGAGTTAATCGTGCGTATCTTGCGTATCTTGCGTGTTTTTGCGTGTCTGGGCGTGGGCTTGCTTAGTTTTGCTTGGTTATGCATATAATTTATTTGTACCCTCCATAATATCCATCAAAGACGGACAAGGGCCAAGGAGACCCTCCACGACCTTCTTTGTGTTTAGTTGTTTACCTTAGTTTGATACCGGTACCAGTATTAGTCTGCTAGCTAAGGACTTGCCAATGTATTACATGTACGAGGTACGAGGAGAGTTGTTGAGGGCGCCTTTCCAAGAGGTTCGCCGTTTCTTGTCCCCGGGCACCTCAAGGTTTGGTGAAAGTCCCAAACATGGAGTGATACCTGCATTGCAGGAAGGGCCTTGTAATATTCTTGGGATTGTACAGTATTTGCTATACTGGAAGCACCCAAGACCTCCTAATACTGCACAGAGCAGCCACAGCACTTGTACTAGCTAGAGGGGTCAGATCCTTTTCCGCTGGTACCGGTATGGTGTAAAACATGGTTGACAAGCTTACTGGTTCTTCCCCCTTCCTTTTAATTAACCCCTTATACTAGTTTGGCACTTTTTTGTTATTTTCTCAATTAGTTAGTACTCTGCCATAGTTTAGCTAGTACTGGCAACAGGAATCTAACAGGAGACCACATGACCACATCGTTTATTTGTGTACTAGTATGGTACTGTACCGGTACCATATACTGGAGTAACTTGAGTACGCTTATGTATGCATACTGAGTACTGAACATGAGTCACGAGGACTCGATCCAAAACTGAAGTTAATTTTTTAATAACTAACTTTAAAACTGATGTGGAAGCAAACGGGATCCCGGATGCTTGAAACCTGGCCAAATCTACTAAATAGCAACCGGTACCAGTGACAACGGGCTGGAATTACATAGACAGTACTGGAATCTTCAACAAAGATGCCCGTGGTTGGATCCAGGATTTGATGGAATCGAATGACTCAATCGAATCGAGCTGTACCAGGTACAACAGTTCCTTGACCATCGCGGAATGCCTCTGTCAAGATCCCAAAAACAAAACAAGCTCAAAAATTTAGAAGAGGAAGGTTATACGACTTGCCAACAAGATGACATTGTTTTCTTCTACGCCTGTCTATGGAAGCAATGGGAATATCAAATGGTACATGACACCTCTTTGGCTCCGCCTGATCGCCATTGTGGGCTACGCTGATATCGCACGACGAGGTGTGCAGCTGCTCCTTGCTCATGTGGCAGGCCATCTGTCGGCTGGAGACGATGATATTGTCTCTGTTGATTTGAGGGAGACTCTCAATGCAGTGACAGTCTTTTTACTCGTTTATGCGGTCGAAACCACGATTGGGATTCTCTTTGGATGGGCCACAACGTACCATTTTGGTATCCGATGCGTCTACGAACATCATCTCCCCTGTTTGATTTGGGCGGTTTTCTTGTTCCGATACTACTACAATATGTGCCAGGAAGCGACGACAAGTGATCAGCTAAAGGAAGAATCCAAGCGGTTGGCTGTGGATCTTATTCAGGCTACCATGTGTTGTGGCTTCATAACGCAATTTTCCGAAGTCATGGATACCTCTTTTACCTTTCACAAACCACCCTTCAAGGAATCGTCAAGGAAGATTTACCAAAGTTTGGCGACAGCGGTAACCCTTCTCTTTGACTTTTCCATTTTACATGGCTTTTATACCTACATACCACTTCGATGGAGTGGTCGTTTGGGCGCTGTGTCCGTGTGTGAGATTGTATGTTGTCTCATGTTGTTGATGTTGCTCGGACTGCATTTCACATATATTAACGAACTTCGGCGCAAGATTTTTGCAAAGGGAACCACCAAGAGTGAGAAGGACAAGGCATGAAAGACTTCTGTTTTGAATGAAGCAGAAGGAAGCGGTCAGTCGGCACAAAAATTGAAGTACGGTTGCCTGGAAATACATTTTCAACTTGCAACGCCACAGATACATGTACAGTACCTATACCCATGGCATGTTGCAGCCAGTAGCCCTTGTTACAGAACGGTATTAGTACCTTTATAAATTTAAACACGTTGTGTATTCAATCTGGCTCATTAGCTTCGTACATGTAGCCTGATACGAAATCCCTGAAGTGGTACACCGGTACGTAACCAGCAGTTCTGCAGATGTAGACCCCAGTTCGTATTTTTTCTTTTTTAGCGTGCTTGATAAAGTCTGTACTTACTTGTGCGTACCTGTGCGTTTCTGGCTGTGATGTCTCAGAATCCCCACCTCCCAGATTCATAGAGAACATGTACAGTATTGCGCGTTAAAACCTCCTCTAGCTAGCTAGCTACGTGTGTACAGTGTACCTGTACATGGCAAGATCACTCTCTACCTCCCATGGTACGAAGATGGGCTTGTGCATGAAGGCGAAAGCAAGCAGAAGGGCAAGCAAAGAGCTCAGAGGGGGGTGGATCCGCCTACTAGACCATATGGCAGCCCATGGATACGTGAAGTAGGAGCCAAGTCTTCTCGCTGATGGAAATCACCCGACTCTAGGTCTTGCTTGGAGGCATAAGGCACTGTCTCGTCCAGCCATCATGGCAATTTGGAACTGCCAAAAAAGTTGGGAGTCGATGGCGGATTCTTCTGGTCCTTCCATTGGCCCAGCATGAGAAGCAAAAAGCCAAGGCGGTCCTTTGGATTGGGAAACGAAAACTCAAAAGCTCATACTCCAGTGGGCAATTCTGCATGGGCAAAAGAGCATGACACCAGGGAAGGATGAGGAGGACTTGCATTGGGTGGCAAGTAAAAGCTGAGAAAACCAATGGTTAGTACTTCCAATGCTCGGGCCTAGCTCGCAAACCGGCCAGCCACATCGGATCTTCACAGTACCGTACCCATGTAGGCAGGTAGTGACCTTGATTGAGGACACCCATACTCATGAGTTGATAAACATTTGAGTGCACTCTGGTTACTAGCTAGTAGTAATGTGTTTTTACTAAAAACATGCAAGAAACGTATCGTATAAAGTTGCCGAGACACTAACTGGCTGGACTTGGCCACACTTGCTTCGCCAGTAAGATTGTGCTCACAGCGAACCAAGCGAAGGGTCGATTGTAGAGTCGTCACTACTCCTGGATAGCATGCTCTTTTCTTCTTCGTTGTCTCTGTTCGTAAAGACTCCATCACGGGAAATGGATCGACTGACACTGTTGCCAAGGGCCAATGTTTTGGTTTCGGGGAACGTCCACGTCAACAAACTGGTCAACAAGGTGATGACTCCCACGACAATGGCGACAACGCTAAACTTCATGCCCGGAGTGACCATGTGGTAGGCACTGGCAGCACCACCCAAACTGGCCAGAGCATGAGCCGTGATATGAAAGGTGGCCCGGATCTTCTTGGGCAAGATTTCGACCGTGTGTACCCTGCAAGTGGGAAACGATAGAGCCGTGGTTAGAGTCGAAGGATCAAGATAGATACTCGGATCCATGTACAGTAGCACACGGCAACAAACAAGTCGAGCAAGTTGACAACGTACCAAGTCACATTCGTAGCTAACGTGATGAACATACGTGCCACGAAACAGAGATAAAAGAGATAACTCGTGGCGATGCGATCATCGGTGGTATTGTCTTCGACGTTGCGTCCAATGCCAATGCCCATAATAAGAATTCCGGCCACCAAATAGGACACGGCCTGTGTGGGGACCCGTCCCACTCGATCAATGGCAAAAATGGCAATGGCGATTCCCGCCAACTCGGCAATGGCTGACACCCCAATCCACACAAATTCAAAGTCATCTTCTGCTCCGTCCGTATTGGAAATGGTCATGTGAATGAGTTGCACGTACGAGTAATACAAAAAGTCGACCACGAGGAACGTTGGCAAGAGACACATGATCATGCGACGCCATTCTTTGCGAAACAATCGTGTAATGGCCTTCCATTTGGATTTGGTCTTGCCCCCTCGCATGAGATGTGCCGATTGGGGACAAATCGCCCAAGGATCTTGATGATTGATAATGGCGGCATCCCGGAGAATACTGAGTGCGACTTCGTTTTGTCCCTTGCTCATGAGCCAACGAGGCGATTCGGGTAAAATCATGAAACCCGCCACGAGGGAAATGACACTGGGGATACTGCAGAGAAACAAAAAGACTGGCGGTCCCAATCCATCCTTGTCGAGGGTAGCCAATCCCAAAAAGGGCGTCACAATGGACCCCAACGCCCATGCGTATCCGAGTTTGAGGAGTGTGACACCCCGCTGTTGATGAGGTACGAATTCCGCGAGGTAGTAAAAGGGTGCATTGGTTCCACCCAATCCAAATCCCACAAGGAATCGCATAATCATGATACCGGCATAGTTGGGCATGAGACCGCCCACAAAGCCAAAGAGGGACGTGGTGGCAGCACACACGAGAAAGGTACTCCGTCGTCCAAACGAATCCGAGGCGAAATTGACAAAGAAGACTCCCATAAAGGTACCCAGGAACAAAATGGCCGTCAAGGATGCCGCTTGGAAATCGGACAGGTTGCCGCCGTCAAAGTCTTGTGGGAAAAAGAAGGACGCCATGACGGCCATGCAGTTGGCCATGGTGGCAATTCCTCCCATGATCAACAGGCGCGTGTGGAAGGGACCATATTCCAATCGGGCTGAACACAAAGAAAGAACGAAGTAATAAGGTGGATAGTGAGATTCCTGATGGCTGACTATCATGCTTCCAAGCAAACTTAGAAGATACCCCCACTTCCACCTCGCCAATGATAAGATCAGATAAGATCAGAACATACCTAAAGCATCGTCGATTGTCAACTTGACGGGGCTGCCCGAGGAAGAACTCTTCTTCTTGCCGCCACTGCTACCGTGACTGGACGGCATTTTCCACTCTGTCTTTCTGTGTTTCTATTGAGTGAATGGATATGAAAGTTGATTATTGTTTGATGTGAATAGAATACCCAAGAGTATCCCCTCTTCTACCCAATGGATTCTAGCTAGCTGTTGGTGGAAGTGCAGTTGGATGGATGGTTGGATTGGTGTTCAACAAAGCGTTGTACCGTTGTACCGTTGTTTGCTTTTATTAATGAACTCTCAAACCTGTTCCCCTTTGTAGCCAGGGGTGCCAAATCATCCGTCAATGGGATGTATATCGATGCGGGATGCTTTCTTTTCGTCGCTCCTTGCTTGGTCGAGTTGACCATCAGACAAACAACACACAAGGATCTGTTCAGACCACAAAAGCAAACTCGTTGGGCACACTTCTTGCTTCTTCACCGCCGCTATCCAAGCTCCCTGTAGCCAAGCAAGAGCTCTCAATGGTAACGCTACAAAATTGGCCAAAATTGCTTAGCGCCTGGTTGCCCCAGGGTTCTCGCATGAATGAAAGTCATGATGTTCTTCGGACTTCTGAAACTAATGATTGGTTTAGCCTTGATTATTAGAAGCTTATGATACGATAAAAGAGTTTTGCCTCAAGAGCACCCAAACATACTTTTGCCTTTTGCCGGTACCAGTGTACCAGTAGCTAGCTTGGTATCAGTAGGACTACGTACTACGGTAGTACTGTACATGCGCCTTATTGCAATCAGCTCATCAGCCAATACTACCTTTTGGAAACAAGATAACAAGCAGATGGTGCAATACTACATGTAGCTAGCTAGACGTCCTTGAAAACTTCAAAACGCTTCCCTTGTAATACCTGGAAATGAGTTGAAACTTCCTCACAAGCAGACAGAAAGAGAAATCACTGGTGGATGATAAGGAGATAAGGCATATATAAAGTTCAATCTACTGATGATGTAGGTCAAAACTCATATTATTGTTTGTGCTGCTGATACAGTAAGATCCTTGAACTAAACATTCTATACATATCTTATATACAAGGTATATACGTCGTCTCGCACGCTTCGTGGGAGTCGAGAAACTGTGTCCAGGGACATCCCCATCATGCTTCCAAGCTACTAGTACCAAGCTGACCGATGGCACACGGGGTGGTCATTGGAGCCAAGCGTGATGGGAAACGTGGCTTCTACACTGGTCCCTTTTAACTATGAAGGCAAGCTTTACATGTAGCAGGTTCCCATCCATGCCGGTCAAGCACAGATAGAAAGAAGGGAACTAGGGGCAAGGGTGGCTCCACAGGAGGCGACAATGCTATGTGGCTGCCTTGGAAGCTAAGTTAGCTAACTACGGTAGCTACGGTACTTGCCAGGTAAGAGCCATCCACAGAGAGATTTTTAGCTAGAGGGGCACAAGCGGGGCAGGAGGATAGGTCTGCCTAGAATGATGCTGCAGCCAATCTTTTCTCATCTGGGCGTTGCTGGAGGGAGGAGGGCAACGCCTAAATGAGGTCACACAAAGATCCTCACTGCCACATACTAGCTTTACCAGAGCGAGCTCCTCCTCGTCTCCTAGTATCATAGCCAGATACTGCTCAGTGTTAATATCCGGGGTCAAAGCTCTGAGCTCTCTTTGTGACCATCAGCTAACCATCGAACCTACAATTGTCCATCTCCCGTGCGCGGGTACGGCGGACACAACTCGCAGCTGAGTCTTTCAGTTCGCCTCCTTGACCACCAATTTCGATCGAAGCGAGGGATTTAAAATACTAGCTAGGCATGTGGCCACTTGGGAACTTCCTCGGGGATGAAGTCAACACCTATGTTCTTGAGTCTTGAGTGTAGTGTTATTATAATATGACTTTATTATTTAAGCGTTCCCAAATGGTGACAGCTTGGGGATGGAGGAAGGGACAGCAGGGGCTATGATGCTGCTATTCGTTCTTCTTCTCCTGCCTCTAGCTCCTCCCAACTTCCTTGTGTGCCCGTCGTTTGAATGACTTGTTCAGCGGCATTGTCACCTGCAGCATCAGTGTTTTGTGCATCCGTACTTCCAACGTTTTCATCCGCCGCTTCACTAACATCCTTGGAAGCTTCTGTCTCAATGTTTTTGTCGTTCGTCGTTTCCACGACATCGTCGTCTACCGCCTCGATGACATTTTCTTCCAGGGCGACCTTGTCTCCCTTTTCGCTGTCGTCTGCAGCTTCCACAACGTCGTCTTCTTTGTCCCGTGGTATTGCTTCCTCCATTGTGAGTGTATCTGCTGCATGTTGATCATTGCTGCCATCCAGCGTGGATGGTGAAGGCGAGGTTTTAGGTGACGAGGCCCGACTAATGGCCGTGCCCAAGGCAACGCCTCTTGTTTCGGGGAGCATCCACGTCAATGAAGCCGTCGTGATCGTGATTGTTCCCATGACAATGCCAATGGTCAACATGGAATGATCTGGAGACACGATAAAGGGACTGAGAGCGCCTCCAGATCCAGCCAGGGCATCTGCCACGGCATGGGCCGTGTTTCGTATTTGAGTTGGCAGCATTTCTGCTGTGTGGACCCTGTTTGTGTGGTGGAGAGGTTGAGATCAGAGCAGTGGTGAGTGACTCTGTCGATGTCGACAGTTGCACAACATATAAAGGAGAGACATTCATTCAAATGGTAACTCATACCATGTGACACTGGTAGCTGCCATGATGAACATTCTGGAACAAAACGCCAACAGGACCAATATATACCGTTCGGTTTCACTGCCCGTATCTTCCATGTAAGCTACCAAACAGAGACAAAAGACAGACAAGGCCCCGGCTGCATATGCCACCGCCTGCGTTGGAACCCTGCCTACGCGATCGATGAGAGCCAACACTGCAGTTTGTCCAATGATCTCTGCCAAGGAACTACCAAAGATGGCTCCGTAATCATACGCGTATTGTTCGCCATCCTCAAACAGCTTGAGATTGCCCTCAAACTCGGCAAAGACAAGGGTCACAACTTGGATGGTACCCCAATAGATAAAGTCCAAAAAGGCCCACACGAGTAACATACAGATCACCATTGATCGCCATTGTGGCATGAACAGACTGGCAATGCTGTCCATTTGTTCATCTTCTGAAGAATCTGTAAGAATGGTACCTGGCGGATACACCTTGTCGGCGTTTTGGTTGTTGCTCTTGGCAGCGTTTTGGAGAATGGTCAGGGCTTCCTCGTCCCGGCCCTGCGTCAATAGCCACCGAGGAGACTCTGGCACCCAAAGATATCCAAAGATCATGCTGAACCAACAGGGGATGCTGCAAAGTAGCAAAAACAGCCTCCACGATTCCTTTTCCTGCATGGCATACCATGCCAGAAGGGGAGTGGCAGAGGTTCCGACGGTCCAAAAGTACCCTAGATACAAGAGAAAGGCTCCTCGGAAGCGACTGGGTGTCAGTTCTGCCAAGGTATCAAATGGGATGACTGTCCCTCCAACACCAATGCCCACGCCAAACCGTAGTAACACCAGTGCTTCAAATGTGGGAGCATAGGCACTGGCTAGTCCACAAACAGCCGTGATGGTGGATGAGAGAAGAAACATTGGTTTTCTCCCTACTCGATCCCCCAGCGGTCCAAAAGCCAATGTACCTGTGGGAGAAGATAGACATGGAGAGCGAGAGAGTTAGATGGGAAAGATCTGATCACCGCTGTAGGTACCGTATCTGCGGAGAGAGGCAGCAAAGAATCCAATTGTGTAGGGTAGCCGGCCAAACTCACCAAACAAGATCCCAAAGAAGACACTGCTTTCAAACCAACTTGACTGGTCAATGCTGATATTAAATTCAATGATAATGGCGTTTCTGATAAAGCTCAAAGCCATGACTGCCATGGCATTGACACCATTGCATACCCCGGAAGCATAGAGTAGCCTTCGTTGGAATCGCCCTTTTGCGAGCCGATCAATGGCTTCGTCAATAGTGATCTTTCGGACTACGCCATCAAAATCTTGCTGGACCATGGCGGCACCTTCTTCCGGTGCAGAGTCCCATGATGACATTGTCGGGAGGGGCGATATATGAGGGCGGCACTGTGGATTGAATGGTTTTCAGCAGTGTGTATATGTGATTGGCTGCAGATGAGGGGATATCTGGAGCTACCAGCTACTCAAGGACTACGCAGTGATGGGTAAGTGAAGGCACCGGTTGTGTTCTGCTCTTCTTCTATCCAGCATGCAGATTGGGATAGGACAGGCTAATGGAAAGATTGGGATCTTTCCCAGGACAATGGGTGGTGCTGTGTGGATTGTTGATTGGGTTGATGGTGAGCCACAGGCAACGGCTCTCCGATCTAATGCTATTCTATCCTCTCAAGTTCCGGTAAGTGCTCTTTGAGAACAACAAACACTTCTGATACCCTGAGTCTCCTTTTCTTCGAAGAGCCCAAGAGAAAAGCTTAACTAAGGATGAAGTCAACCCTGACAATCTTTTGGTTCAAAGGCTTGCTATTGACAAAGCCGACTTTTGATGATCCAAAGCAATGCTGTTCTTTGGTTACAGGATGAAGCAAGACAAGAGTCTCTCTTTCCAGGGAATGGCTGGTGTCTTCCCCTCGGTGGCCAAGCTCGGGATTTGACTGCCGCCAAAACCCAACAACGCAACAAGCCCCACAAGACTTTCTTGCTGCTTTCCAGCTAGCACACGACGCGTTTTAGGGTTTCCCATCAGACTAGCTACTAGTAGTAGTCCAGACGAGTGCCTGGGTTGATGTGCAGAGTCCATGGAGGTATCCGAGAAAGTCATTGGTAAAGGATACCAGATCCTTGGTGGACTTCCGCGAAATTGATTCAGAATTAAAGGGAAAGCAAAGCGGTACTCAATGCAACGTTTCTTTAAGCCTCCCACATGTGACGTCACTCATTCTTGGATGCAAAACATTATAAGCTGGCTAAGCGGTGTGCGGACCAAGCAAGGTCATCATCTCATTTCTTTAGAAACCTGAAGGGATCTTTGGCCGGTGTTGTTGCTGTCGTCGTTGCCGTTGTTTCTGAGAAAAAGGCAGCATCGTAGCTCTTGTCAAAGACTTCTTCTTTTGGAGACCGACAGCAAGAAGAGGAGCAACGATCAATCGTAGCGCTAGCTAGCTAGGAAGTGTTTCCATCAGCAATTGTAAAGAAATCTGGAATCGAATCAATCAAAAAAGATGAGCGACCCAAGTGCTCCGATGAAGCTCACAGTAGAGCAAGCAATAGGTAAGCCGTTACAGTGCGGTGGGAATGAATGAATCTCGGATGTGCCTGTGGTCTCTCATTCTCAACATTCTGATTCTCTTTTTCGCCTCGTTTATTCAGAACGGCTGGGCACTGGAAAGTTCCAGAGACGGATGGTCATAGCCATGGGGTTGTGCACGGCATCCGATGCCATGGAAGTTCTCTTGCTGAGTTTCTTATCCATTGTGGTGCAGCATGAGTTTGGTGTGGGACCCCACGAAGGATCCCTCTTGACATCCAGTAAGTGTACAGAATCAATCAGAAATGATGGGTAGACAGGTGCTGCCTTGTCTGTCGGGATAGCTATTATTATGACGTTGCCTCACCTTGCATTCGTTTATTCCCATCCTCCTCACAGGTGTCTTTATAGGAGCCATGATTGGAACCTTCATTCTGGGAAGGATGGGAGATATTGTGGGCCGAAAACCCATGTTTTTGACTTCCTCCGTTATCATTTCTGTAGCTGGTTTGCTCACTGCCCTAGCACAGTCCTATTGGGTCATGGTGGTTCTGAGAATGGGAGTTGGTGTGGGTCTTGGTGGATTGGTCATCCCTTACGATTCACTGGCAGAACTCATGCCATCGAGAGATCGAGGTAAGCTATTTTGTCAGGTACAATGCAAACCGTGGGCCAGCCTAGCTAGCTAGCCCACTGGTTCTGGCCAACTAGCAGTGGAGCTTTGACTCGGTAGGTTCTAATTCCTTTCCCTGTGTTTCAACAGGTCGCTATTTGGTGAGAAACTAGCTGGATCTTTCCCCATGATTGGCTTCATTTTCGTGTCCGATACCTCGAAGGCTAAGCTGGTTTTGACGGTGCCTCTCTAACTCCCTGCTCTTTCTACTGCTCCTCTATAGTTATTGGGGGGATACTTTTGGGCTCTTGGTTCCGTCTCAGTTGCGGGACTAGCCTTCTTGGGGCTACAAGAAGAAGGCTCCTGGAGATTGTTTGTCCTTCTTTGCAGTGTCCCTTGTGTCATTAGTACCTTTCTAGCCATCGTTTGGGTGCCGGAGAGTCCTCGTTGGTTGGCGTCCAAAGGCAAAGAAGAGAGGGCGCTGGAGATTCTGAGAGACGCAGCAAGACAAAACGGGAAAGATCCCATGGCAGTGTTCCCTGCTGGACTCACCCTGGTTGAGAATCCAAATGAAGAGCAGCTCCATTCGTTGGGTTGCTTGTTCAAGAAAGAGTGGAGAAAGTTGACACTTATCATTTGGGGCGTTTGGTTGGGCAAGTCGTTCATGTACTGGGGTACCGTTCAACTGGTCACGCTTGTCTTTGCCAATGAAGACCCCAACAATTTGCAAAACGATCAGACGTACACATTCGACTACGGAGCCATTGGCGCCAGTGCCTTGGCAGAGGTAGTTGGTGCTACCATTACAATTGTGTTTTTGGAACGAGGAGGACGCATGACTCTCCAATCCATCCTCTACTTGATGACCGGAATTTTCTCAATCATATTGTGCTTGTTTGCTTCTGACGCGTCCCCCAATCGAGCAGTGTTGGTGGTCTTTGCCTTTCTTGCCAGAATGTGCGCCCAAGGGGCGACTGGTTTGACATGGCTCATTACGGCTGAGATTATTCCAACCCGAATTCGCAACACGGGACATGCCACCGCCAGTGCCATTGCAAGGATTGGAGGAGCATGTAGCCCATGGCTCATGTCCTCGGAGAATTCATTCCAAACCATTGCCATTGCCTATGGATTTGTGACAATCTACATCACCATTATGGTGTGCTTCTTGCCGGAAACTGGCGGAACAGAACTGGGAACCGCGGGATCGTTCAGTGAGGAGGATCATACACATGTCAGTGAGATCATCTGAGCTTGCCAGCAAAAGGAATAGAGAATCACTACGCGAGAGAACCTGGCTGTAAGCCTGGCACGACGCTGATACCGGTACCCGAGTGACGGTGCAGCTTTTCAATACTCGAATGCATACGAATCCTACATGAAAAATGGGCCAGGAGTCATGGGTAAAATCCTGCTTCTGAACGAAGAATGGCCGCATCCTTACCCTCACCGCTAAGATAGAACAATAGAGACAGATGCATTATCATTCCGGTAGGCTGGTCTTCGATGTCCCTAGCTAGAGCAGCATCATCGCTCCAGCAGTGTAGTGTGGTCTTCAACGCACTTTGCTACATACGGTACAGCGTAGTCTTAGCAACCAAAAGCCAATATCTACGCGACCGAAAAAGTATACATGTACGAAGATGGCCCTACGGTAACGTCAAGACTGCGGCGCGAATGCTTGTGTTCCAGACGGGAAACTGGACTGGCGGGTTAAATATGTAGTTGAGGTAATTATAGGGTTAACATTATGCATTACTCTAAGATTCAACATAAAAAATTGGCTTTACCGCGTCTACCTAAATCTGAGACCTTGCTTCCAATAGCGACCCTTGCTCCTCCCCCTCACCATTCATTTTCATTCCTCTACCATGGCATCCCAACAACAACAAGAGGCAATGGAGGAAGATGTTGACGCGATCGACCACTCCTTGTATGCTCCTTTGACTGGTGGCAATGAGCTCTATAACCGATGGAAGGCAAATCGGAGTCAACTACCAGCTGACTTTAGCAAGTTATTCGAGCCAGATTTGGACGAGCAACACCGTGGTGATCTCTTTGAGGCGGAAGACGAAGAAGCACAAGAAAAGTATGCTTGGGCCGTTCCAGATGAGAGGGCCTTGCGAATCTGCGCCCACTTTGCGCCTCTTGTGGAAATGGGCGCAGGAGCTGGATACTGGGCACGTTTGTTGCGAGAACGAGGGGTGACCATTACAGCCTACGACAAGGACGTTGATGAGAATTGCAAGGCAGCGGGTGTCAGCTCCAGGCCCTTTACCAAGGTGGAAAAAGGAGGGCCTGAAGTTCTGGCTCTGTTTCCCAATGCCACTCTGCTGTTGATTTATCCCGATGACTATGAGCAAAGTGACGAAGAGTTGACCTTGTCCATGGCGGCACTGCAGCATTTCCAAGGAGACACTATTATTCATGTGGGAGAGTGGCTTGGCAGTACATTGACACTGTCGATGGAGGGACAAGAGACTCCTGATTCTGTATATCCATGGGGACGAAGCACGAGTCCTGATTTTCAAATTGTCATGGAGGCTTCCTTCCATCGCGTTTTGCAAGTTGGCTTGCCTAATTGGGGCTCTGTTCGGAACTGCCTGACAGTCTGGAAACGACATAGGTCCGTGGTTCTGGAAGGGGACCGATATGCCTACATACCAGAAGAGGAACAGATTGAGATCGCGTTGGCTTCACCTTCTACAAAGCACCTCTTGGAAGAACCATAGACACCACAATCAATATGCATCTGGAACGAACGAATGAATGAACACTTGATATATGTTGTCCAAAGAATGGCAAGTAAATTATCAGACCACGAAAAGCTAGTTTCTCTTGGGATACCGAACGACTGGTTGTGGTACTGGTTTCAACAATATCTCTTCGCTGTCAACTTGGCTACATGCTTGAAGCTCCCAACTTGCAATCTAGTGAAAGAGCTCCTTGATGACAATTGCCAATAGTCGAATTCGAATCAGGTTGAGGTCATGATAATGCCTTCCATCCCCAATGGCCGTGTAGTCACAGGACTGTAAATCATGATCATTGAATATAGCAATCGTGACATTCTTGCCTTCATTCCCCTTCTTTGCGACAAAATCAAATGTCCGTTGGTTCAGGTGTTGTGCTCCGTGTTCATCAAACGTTGCATCTCGACAATACCGATAGAGTTGTGGAGCTGTAATGTTGTATTTGGAATCATTGGACAGTTTGACTTGAAAGCTTTGGATGCACTGTTGGATGATATTGTTGGTGCCATCTTCCTTCATTTCCTGCCGGGCCTTTCCATAATCTTTGGCGGCTCGTCGATAGGCTCCCTCGTAGTTTTGATCACAGACGAAATTGGTCGTTTTCAACAGCAGGAGACGGATTCCAACCTGTTCTGCCAATGTTACAATGCCACGCAGCCACTCTTCATAGTGGACCACATGATTCATGTAACAAGAACTGGCATCTCGTCCTGCCTTTTCAAAATGCAGCCAGTGAAGTCCGACCTGAACCACCAAGACGTGAGGTTTTTGCAATCGGATGTGTCGCCATTCAGCATCATAGGAACAGGACTTCATGATTCCACCTCGTCTTCCTTCCCATTGGATGTAAGTGTCTCTGAATGCTCTTGTGCTATCTGCTGCAGTCTTTCCCTGAATAATAGTCGGTGAGCCGTTTGCCCATCCCACATTCACGTCGCTGCTAGGATTGATTCTCCTATTGGCTTCCTGGAGTCCTCCACTGCTATTGCTGAGCAAGATTGCATTTTGTTCCTGAGCCGTGAAGTTCAACATGAGTGCTTGCATCCACCGAACTAGATAGTAAGACGTCGAATCCCCAACAAAAGCAACTTTCTTGTTTCCAAATGCAGCTTGAATCAATGCCGAGGAGAGAACAGGGAAGTGCACTTCTTCTCTGTCAGGAAGATAGGATGTCCAGGGTAATAGAGCTGTATCCTGGGGATTCTTGTGAAGCACTTGGGTGAACTCCTTCAGGGCCACATCAAAAGCACTGGTCATTGGTGCAGCAGCCCCCCTTGTTGTATCTACGATCACAGTCGTTTGTCCTTGTTCGCCATTGGTACTAGTCCGAGACCAGGCATAGAAAAACACGTTGTTACTCAGAGTGCAGATCGTCAACAGCAGAGCCAAAGCCAACACCTGGCATGCCCGATGCAGAAAATTGTTCATTGTTGCCCAATGTTGTGAAGCATTTGCTTCCCGAAGAGTCAACTGTTCGTACAGGTCGCATTGATGGACCACAACATGTGGCGCAGCGTGGAACACTTTTCGGCTAGCGTCGGTTCCATCCTGCAACCGGTACCGGTACCAGGTACCCCCCACCCTAATACGGTAGCCGAAGTCCAGAACCATACCGTATCCTCCCAAACGACGGAACGCGACAACACAACAACAAGAAGCAGAGAGGCTTGGGACATTTGGCGTTTCGACCCTCACACTCTTGAAGAGATCAGTTCTGTTGCCGCTGTCGAGACCATGACGAGTACCGAACCTATTGAAATCGAGAGCTTGGAGGTGCCACTCCCCCAGGCATTTGCCTTGTTGGCCGATGAAGAGTATCATGATGTCTCGCTCAAAGGCACAGATGGAGTGCTGGAATCGAGCAGCCTTGTCTGTCCGTAGCAAGTACTTCAAGACCATGTTCAAAAAGGGTGGATTCAAGGAATCCACCGATGCAGTAGTATCCATTGGATTGTTTTCTGGCAAGGTCCTCCAGGCAATTGTGGAGTATATCCACACCGACACTGCCACCATTTTGGCTAAACATGCGGAAGGCGCCATTGGAGAAAACGCATCTGAAACTGCTGCTGATCACATGAACGAATTCCGGACATTGGCATCGTTGACAGAAGCAGCCATGTTTGTGGGTTTGCCAGGCCTCTGTCGAAAGACTCAGAATTGCATCGGTACCTTCCTGAGTTTGATGCCCTCCATGGCATTTGCTGTCTTGGCAGCATCCAAACAAGAGGGACCTGTGATTTCATGGGAGTTGACCAATCATGCTTGGAGAATCTTCTCCAGAACCACTGGATTCCTGGATGAAGTTGTTCTACAGCACATCTCTGACACTGTGCTGTTGGCGTTAATTCCAGACGCCAAGGCCAAGATTGACATGACACAACTCTTCAATCTAATCCATTCTTGGTCCCAGGGTGAGCCATCCCTCCCTGATGAAGACCGCCAAAATTATGCCAAGGCCATGGTTCAAGACCATGTGGAACTTGACTTGATGGACCCAGATGATTTATCTGCCTTGGTAGAAACGTCTGGCTTGGTGACCAAAGATCAGCTGTATGATGTCTTCAAGAAGCAAGCCAAGAAAGCCAAGCACGATCATGATGTTTCCTTTTCCCGGCCACCGTTGGATTTTGTTTTGGTGGAGTGGAAGAGGGCCCTTTCAAAACAGTTTAAAGTTCGGTCCGGAACTAGGTGGAGAAGTGATTCTCTGAAAGTACCTGCTGTTGAAGATGGAGCAAAGGTTTGCTGGACTGTCACCATCCATGCTAGGACTACTGGTCTCACAGAAGCGATGTTTGGCTTGGTTTGGCCAAATCTACCTCTAATGTCGACGCCACTGCATTTTGCGGCTCTCAACGCTACTGTTGGGGTGTCCTTGGTAGCACGGGAAAAGAGTATTCATATCGGAACCGTGATCGATACCTTGGCGAAAATACCAAATTCGGAGCAGGATCTCGTGTCACTTTGACACTCGATCTAACTGCCGAAAACCCAAACAATGGGACTTTGTCCCTCCTTGTGGATGGTCATCCATCCGTCACGGCGCTCTCCAATTTAAGAAATCATCTGTCCAGTGGTGTTGGGTTTGTACCAGCCGTGTCCGGCCTTGCAGTGAAAGTGAAAATTGTGGATACTCAGTGGACTTAGTGCTTTCCATGTTTGTGGTAGATGTCAAAGTCCACAATGGCACTGATGCCGAACGGACAACATGCTTGTTGCATGGATGGAGGAACTGGAACGAACGAGAGGCAGCTATACCGGGTGCGGTTCATTGTTTTGGCTCAGGTATTGCAGACGTCCGATATCTACTCATTTGCATTATTAGATGATCTCATAAATTTTACCTAAACAGTGAATTGAATTTCAATCTAGCTACTGGGCTAGGTACTAGGTGCGATGTTTGGTTCCTTTGGTCGGGTTCTTGGTACAGGTGCAACCGCGATCCTTCGTCTGTGGGTTCCTGTGGCGCCTCCCATCACTTTCATTAAAGCCGCCTTGCAGGCTTGCAAAGAGCATCATCATCCGTCCATCAACCAGAGCTCGATCCAAAGATGAAGATGCTGCGACGATGAGATTGCACATCATCAAAGATGCTTTGATTTGAAGCTCTAGACGTTCGCAACTGCACGCAAAATCCCTTTCTGGAAGAAGCCTACAACTGTAGTGTAGAAACCCGCACCATTGGGCACAATAAACGCTCGCAACTCTTCAATTTTCCAACAGTTCCCTCAAAGACTCGATCCTGTCGATCCTACAAAATGGCATCGCCTTGTCAGAATTCAGTGTCCTTAGCGGACAAACTGGCCGATCCTTCCCGACCAGTATTTCTCCTGGGCCATGTTCCTCCCGCCAAGGGAACTCCTTTGGAAAAGTGTCAAGAAATTGGAGACAAGTTTGCCGCTCGATCCAATACGCTGGCGTCGGATGGCTTTATCGTCTACGACATTCAAGATGAACCTCGGGGAGATCGTCCCTTTCCCTTTCGTGAATTGATGGACAGCAGTGCCTACGCTGCCATGCTCACACGGTACAACGACTGTCTGGTGTACAAGTGTGTGGCCGATGCCGACTTTGACCAGTGGACCCGTCGTGCCAGTGAAGAACACGGCCATTCCGCCGTCAATCTCGTGGGACGTCCTTCCTCTCAAGCCGAATATGCCGGACCCACTCTTCCAGCGGCCATGGAACATGTGCGACAATCCAAACGCTTAAAGTTTGGATGTGTTTGTATTGCCGAACGACACACCATGGAGGCAGCTCACAGTCGCAACAAACAGTATCCCACGGAACATCTCAACATGATGCGCAAACAATCCAATGGAGCCGATTGGTTCATTAGTCAGGCCGTGTACGATTGTGAACCCACCATTCGATTGATTCGAGACTATGCCACATTGTGTCGCAAACAGGCGGTCACTCCCAAAAAAATTGTCCTGACATTTTGTCCCGTCAGCAAACCCAAAACGATGCACTTTATCAAGTGGCTGGGAGTTCGTGTGCCGGAGCAAGTGGAACGAGAGATTCTACAAGCCGATAGTCCCGTCGACAAGTCCATTAAAGTTTTGTGTGGACATTTGAGACGTATTCTCACCGAGTGTGCGGGAGCGGGAGTGCCCTTGGGCATCAACTGCGAATCCGTTTCCATTTACCGGGCCGAGATTGATGCCGTCCATGAACTCTTTTGTAGAATGCAAAAGATACTGCTGGATACGCGTGGGTCACCCTGGAAGGTTCAATGGGTCGATGTTCCCATGACTCCGGTAGTGATGATGGCAAATAGGGAGAAAGAGGAGGAGCCAGAGTCGAAGCATGCATTGACTGCCACATCGAATGACGTCCTCCAGGCTGGTTTGGTCGGAGCGTTGGTGGGAGGTGCCTTGGTGGGAATTGGTGTTGTCCTCGGAGGCACAAGCAAGCCTGGAGCCAGCAGCATGTAGAGTTTGGCTTATCAACGTAGCATGGTATATGGTTCTATTGATTGCAAGATTCGTAGTGCGTTTGTCAATTGATTGGTTGGGAGCAGGTATCATCTACTGCACTAGGCGCTCTCATGAGCTTCTTTTCTCTGCTCTTCCTTTGGTGTCCTCATTGAGAACGATGAATCGCAACGTAAATTTACTTCCTCATCGAACAGAGAACCCACAGCCGGCATTAGGTAAAAGCAATCATAACAAAAGCAATCATCTAGTCTGCCGGCCTTGACCTTGTCCGTGCCATCGATTCCTCTGAGGCTCCGATGGATTGGTTATCGTGATAGTGAAACGACCGACGAACAGGGGCGCTACCCATAATCTCTACTAGGACGTTTACCATGGGACTTGCTACAAGGCCCCGTTCAGTTGATTGCTGTGTCCCATGGTTTCAGGCGACGAAATTATACCTTCAAAACAGACAAGGACTAGTTTAGCTATTGTAGACGCCTCGTCTGCACAGTGTGCATTGAATTGCTTGTTGTCGAGTTCTCTGGCGTCCGACGACTGGGTTCCGGTTGTCTTAGCTCTTACTTCTTGTTGGGAAGGCGGTCGTGGTCTTGGTCACCTCTTGCCTGCACTCATACTGTACATGTGACTCTTCTTCTTTCCTATTGCTCTACACAATCTCGCTGACTTGGATAGGTTTCCCATCTGGATCCAGCTCGCGTTTTCCCGCCGTTCCTATTGCTGCTCCGGCCGTTTCGGGTAGATTCCATGCCACAACACTGGTGAGAATACTAACGACCCCCATGACCAGCCCGATGAGTCCAATTGGGTTGGCGGGTGATACCAAAAAGGGAGAAATGGCTCCACCCAATCGAGCGACACCATTGGCCGCCGAATGTCCTGTCGTTCGTATTTGCGTGGGCAGCAGCTCCGCCGTGACAATCCATGTCATGCTGCTGGCTCCCATGGCAAAACACCGTGCAAAGAATGCCAAGACGACCAATACGGAGCGCGGTGTGGTAATGTCAGATGCGGCCCAACACAGACCAAAGACACAAATACCACCCAACAGGTACATGAGCGACGTGATTTTGGTCCGCCCGGCCCGATGAATGAGTAGAATGACCAGCGTTTGTCCCACAATTTCGGCACAACTCGATGAGAAAATGGCTCCGTAATCAAATGTGAGAACGTCCCCATTTTTGAGCTGTGATTCGTCGACAAAGACCAACGTCACCACTTGTATGGTTCCCCAATACAGGAATGCCAACCCAATCCATGTCGACCACAGCAAGATTGTCATTTTGCGCCATTCCGGTTTCAAAAGAGTGAAAACAGATGCCACTTCGGTGTCGGCTTCGTGTTTGTCAATAAGAGTGACACCCTCTGGAAACGTTTCGGTGGGATCCAGTTGGTTGGTGGCTGCGGCGGTTCGTAAGATTTCCAACGCTTGATCGTGTTTGCCTTGGGTGAGTAGCCATCGTGGACTTTCGGGAACAAATACAATGGTTAAAAAGGTGGAGATAACACATGGGATACTGCACAAGACGACAAAGAGACGCCACGAGGATTCTTCCTTGAGACCCAGCCATGCCAGGATGGGCACTGCCATGGTCCCCAGTGTCCAAAAGTATCCCAGAATTAAGAGTTGTGTACCTATAGAAAGAAGGAAAGTTGTATCAGCAGATAGATAGAAAGTGAGAAATGTATCAGCTAGCCAGCAAGTAGCTAGCTAGCTAGACATGATGTATGCACATACCTCTCTGTTCATTGGGTATAAACTCGGCAATGGCATCAAATGGAATGACGACACCTCCCACACCGATTCCCACGCCAAATTGGAAAATCATCATGATCCAATAGGTGGTGGACAATGCCGTGAGCATTCCACACACGGCAATGAGAGTTGTGGAGAACACAAAGAGTGGCTTTCGTCCCAAGGCATCCCCCAATGGACCCAGCACTAGCGTCCCAATCAATGCCCCGATAAAGACAACCGATGTGACGGCGGATGCTTGTTGATGATTCAAATCCCATTCCTTGGTCACGACCAACGTTAGAAAACTCAATAGCAAGACTTCTATCGTATCGGCGGCAATACAGAGACCCGCCGCCAAGAGGAGCCGGCGTTGAAACCGGCCCATTCCAAGTCGTTCTGTAGTACGGTACCAAAAGAAGAAGAAGAGAGCAAAGCAAAGTTCACAGGAGTGAGGTACGATGGATTGATCCGATTGGGACGGTAGCCACCGGAACACGGCAATAGAACATCACAACATCACACAAGCTGCTCGAGCTTTCCTACTGTACGCACCAATGGCCTCATCAATATCCAACTTTAGCGGGGTTGTCATGGTGGAATATCTCTCTGGTTCTATAGCTAGCTATTGCACTACCCGACCTCGCCTTCTGGAAAGCTGGAGGTGTCCAATGTATCGTTGTATCGTTGTTGTTGGATGCCACTACTGTACTTCAGGCTGACAAGAGCTGGAGATGGCAAGGTTGGCTTAGTCTACTAGCTCGCTCTCTTCTCCTTCTTTGTGGCATTCTTCGACAATTCACAACAACAGCGGCTCTGTGCCATGGTCGCCAGATAGCTATCCCAACAACAACACCAACAACACCAAGCCAAAAGTCATAGTGAAGGTCCCATGGAGATTTCAAAGATCCTTCTTTCTGCACCGGTTTTGGATGAAGGATCTGGCAAAATAACACCCTAATTATCATTCATTCAAGGAATTAGGGAGACTCATACGTAATTAACGAGATGTGCCCTTTGTCATTTTCATTGGGCCTTCCCAAAGATTTACATTTTGCAGCTCATTTTTGTTGCCTAGTCAAGCTAGCTAGCAGCACTCCCCAGTTGATCCTTGCCCACCGTTCTCTGCGTTGTTTGTGCACTCCAAACACAACATCATCTTATTTAATAATCCATATCTATGTATTAAACACCCTCTTTGCCTCTCTGCTGGAGGTCTTGGCACCTGGAACAAATTCCATCACCGCCATCACAGTCTTTATCATTACTACCGTACCACCAGAAATCTCCACCCCATTCCACTTTCTTCCCGTGCATCCTGGGAGACTTCTCCAGCGTCCAGCTCAGAAGTTACATGGCCGTGCCATTGTACCTACTCCATCCAAGCACGGTGCCCCCGTGAGAAGGCTGCCCTCCTGTTCGCTCGCAGCTTTCCCAATCAACACCCATAGTTGGCTTGGTTTGGATCTCCATGCCCTGAACCCACCTCCCATCCATGCTGCTTCCTTGCAAGTTTAGAGAAGCTTCGAGGGGCCCTGTCTGTTTCGCAACCCCCTTACTACATCATGTACCAAGCACTGGTCCCATCAGACTGCTACACTGCCCCTCTCAAGCCGTTTAAAAAGGCGGGACGCCAGAAACACATCCTTGCAAGCCAGAACATCACAAAAGAAGAGCTGCCGTCAGCTAGCTGGTATCCTGAGCAGGCGACGAAACAGTTCTGGTGGAGTTTCATGTGACTCTCGAGATTCTATTATCGTATCTTTTCTAAGCAGCAGGCTGACTAGCTAGACAGATGATGCGAAGAAAAGAAGAAGATTGGGACGTTCTAAGATGTGGTTGCACTTCTCACGGCTCTCTCAATCAACCGCTCCATCACTGTCTGCTTCTGCACATCGAAAGAATCTTGCCACCAAGGCATGGAATAGTGCAAGGTCAATACACGAAAGGCTTCGTACATGTTCGATACTGATGACGGCAAAAACACGTCATGATAAATGCTGATCAATAGCTCCAAGGCCCGACCTGGATTCTGGTTCGCCATGGATGCTCCAACAATCCTCCAAAGATCCTTTGCTCGTTCAATGCTAAAGCCTCCTCGAACCGCAAACTTGATGGCCGCTACTTTTTCATAAGCTACGAGCGCACCTGGATGGTTTCCCTTGTGCGCTTGACACGCTCCCTCCATTACCCAGAGATCGGCACATGCATTGTGCTGCAAAGCAAGAGGCAAGGATGAGAAGGTGTCAAATGCTACTTGTCGTTCCGCGGATGGCATGGCAAGCTCTGCGGCTGCATGCATCCGCGTGACGTGGTGCCCCGAGGAAACCAATTGGGCTGCTTTTCGATACGCTGCATGAACCGTCCTCTCGGTCTTGGCCAATTTCGGAGAGCTGCGAATGCTGTGGCACCAATCGCATTCACACTGAAAACCATGGTCGGGCTGAATCCAGTGGCGAAACTTCTCCTCTCGATCCGAAAATGACAAGTCCAAACTCACATAACTCAGAGTCAATTCTTGGCCCGCTTCAATGTCTTGGGTGGTCGAGACAAACATCTGATCGCCAATCTGATTCCATGTGCAGTTTGGAATGCAGGAATGATTGAACAACGATTCTTGTGTCCAGAAGCCCGACCCGTTTATGAATTGCTGCTCCCAAGCTTCTTCTTCTTGGAGGCCAGACAAAGGCTCGAGGCATTGGCTGGTCTGTTTGAACTTTTCCCAGGTCTCCTCGACTCCATCGACGGCGGATATTCCAAAGGTATTACTTGTCACGATCCCTCCAATACGTTTGATATCAATCTTGCAACTGGGGTTTGAGGCATGTTCCAGACCAGAGGACAAATTGTAAATGCTTTCCCTCAAGGCAGGGCGCTGATACATCAAGAGAATCAACTTGTTCTCCAGCGCCATGGACGAACCTTTGAGGAATCTCTTGGTGTAAGGGTCAACACAATAGTCGAGAGCGTTCGCTTGTTCTTGGCAAAACACCAAAGCTCTGGAGGATGATATGAGCGTGTTTGCGTCGATGCGTTCCGTGGCGATACAACCCCTGTAGGTGAAACCTTGTCGTTCTTTGACAATCTCTACTCCTGTCTCGATCTTTGGCGATACAAAGTTGGCATGGAACTTGGCCAATCGATGGTTTGGTTTCGATGCCGCTTCCTTGTGAATCTTTTTCAACTTGTATTGCCCCGCCTGCTCTTTCAGGAGCTCGGCAATATCCTTCCGGAGGCGCTGAAAGATCTTTTCCATTTCACCGGATATTACTTGTACGGCCTCCTCAAATCGATTGAGACGTACAAGTGCTGTAGCAAGGCGATACTTTGCCTTCGTGTGAGTGTGGTCTAATGCCAGCACAGCCCTGGCGTTCTCTCCCGCAGCCTCCCATAGCTCTTGCCGCAAATTGACTTCTGCTAGGTTGCTCAAGCAAGCCACCTTGTCGGCATCCTCAATGCTGGGGCAGTCAAGAGCCCGGGTATAGCACCGAGCTGCTACAGGGTATCGTTCTTCGCCAAAGGCTTCGTTGCCTTGCTTCCGCAGCTGAGAGGGATCCAGCCCTCTGGTGTCGATCAGCTTCTTTCCTCGCATGCCCGCAAGCCATGATCGATGAGACGTGAAGATACGGATGCATTCGGGGTTGTCGCAGCGAAGGAGAAGGTTTCTGTTGGGATCATCGCCCGAATTCTTCATGTAGGGTGCTAAGATTGCCAGATACGTTCCCTTCGGGAAGACATCTTGTGGATCTTCCTCGGGAGCAACAAAGTTGTAGAGGGAGAAAAGCAGGCAGTCGCCACATGAGTCCTCCACCAGGAGGTTGGTTCCGACGATGCGATGGGAGTCAAAGATTGTTTTGACAAACAGAATGCAATCATCGTGGATATGGTTGACTTTCGTAGCAACTTCTCTCAAAGTGGTTACTCGGAGAGATGAGAGTGGAGGGAACGGACCATGTTGAGCATGTGGTCGTATCGTGGAGTTCGAGCTAACAACGACGGTGTTCCCTTTGCTACGCTTGCGGTTCTGAATGAGCTTCATTTGCTCTTCGTGCATTTGGATGAAGCCCGTTCTGTTGATAACTGGTGGTGGCAACCACGCTTGAAACACCTGAGGTTTCCCTCTGTCAGTAGCGTCTTGCGCCAGTTTGGCAGTGTCGATTCCAGCCGAGGTCGGACGGAAACGATCGTCCACAGCCGAGAGCTCCTGCAGGAATTCCCGAAAGCTCATGATGTTGGTTGGGATGAAATTGAATCAATCGATTGAACAATGCTAGCTCGAGCTATGCTAGTCAGCTATTGTTGGCATTGCCAACAAGCGATGTGGTTTCGAAAATACTGCAGGCGAACTAGAACTATCGAGAGGAGAGTTGTCCGTGTACGACGATGAAATTTTCAAAAACTCTGCCTCGTCCACACAAAGATATCTTTCTCAGGTAGTGGAGGTAAAATGACACTTCACTATTTTAAAATTTGAATGATTCAATCATTCAAACAATTTTGATTGATTGGATTGAATCTTCAATCATTTGATTGGATTCCATCAAATTTGTTTTACCGCATCTACATGTACCTGGTACAGTACTTGATCCGAAAAGCCGACCAATCCGCCGCACATGGTCGTCCCTACGATCTGTACAACGGTACCTGTCGTACTCGCACAGGTTCGTACTCGTATTTACCATCTCACGCAGTAAAGCTCTTGGAGCCAAGTTGGCGGTAACGATTGCCTCCCATTCGGTAGGTGAGGGCTGCAACCGGACGACGTGGGCATCTTATCCAACCCTCCCGATCCCCACCACCAGGCCGTCCTCTTTGGAGGAAGGCAGCCAGTGTGTGATCCGAGTGCCAGGTAGGAACGAAGATGACAGAGCAACGCACCCCATAAACTGGAGAAAGCTGAGCAAGCAACCGCCGGATCCGTTTCATTCGAAAATATGACCTGTCTACCGAGCCTCAGTACGTGCCGGTAGCTACCACCGCCATCGGTATGCATACGTGCTACCGTACTAGCCGCGAGTACGGGAGGAACAAACTCATGATCAGATGCATCTGCCTCACATACAAGCTGCCTCGATTTCAGGGCTCCGAAGTTGCACAGCCAGAAGAACATAGCTGGCAAACGGCCACCTGTTTGGTTCCCGACCCTGCTCCTCAGCTAGCCAACCCACCAGTACCGTATCTACAATGGCTAGACGCCGTCTGGAGCAATTTGCTCCTTAGAGAAAGGTTGATGTCCTGTTGTGGCTTCGTCCCTGTTCCAAAGGCTACGTTGTATGTTCGAGATAGTCCTGGAAGAGCAATACCTATTGCCTCCGTGGTTTGCCTTGTGCCTTGCCTTTTGAGCTTGCTTGCCTTGACACTTGACATTAAATTTTGACATTTGACATTGCATAACGGCGTCCTTTCTCAGGTTCTACTGTTCATTTTCGATCCAGTTGTAGCTTCTCTGAAGTACTACAGAGAAGACTTCGTATTTACACCCAAGCCCGTGCTTTAAAATAAGTAGAAAGAAAGCAAAGAGATTCGATTCAATGGACAGTGAAAACTTCCTTGGAAGGTCAGTTGTTAAGCTGTTGTTGCTGGTTGCAATGTTGCAATAAGCAAAAATACACCCATACCGGTACAGCTCCCACACCAGGCAGAGTTGCAACGTTGCGGGCCAAGGGCCAAGCGTTCTTTCGCCCTGGCCTGTGGCTGACGTGGTGCCTTTTCCGTAAATTCCACTTTCATCTACCTAGACTAGCTAGCTAGAGGAACACATACATCTACAACATAATATTTTCATATTTTCAAGAGCTATGCTTTCTTTCACAACTTCCTCCCTACCCAGTACCCAGCGGAGAGAACCAACGGTGAAACTGAACTAGTTCGCAACTAGTCGAAGGAAGTACTGTATCACAGGTAGGCGAGAAACGAACCCCAAGAGGCCGTACCTTGCCCTCGAAGAAGTGGAACCACCCCACGGCGACACCACACTCTACTCTTTACACAATACACAAGGAAGTTGTTGTGTGGTAAGTGCTGACCACCATTGGTTGCCTTCTTTACGGTACCTGTACTAATACCGGCTAGCTGCTCGGATTAATGGCATCCTAATAAGTGACAAGGCAGGAAAATAAGAGTGCTCGAGGCAATAGCTAAATCTGCTTTTGCCGAAACTGGGATCTAAAGCGTTTTTTGGCATATCTACTGCTGTACCCTTAGCCTTACTCTCTGTGGTTGTTTGTAGTTGCATAATAGCTTTGGTAGGCTACCGGTATGTTACCAGCTCCGTTTCAGGCAGAAAATTCTTTGCAGGTTAGTTGAGCAAACCATCAAGTAGCAATCAAGAAAACAATGATCTCATCAGGTGCTGGTCAAGAGTTCTATCTCTCTCTTGCTCGTCAAGATGACGTTCTGATCGTTGACTGGCTCGCTAGCTAGTAGCAAAAACCACCTTATTGCTTGCTTCTCACCAGCCACATTGTTGACAAAAAAGTGAAGCTACAGTCCCAGCAAGCAACAAAACAACAAAACTCTCCAATAGAGTCGTCTCCCAGACCTTTAGAACCAAGAAGTACAGTTATTGCATCGCACGCACTCTACTAGTAGGTCGGAATCTTCTCTTTCAATCTTGCGTGCGTTTTAAGCTTTGGTCGCACCTTCCAACCCTTCGCTTTTTGACCGGGACGATGGACACGATGTGTTGACACTGGTAGACAAGTAGCCAGTATCTTGTTCATCATGATGCTGCTGGGACTTGGCCTTTGCTGGTTCTCTGCTTGCTCACGATGGACAGCGGCAGTGCAACTAGCTGGCAGGGCACAAAAACTGACGCATTTTGATAAATCATCAGGAGCTAACCAGCATGCTTCTGCTTCTTCGCTTGCAGCTCCTGTGAAATTGGTTTTGAAAAAAGAAGGCAGAAGCACTCCTTTAAAAAACTAGGAGAAATAGAGACATAAATGATCATGTTGAACCAAGAACCAAGAGTTCGTGAGAATTCCCCCCTGTATTTACACTCAACACAAGAGTACTTACTTGTGCATAGTAGTCAGCTGGTCAGCAGAATTTAGTAACTGTTGAAGTGTAAGTTTAAAAGTAGCTTCGACACTCTTCGACAGCTCTTCGACAATAATTGGAGCTAATTGGTTTGGTAAATGATTTTTTCCACGTTTCATCGATCGGTGTTTCCATCTACCATCCTGTACATATATTTTATAGTAGAGTCTCCTTTTCTATTGAAGAACGCTAACAGAGACTTAAAGGAAGTTTGAGAACACTTCTCGAACGCTCCTGAAGAGGTCCTCACTTCCCCCTGCTTGCTCCAATAATTAATTGTGTCGGAGCTTTGTGGGGAGAGCAAGATTTTGGTTCTTACAGTGGCCGGAGGACGGACTCGAGGCCTAGTTTCTTGATTATGTAAATGTCTAGGATGCCTTCTCCCTGCCTGCGTTGGTATTAATAATGATTAAAAAACGTGACGTCCTCATTCCTATGATAATAAACGAGCAGTGATTTACTGTCCGCAAGTAGACTTGTCTAGTTATGGGTCATCGTTGTATAGGCATCCAGTTGCTGTTTGGGTGGCGAGTGGAACTATGCAGTGTAAGCAAGCGTGCGGACCTCTTTTTGTCCTTCCCGCCACGATGATTAACTCACTCTCTGAGGCCACTAGCAGTTTAGTCTGTTGGATCGTTGCCTGGACCCACACCCCGTACCACTGTACCAACTCGAACCCAAGCCTTCGTTTGAGAGACATCATACTACCAGATCTATCTGAATACAGCTAGCTGTTGGATGCGATTCACGACATAACATTACAACCTGGAAGATCAAAACCAACAAAAGACAATGAAGAGAAGAGCTGTGGGAGAAGCCGACGAGTCTCAAGGTGAGCGACATGAAAACCGGTCCGTCTTTTGTGTGTCTTTGCAGCTCTTTGGCAGTTGCAATCACTGACTGCAGCCCCCCTACCTTCCTCTCTCCAACAGATAAGAAGCCTCGTGCGAGAGGCCCCATTACCGGAGCTGAATATCAACTAGACCTGAACCGTTTCCCCGACAAAATCCGTTGCTTGTTGGATAACCGGGTCGCCCCAGAGGCTCTCTGGTGGATGCCCGATGGAGATGCCATTGCAATCAACAAGAAGTTGTTCATTGATCAGCTGCTGGTTACGCACTTCAGAGGCAATAAGTTCCCGAGCATCACACGCAAACTGAACCGATGGTAAGCCTTCCGAACAACCTTGTTGGTGACCGGATGACCTCGTCGCCAACTACTAACTCATATATCTGCACAACGCCAACGACGAAAGGGGCTTTCGGAGGATAGAAGAGGATAAGGAGCCTCCCGGCGCAATGGCATACGCTCATGAACTGTTTCATCGCAACTACCCGGAGAGGTTAAGGCTGATGATCAGGGAAGAGGACAAGAAAAGAGGACACAGCACTCCGTCAGACGTTGACGACACTGCTGCTCTCTTGAGACAACAACGTGAGGCTCTTGCCCAGACTTCCAGTGGGACAGGACTTACCAGTCAGGGTGTATTGTTGGGGCTGGACAGCAGTCGTCGAGCTAGCCTGGAGGGAACGATCGGGCTGGCTGGTGTACAACTACAACCAAACAGCTTGTGGGCGGCCGGCCTTGCTGGGCACCCCCAAGAGCCTGCTCTGGTAAGAAGCCTCCAAGCGTCTTCGTCTGTTTCATCCAACTCGATACAACAACAGCTATTGAGGGAAGTGGCGGCTCGGCAATCGCGACCACACGGTGCGACCGTGGGAGCTGGAAGTGGCAACCCAACGCTAGTGGCGCCCTTTCATTCCTCCGAAGCGTCTCTACTCGGAAGTCAGCAGAGGTCGCTGCAGCCTCAGCTCTCTTCCGCATCCATGAGCAACAACCCCCAGGCGCTGTCGCTTGCAGTCGCCAATCTCCCGAGAACGGCATCATTAGCAGAGGTTTCCGTCCAAAACCAATTAGCAGCTTCCATTCTTGAGGAAAGAAGATTGGAGGACCAGCTTCGGCAGCTCCGGTCCAGAAATGATGCCGCCGCGAATCGGTTCCTTGGGAGAGGCGGGGGTCAACTGGATAGCATGCCAAATGACGCATTGTTGCGACAGATGCTTGATGATGGAGGATCCAGAGGACTGTTACAGGGGGCAATGGAATCTCCTCTCGACCAGCTTCTTGCAGCTCGCCAATTGACGGCCGCTGGTAATGATTCCGCCGCTGCGTCAGCTGCAGCCAGACAGAACCTCTCCTTGGAAGCCAGCCTTGTGGACCGCGAACGGTACCTGGCTACCAGACTTGGCCAAAATACAGCATCCGTCCCTCCTGCTGCTTCGCGTGCTTCGTCGGCATCCCCAGACGGCACTGTAAATCAACTCTTGCTACTGCGACATCAGGAGCACCTTGAGCAAGAGCGACTTCTTCAGGCCCAACAACGGTTCTTGTCTCAGAATGCGAACGACCCGGTGTTGTCGCGACCGCAGTCGCTGTTGGACAGGGCCGCCATAGGAGACTCTCTCACTAGTCGATTCTCCGTTGCAGATCAGTTGCGGATTTTGCAAGAGCAGGATAGGATTCGTCGCGAAAACGAAGAACAGAAGCAAGGGGATAGAAGGCATAGAAGGTACCCCTAAAGGATAAAGGAGGATGATCCCAACCCTGTCTGTGGGATCAGGAGTTAACTCACCAAGAATAGACAGCAAATAATGATGTTTCTCAATGCCTGTCAGTAGAATGTAGGATTGCTGGTGTAGTGCTTTGTTGTTGAGCAAGGCTCCATAACGGCCTTTCCTGGTGGCTGGCGGCTGAAAACTTTCTCCATGGTTTGCGTGATAAAAACATTGGGGAACGGTCCTTGCGCACAGTTGGGATTTCGCCAAGCTATCAAATCACTGTCTTTCATCGATGGGATTGCCAGGAAGGAAGGGAAGTAATCAGATAACTTTGCTGTAATGGTACAATACAACTACTGGCTAGCTAGTACCGTAGTGCGCAAGGGCAAACCCTCATGGGAAAACGCATATCGCGGGGCATTGGGCATGAAGTGTGAAGCAAAGCTACTCCTCCATGAGTTGTGGACCGAGAGAGCAACGACCTCAGCATTATAGTTGCCACAAGTATGGGTATGGCAGTACCGGTACCGGTACCACTGTGAATACCTGTGCGGTCTCGTGCCATCGCTTTCCTACGCCCGATCCGAACATCCAAGAGGATCTCCGAGTGACTCAGTCAGTGCCGTGAACTGTGAACCCACGAATTTGCTGGGGTCAAAAAGTACTATTTCTAATACCGTAGTGCGCCACGTACCCTCTTTTCAATTAAAGAAAACACCTTCTCAAATTGAGGGGATGAAAGGTCTTAACAGCCAGTACCCTCTTCGTTTCAACAGGAATCAACAGGAATTAACATCAAGGGAGATGAAACTCACTGAGACCGGAAATCGGGCACTATTATTCAAATACTGACTGTAAGAGGTTGAGAGAATCGAGCACTGGCTCTTTAAGACTCGAAAGCAACTTTCCAAGTTCATGGAAGATACCGTCTGGCCATCAACCCTCGGAAGCCTACTCGAATAGCTCTCGAATAGATAAGAAAGAGACTGGCGTCAAGCGCATATTTGCCCCATGAAATTTCTATTATTTGAAACAGGTCGTCGTACCGCATGACAGACTCTAAAATAAAAAAAGATTCCTATTTGGGCTCCTAAATGTGTTCCAAATAAATGTGAAAGTGAACCGTACCGTAGTTCTACGCCACGTGAGATTTGCTTCACATGCTGCGTATGCTACACAATAGTGTACGGCCACACAATCACAGTACCGGTACCGGTAGTTGCCGCTACCATTGCAGATTATCGCAACAGCTGTCGCTCCTTTGGGACCGGTAGTTGCGGGCTATGTGGGAGGTAGACTACTAGTACAGGTAGAGGGTATTTGAATGAGGCTGTGCCAGCTAGCCAGTGGTCAAGCCACAGGATGGATTCTTTCACTGTGAATCAATCCGCAATTGCCAATGGCAGCTACCGGTATTGAAGTCAACCACAGCAGGAAGCCAATAACGAAGGAACGCTGTGGGTATATATGTATGATACCTAGATCCAAAGCAAGCGAGGAAGACACGGCAGCCATGAAATAATGACTTCTTGGTGGCGGGCCAGTAAGTTTTAATAGTATTGTAACTATTGAATTCGTTGCTGAAGCAATGCTAGAGCTGGCTGGCCAGCTGGTTGCTTGTCTGTTCACCGTTCTCCTTGGCTTGTTCTGTTCCCGTTTCGCCGTTGTTCCCTCCTTGGTCGGAGTTGCCGCCTTTGTCGTCCGTGGAGGTGGTCGCGACGGTGATACGCATCTCCTCGGCGGAACGTCCTGGGTCATCCCGGGCCTTCATGAGTGCTCCTTGTAGCTTCGCAAAGGAGTGGACGCCATCTTCCACCTCCGCAAGGAAGGCTGCCCGAGCCTCTGAGAGATTATCCACGCTACTGCTTTTGTGGGTTGTTGTTTCCGAGCCTGGTGTCAAAAAGAACTGATCAAAGAGTTCTCCCGCGGCGGCCCGTGACGCGTTCTGAAGATGACACTGCACATCCACTCGTCCCGGACGGATAAGAGCTTCATCAAGGCGGTTGCGATGGTTGGTGGTCATAAAAAGAAGGCGCCCTTCCTGGGCAGCCACGCCATCAATGGCATTCAGCAGCCCTGATAGTGTGACGTTGGGGCCTTGCTGTCTACCGGGTGGTCGGCTGTGATAAATCTGGCCCTTGTGATTGATTGCTCCCGGAGGAAGAGCATCATCCCCCCTCTTTTCGGGCAGGGCGCAATCGACGTCTTCAATAAGGACGATGGAATCGCGAGGGGCAGCACGCATGACTTCAACGATGGTGGAGTCATTAGTGCTTCCGGACAAGGGAACCAGCACAATGGGCAAACGAAGCTCCCCGGCGAGTGCCGTGATCAAGGATGTTTTCCTTTTTTGTTGTGCGAATGCATTGTAGTAGATACATTGTGAGGACGCAAGCAAACAGGATCGAAAAGCAAAAAATATCAAAGCTTGCAGTGGTGACTTACCCACAGCCAGGAGGCCCGTAAAGGAGATATCCTCTCCTGTAGGGAATCCCCTTGCCAAAGTACCATTTCTCGCCTTGTAGGAACCTGGTTGCATCTTCCAGAAGTAGTGCCTTTGTGTTGCCTTCTACAATGACAGATGAAAGAGGACGACTGGGCCTTGCCGATACGTCAAACGAAATTGGGCGGTGGTGCTCTCGAAAGGTGAGCACTTCTGTTTTGGTGGACCGTTTGGACAGCCAGAGCTGACGACCTTCCAAGATGATTTTCTTGGCAATATCAACGCCACGAGGAGCAAACCAAACAGTCAGACTGCATCTGCAGTCATCCTGTGCACCACCAGAAGAGCGTGGTACGCCATAAGGGTTCATGGAGCTCATTCGACTGCTCTGAATCGAAACAGGGAACCATCCAAACCATATCCAAGTAGACACCCCGGCGGCCGGGGTTTCGACAAGTTTCGGAGGCGAGAATCGCTCTCCGACTTCAGTCTCGTCCTGGTTGGTGCTGGGCTCGTCAAAGTAGTGACGTCTTCCCCGTTGTCTGGACCCGACCATGGATCCTGCCGTGACCAATACCACTCGTCGCACTCGTCGAATGGCATCTTGACGTTGTGTTAACCAGTACTGGACCCAACGAGCCTGTTCATCGTCAGTGATTTCCACAATGGTTCGAGAATAATGCCAAAACAAAGATGCCACAAGAGGAACGGCACTGGCGACAAACACCTTGGGCGCCGCTACGTGCCCTTCGGTGGTGAAGAGCTTGCGAATAAGTGCCTCCAAGAGCTTTGGAACTTGACCTGCCAAAGCATCCATCCTCCTTCGTTTGCCAACAACAACAACAAAACCTCTCCTCAACCACCTCTCGTTTCAGTTGTTGTTGGATTGAAGCGACAAGGCGGCACGAGAAAAGCACAAACCTCCTCAGACCTCAGACGTGAATAAATCTTTGAAGAGCCAGTGGTCTTCCGATCTTGACATGGAATCGTGGATAATGTATCTTTCTTTTACACCCCACAAGCTAAATCAGTGCATTAGCTTCCCACGCCAAGTACTGGTAGGTACCAGGTACACATAGATGTTGTGGAGCAGGGAAGGTATCAAGGTAAAGGACATCGTAATGGGAGTTCTAGCTACTAGCTAGAGTGGGGAAGATGCTTTCGCTGTAGGACTGTTAATACTAGTAGTACATATATTACTGTAGGTATACATATCAACTCCTTTGACTCCTGACAAGAAGGCATTCCAAGTCCAGAGAACACTTGCGGTCTGAAGAATGAAGAGAGGAGGAGATCCTAACTACGGAATGTGTACGTATGTAATCGTTACTCTCCCCACATGCGGCTAGCTAGCTACGGTAGCAATCTACTCATCAGCTCCCAGCTTCACTTATGTTCCAGTCAGGGGGATTGTCTCCACCAAATACCACTCCTTCACATCACCTTGTGTGGACCACACTTGAATGGAATCCACTTCAATTGTACCAGTCTCTTTGGATTTCTCTTTCAATGCAGCCTGCAACTTGGGAATGACAACCTCCACCTTTTTGGTTTCTGTCAAATCCCCGTACACCAAACTCAAATGTGGCGTGTACGGTGGATCCGATTGTCTCTCTGGGAATACTTTCCGTGCCAATTGATTGGCTGCCACGACCTGTTCGGATCGTTCAAACTCGGCATAGACGCATTGGAAATAGGCATCTCGATAGGATACACGCGATAAATGGAATTCATAGGGTGCCAATTGGTTGGCCAGTTGCCGAGTTCGATTCAACACATCCTCTTCGCCCGTCATTATGGCGGCCACCAGCGTAATGTGTGGCAAGAACTGAAAGGTACCCAATTCGTGAGCCGTCTCGGAAATGATGGAAGAGTAGGCATCCCGAGAAGCGCTGCCTGCCGCAGGACACATCCACAGAGAATGGCCAATGAAACTGCTGGATTTGTAGGGATCAGCGCTATTTTGGGAGGAGGACGATGCATTGTTGTCCATGCTGATGGTGCTGTTGTGATACAGGGCAAAGAGGAAGGCATGGGAGCCACCCCACAGGGCCTGCCGAAACCCCATGCTTTACTACTGCAGCTACGACCTTCTTTCCGTTATGCTCGTCGAACATGACATACATGGTCACTCCAACAAAGCGGAGGGAAACAAAGACACCGGATTGTTGGCGCACCTCTGTTCGGAGCAGCCGTTTCATGGGACGGGGGAAAGGATGACAGCGAGCACGTGGCCTGGCCTCTCCAAACGGGTGGCCCTCCAAACAGTGTAATGAGGACGCAATGGCGTGAGGACCGCTCACCTCAACACACAGCAAAGTCATTTTTCAATGCTTGCAAGCCATGGAACCATGGTCGGTTATAAGAAGTTGGCGGTAGTGCTGTTGTCATTGTTGGGCTTGGATGCAGTCCTTGCTTCCAGTGACGTCAAAGAGGATTCGACGAAAGAAGAAGGTGGAGGACTCCGAAGAAACAGGCAGTACCGGCGGCGGAACGAACGTTCTTGTCCCAGGGTGCCTGCCAACCGAGTGGATGCAGCTCTGGATGCATCCACTCTGGATGTCATCGCCGACGCCTCCAATCTGGTCCAGTTACCTCCACGCACTTCTCCCGACACGCTCAAGGAGCAGAACCAAGTTGCTTTTGATATGTTCAATGTGTACAGGGATCTAGATGATCGAGTCGTTGTGGCCAAGAGCAAAACGAATGGGGCGTGTCACCTAGCTTTTGGTGTCCCGGGTGGTACTCCGTTTGATAACTTGCAAAATTTGAACCCGTTCACTACCCAGATTGGGGACTGCGCCGTACGAACAGGCTACGTTATGGGATACAACATGTCCAAGGCGGATGAGTTTCATTTGGAATTACAAAGCTGCCTTGCTTCTTGTGTTGGCGAGGATACGTGTCCATTGATTATAAGTGGTTATTCGCAAGGTGGTGCCATTGCCATTGTGGCTGCCATTGACTTGGTCGAATACTCACCAATCACTGTAACATTTGGAGCCACTGCCGCCATTGTCAATCCCCAGCACACTCTCTCCTTTTTGAGAGACGATACGTATCAGTGTACGGATTTTGTGCCAGAGCGCCACTATCAGTTTGTCAACATGGTGGATGGCAAATACGATTGCGTGGCTCTGGGAGTCAACCCATTTTCAGCTACTCACAGTGGCCGCTTGCTCCTGTTGGACGAGAACACCGACCATTTCGTTGGGTCTCCTGGAGTCTTTCAAGTTGCGGATGATTCTCGCAGAGAACCCAGCTCAAATCGTGCTCACCGACCCGACCTGTATAAAGAGCGAATGGAAAAGCTGCTTCGGGGTGGCTGTTCCGTATTGCCTGTAGGAAAATGGGAAACTGCGCATGATTGCAACTACAATGATGAGTGCAGCTCTGGCTTGTGTCAGGACAATGCTTGTACGTGAGCATTGTAAACCATCGGTTAGCTGGATAGCTAGCCAGAAGGAGCAATGAGGTATGCATAGCCATGTATAAGCTAAGGATGCAGTCCTCGAAATACTTGTCTTAGGATTGTTCTGCGGGTTGGTACCAAAATGTGACCCTTTGTTGCGTGATGAAAGAACGGTCGACTTGCTTGGTTGGAAGAAATCTATGATACCTATCATCTAATCGAAGAGAGGGCTGGCGCTGGCGGGAGTTTTCGTGAAGCTTGTTGAGCTATGAAAAGCTGCTTTTAGGCCCAAGCAAAGCAGCACCTCTTCTTGCCCATTTTGGCCGTTGCACGCAATTTTGTTTGTCAACATTGTCTCTCGACCATCTATCGGCGAGTTGCCAAGCCATCAGCTTGTATGATATCCTTTTTGTGCCCTAACTAATAATAGAAGAAGGCAACCCTTGCATCCCTAACACACACAAAGGAACTCAAGATGACTGGGAAGCGCTATTATCACGCCCTTACGCCGCTCTTCTTGCTCGCCGTGACGAGTCTCATTCACCTCAAGTCGGTACAGAATAACACAATAGTTTTTGAGACGCAACTTCCAACGCCAATCCCTCCTGATGAAATAAGGAAACGCTCACTGGAACTAGGGGCCAGTTTGTCGCGACATCCAGAGACGGACCAAGATCAGACTGATTCTAAAACCAATACAGGCTTCAAGAGGAAACGGAAAGAGGAACTGGAGGCCTTGCTGTCCAAAATGGAACTTGGTGATAAGAATCGCACCAAGAAACAACGTAAAGAGGAATTGAAGGCTGCGTTGTCCAATATTGACTTATCTTCGGATGCGAGAACCAATGCTAAGCAGAACAAGATGAAACGCAAACAGGAACTGCGGGCCAAGTTGTCTCAGCCTCCCAAAATTGACTTGACCAATACAATAAATACCCGAAGAAAGATTGTGTTTCTTCACGTGGGCAAAGCTGGAGGCAACACTGTGCGATCTGCCTTGCCGCGTCTGTTTTGTCAGCGACACAGAAGAAGGGTAGATAAGCAATCGTGCTGGGAAAGAACTGCCCGTCCCGATTCTCCGCTGCGAGATGGCACAGAACTGGAGGTACACATGAAGACGGTACCTAACAATGGCGCTCAACTGATTCTAGAAAACAACTACACGACTTTCCTCTTTGCCCTGAGGGAACCGCTAAGTCGTATCCGGTCTGCCTATCATTTTCTTCACCCCAACAATACAGAGAGTGTTTATGCCCGCATGAAACACGAGCTCAAGACAAGTTTCTACGAAGAATGTTTCCCAACCTGGGGCGACTTGATGCAAGCGGTAGACCAGGCTTTGTCCATTGCACGCCATGGTGGAATCGCATCCACTGGTGGCGAGTCCAACACTGCGACCACTATTACCCAGTCCTTGACATTTTGCCAAAATCTAGCCATTGCCGGACTCCGCGGAGAAGAACGGATAGTGAAGAAAATCAATGTGCATTTCTTCTTCAATCACCAATTCTATGCCGACATGTCGATGAATGTGTTTCCGTCCACGGAAGTATTTGTGGTCCGAACCGAAACTCTCTGGGATGATCTGGTTGACTTGGATCGTAGTTTGGGTGGACCAGGGAAGTTCAAATACAATGGTGCCGTGATGAATGAGAATAAGAATCATACCTCGCCAACAACAACAACATCAACAACAGCAAGCCAGGGAGAGACGGGGGCAAGTCTCTCTTTGCGGCAGCAAGAGGATAGGAACTTGTGTTGTGTCCTGTGGGAAGAGCTGAGGCTATACCAAATAATTCTTTACCGCGCAGTCAACCTGTTGCCATGGGAAAAGAGAGCAACCATGAAGAAACTCTTGGGAATATGCAGTGCGGACGGGCAGCGGTCCAAGATCGACTGGCAAGCATGGCACAAACGCAGTTGCCCAGATCTAGGGCCATTTCTCTCCAAGTTGCCAACCCCCCAAGCTGCTAACTACACTGAATGAATGAAGATCACCAGGGAAAACCTCTTCACTTGGCCAAGACTGATGGCCGGTTTTGCAAGGCCTAGCTTACACAGAAGACGCCCCAAGACACAAAATCTACACGTATTGCCAAATGAGATAGATGTTTCCAAAACAATCGTGTCCAGTACAGCAAGGCGTCACAGCAAGCTGCAAGATACAATACCGTAACTGTCGGGTTGAGAGCTGTACATGTAGTACATGCTGCCAACCAAAAGGCTATCGGTAGGCTATCGGTGCAGTACAGAAACAACGGGACAAATTTTGATCGCTTCTCTGCTGGGACCCAACCCCGCCAATTGCGCCAGTGCTGTCAGGTCAGCTGGCTTAAGACAAACTCGGTTGCGAAAATGAGTTATGTATGAGTACATCATGTCGTGGCTCTCTAGCTAGAGCTAGTCTAGCTAGCTAGTAGAGCCAGCACTCCAGCTAACTAACCTAGCTCCCGAGGGTGATCTCAACGATACCATGCAGTGGGTTGAAAGTAATGTGAACCATGAAGATCTATTAATTATTGCTAGAAATGGGTTTGCACAATTGGAAAACTAAAGCGGGAGGAAGGATGCATATGTGCTCCTTTGTGTGAGCGACATTTGTCCTTGAGAATGGAGGTAGCTGCTTGTCGATGAGTAGAGGTGCGGAGATTTGCACCAGTACCAGTATGCACCCAAAATTGCCCCGGAAAGAAGCCCAACCAGTTGCTTAGGCTGCGGGGGCGTTTCGTAGAGTGCGTCCCTCGAGGAAGATACAGACGCTTTCAAAGAAAAGGCGAACATCATCAGGGAGGAACGAGTGTTCATTAGAGAGAGCCAATAGCTGGATGATGTGGTTGATGCTTTCTCTGGTCTCATTGAAGAGAAGTAGCTGAGAGGAGATGTGACCATAGTTGTTGGTAGCAGCGACCAGGACGCATAGCATCTCTCGAACATCGCTGTATTGGAAGCAGCTCTGAGCTAGTACCATAATCTTCTGATATAGTCCCAGCACCCTTGTTAAGTGCTTTTCAGGGTTGACCTTGCACTGAGACAAGTACATCAAAGCAATAGCATGACGAGCAAGAGCTTCGTTGAACATAACAATCATCGTGATCTTCATAAGCTCCATCGGATCGGCACGACCTTTGCATGTGACGTGGAACATTCGAGGATAAAAGGAAAAGACGTTCTCAGGCGTCGCTTTCTTGACGATCTGGTTGGTGAGTGGGCTTTCAATGGAAACGCTAGTGTATTGGCAAGAACCATGCGCCTGTTCAGATGGAGCAGCTTCAGAGATGTCTGTCACTGGGCTTGCCGAATGCCTTCCATGCGACGACGATGAGGGATGTCCATTGCGAGTTGGGCTAGTTGTGTACATCGACTGGGGACTTGGTTCCTGAAGACACAGCTCTAACTTTTCCAAAGCATTGTTGAGCATCAGAGAGCTCTCAACGAATTTCCCTTCCCTCATGCGGATAATCGCCTGAGTGTTGAGTTCAATGCACTGGCCAAGTACTTCCATGGTTAACGTTCGGTTCTGTGAGCTAAGACTGGCGGAGAATGAGATTGGCTGTTGCTGAGGACTTCAGACAGTTGGAATTTGTGAGACGAGTGGGTTGGATCATGATGATGCTCTGTTAGTTGTCGGATCAGCGGATCAGATCCAAGCCCTTTGCAAGTTAGACAAAGAGACATCATCCTCTTCGTTCTTCGTACAACGCGGAGACCAAACAAAAAGGAGACTGCCTGGCTCTCACTTAGCATCCCGGCAAAATCGGGTTTCATGTTTACCAAGGAGTTTTGCATTATGATTAGGGGACGGTCACAGATATTAAGTCAGATTTTGTTCGAAATGTCTCCAGTCCCAGCTAAGATCATTATTTTCTCTATTCGCGCTGGATCTGCCTGTAGAACATGCATGTACCATGTACCGGTACCAAGCTGTGGCGTTGAACAGCCACTTCGATTAGCTGTTTTCTTTCAAGGTAAGTGTTCTGCATCTTCCTTGCTTTCCAAGTCCCACTAAAATCTGCACACTCTAAAAACCCCAAAACCGCAACACACGGATGCCCAATGGTGTTTTAGGTATCAGCGTCTGGATCGATGCAGATCGAAGCAGATGCCAAGAACCAAGAAGTGTGCCAACAACACCTTGCCGGAATGGAGAACTTGCAAGTTGAACTCTGGGATTGTTTTTGTGTGTCGTCAGCTGTCGTCGAAGAAGTTGACGACCAACAAAAGGTTGCCAATTTCCTAATAAGTCCAGGCAAAAATCGCCATTGTAGGTGGAAATAAGAAGCAAATCCACAAAGGTGAAGTTTCCGGAACGACCCCAGCAATGTTTTTAAATGTAAACTTGTTGTGTTTCTCTTCAAAGGGAAAGGTACACGTACTCGAGTACATGAGCTGTACATGACATGTGTGTTGGTTGGTGAACTTGCCACCGGTTTGGCAAGGTTGGATAACATGGTACAGCACATGTGTGTGTTATGTGTTGCCTGAGATTTGTTTTTTGAACCTGCAAGATACCCGGACATCACTTATAATAAAGTAGTAAATGATATTGTTTGTGCAACTAGCTACCTGTCAATAATAAAGCTGACCGACCGCTACTACAGCAAGTTTAATACAGCAGGGTAACACAAGCGAGTGTCGCTCCTACATACATATCGTGGGTTGCTACTAAAGCGATGCAAGCAACTCTTGAGAATCAGGCTGGTTGGCTGTTGGCTGTTGGCTGAGCTTCTTTTCAGAACAAAAACTTCCTCGGTCGGTCCTGCAAAGCAAGTCCAGCGTCTCTTTGGTGCCGGTCAGCCAAGACTACAGGGCAATACTTGCTTGGCAAACAAAGGAGTCAAATAAGCAGAAGACAGCCAACAGTGGAACGACCATTAAATTTGACCAACCGTTCTAAGATGAAGTGTGCACAGCAAATAAATGCAGACCTCATTGATCATTGATGAGGAAAACGCTACTCAACGGCGGGATCCTATCTCCTGATCTCCACAGTCCACAGTCCCTAAGGGAAGATGACATCTTCACCGCGAGACAGGCGAATCTGCCCTAACTACAATGCGATGATCTTCCCGCGTGGCCGCGTGGGTACTCACTGGCGCGCAGTACTAGTGTACTAGTAGTACTTTTTGGGTTAGACGTTAGACGATGACATTGTGACCATAGGACCATAGGATGGGAAATAAGGAAATACTAGTAATGGGAAGTGGAAAGGGGTGCTGGTTCCATCTGTCCCGTAAAATGAATGGCTAAAATAAGTACTGTACTGAGTACATAATTGTACTGGAGTAATAAGTGCCCAAGAGGATGGGGGGGAAGCATTGGAAGATTGGAAGTGATGTGGCCAGACACAGTCAGTCGGGGTTCAGAAATCTATTGCAAGTGCTGGTACCGGTACAGTACAAAACGGTACCAGTAGTGCGGTACCGGAAACAAGTATCCACGCCTCCAAGCTCCAAGATCCATTTGAAGCAACTTTGAACGCACAGTTGCCCCTTTCTTGTGAGTCCAAAACTCCGAAGGCCCACGCTAAAACGGCCACCGGTACGGGTACTTTTGTTGGCAAGAAATTTCAAGCAATACCAGCCACCATGAAACTTTAACACCTTGATAATCGTACTACTACGCTTCCAGTCTTCTACTTCCTTCCTTTCCTCAGGTTTCGGTTGCATTGGCAAGCAATCGTCTTCTTCGCAGCCCATTGATCCAAGGTTATCTCACTTCCCGTATACGGTACTGCCTCGACAGTACCGTCGCTTCAGGATGACATTAAATGGCTGGCGTTGCGTGCTACTTGACGCTGCGCTTGAATGAAAAATGCTGTACAATATCTCATGAGCGTTCCTCAATCGTGCATGCTTTAACAAAAACCGACCCTATTTTTGGGACGGATTTAGGGACGGGTTCCCTTTAGGGACGGGTTTGAAAACCGACCCTAAAAATAGGGACAGTTTCTGAAAAATAGGGACGGTTTCTGAAAAAACGTCCCTAATTTAGGGACGGGTTTCGATTTAGGGTCGGGTTTGAAAAACGTCCCTAAATCGAAACGGGACTGAATGGTAAATACATTGAAAACGCACCAATATTAGGGTCGGGTTTGAAAACCGACCCTAAAAATAGGGACTGTTTCTGAAAAATAGGGACAGTTTCTGAAAAAACGTCCCTAATTTAGGGACGGGTTTCGATTTAGGGTCGGGTTTCGAAAACGACCCTAATTCAGTCGGAATAAGGGACGGGTTTCCCCAAACCGACCATAAATTTGGGTCGGATTTAAAGGTCATGCACGATTGAGGAACTTTCCATGCAATATGCCGTTCGGAATATCTCTTTGTTTCTCTCCCGGTTTCCCACGAATGTGGATGTCGATTACCGAGTGCACATATCGATGAGGCAATCGTACCACCAGATAGTTTCTCCAGGTGCTTGGAAGCCATGCCGTGCCGCAGTTCGACCTGGTACCACACTTAACGATGGCGTCTTCCAATCTGAGATCTAACTAAAAGGCTAAAAGGTCAATGAGAAGATGCCGCGGTTGCTACCCTTCTCCGGATCCGTGGCCAAGGACGAAAAAACGAACAAGAGAAGAGGCCACATCGTCTTGATGTTCATGCTGAGTGTTAGAGAAGCTCTTCAGGCCTTCCTCGTTTTTGGGAGAGCTTGAAACTTATCGGTGCCGTGCCTAGCTAGCTAGTAGACTACTTTTTTCTTGTGACTGACTCGACTCCACAACTTTCATGGTTGCGCGTTGGCAGTCCCTCCACGATTGGTGCGCCGCTAAGGCGGCAAAAAGAGAAAAGAGCGCATTGGAAGCTTTGTTGATTATTTGATCATTCCAATGCTGCCCGAGCAACAAAAACAAGCCTTCCTGAAGGCCACACAAACAACATCATCATCGCCGCCACCTCTCCGTTGACTGTGCTTCTATCTTTGTGCTCTTCTTACTAGTATGGCCTCACAAAGCAGTTGAGTTTGCTATGCAAAAGGAACAGTTGACAATGATTGGTGTTTCTCGTTGCGTCTTCGTCGTTACCTCGGCTCTCCTCCTTGTGAGCGTTACAGGACAGCAGCCCAGTGGCGATGTATCAGTTGGTCAAGAGATTTGCACAGCAGGTTATGTTATGGACGAGTTTTGCATTGTACGTGTTGTCCTTGTGGTGTTCGGTGTCGTAAAATATGTTTGCACACATGAGAGACAACTTGTTTCGCCTTTGTCTTACTGGCTTTTGTTTCGTTGATCTCCCAAGGATTTTGGGAAGCTATTGGACGCCCAAGAATTTGAAACCCTCAATAATCCTGAAGAGCACACAATGCATTGTTTGGTGGATGTCCCTAAATGCTACGATACTCCCTTTCACATCTTGTCGGCTCCACTTCCTGGTGACACCATGATGTATGGGCCCGGGTGGGCTGTGAGCAACAACACTGAGCTCCTTACCTTGGGAAGGCAAATTGGAGACTTGGAGGGTGGATGCACTACTTGTGATGGAACTGGAAGCCTCCTGAAGGGGTTTCGGGCAGAAGTCAGAGGAACAGTTGCAACCATCGATCCTCCCGTCATTGATGTGACTTCGGTCAGTTATTTGGAAGGCGATGCTCAGGGATGTGCCGAGCTAGCCACGTCCACGAGTGACGCTAACGGATCTCCCCAAGACGCTTCCAATTCTGGTGGTAATGTCACTTCTGAGACTCCTGATTCTGGTGCCTTTGCCAAAGCATTTTCCACTGCTGCTGCCATTGCCATGTTGGCGGCTTTCGTCATGGGGAACTAATGTGACGCTCTTGTTTGATTTCAAGGCTTGAATTCCAGGCATCATATCCGCTGGCAACCTTATCTTGTTTTGAACTGTCGCCATCTCCGTTCATCTCCTGGTTTCTATATTGTAACGCTGGTGCAAGACAAGCTCCGAGTAGGATCTGTTAAACTGATCAAGCGAAGCATCTTGCCATCATTGTCAATCCCTAGCTAGCTAGTATTCCGTAGAGAAGAGGATTGTTGCGACACTGCTTTCAATGGATCTAAGCACTGTCTGTACGGAAGTATTTAAATGTTATTGTGATTATGTATGTTTATCAGGGACTGCAACCAACGTCGACTATTGGCAGACAGCCAAACCACTCTCTGACAGTTAGCTAGGCTGCAGGTGCGTTGCAAAGATCCCTTCCAGGTGACTCAAGAAAGATAAGAGTGCTGGAGAGGAAGACATCCATGTCCTCGTTCGAAATGGGATAAAGCTCGTCGGAAGATAGAGATAACAGATCAAGTGTTAGGGACATGCTTTCTCGGAACTTTGGGAACTCATTCAGAGCATCATAGCAGTGGCCCATGTTGTTTGCAGTGGCAATGAGAAGGCAGAGCATCTCTTGAAAGTCATGAGCTTCCACCAGATTTTCTTGCCCCACAATCGTCACATTCTCGTAAAGTTGAACCACTACCGCAAGCAGAGGTCTTGGGTCTGTTTCAGGGTGAGTCTCCAAAAAGTTAAGTGCCTTGACATGAACTGCGACGGCCAGATTGTACAAGAGTACAAGGAAGGTCTTGGAGGGGCCAAACTGGCAGGAGTGGCTTCTTCTTATGGCAAAAGCTCTGGGATACAGCGTGAACAGGTTGTCTGACAGTATTGATCCGCCTGTTGGGCTGGCAAGCTCAGAAGCAATCGGGACGCTGTAGTATGCCATGGACTGGATATCCCTGGTAGGAACCTTTTGGGACATTGGCTGTTGCAGATGCTGAAATGGGTGTTCATAAGCGCTCTGTTGGAGAAAGAGGGGGCAACGTGCTTGCAAAGAAGCAAGGGCCGAGTGGATGCCTTCGATGCCTGCATCGGTATGTCCTTGCTTCAGTAGCTCCGTCGCATAAGTGTTCAGATCGGTGGGGAAGTTGAGGAGGCTGCTCGTCATGGTGGAGGTGCGATGGCTCTTGACTTAACTTCAAGCGGAGCGAGTGTCTCTTTTATTGTGGCTGATTTGTGATGTTTGATGTTTGGTTGAAGCCTGAGGCTTTTCGAATCTCGGGAATCCAAATTATGATGGCTGGGTTGCTTGGTCTGGGTATTGGTCAGATCCATCTGTTTGAGCCAACACCAATTGCAGACAAAGCCTCTGATTCGATTCTATTCAACATCAACCTCGCCGTGCCTCCCTCTGCGAAGTGTCGGCGTCACAAGAGCCGATTCGATTCCTACAGAAACAACACAGCAGAGCTTTTTGAGGGGATCTTTCAGATTTGCCACGGCAGACGGCAGGAGACGACGTAGCCAGATGAACTTTGGAACTGGTACAGCTGCTCATGGAACTAATTAAAACTACAATGTAGCAGCTTGTAGCTGTACTTCTTCTTCAATGCTGGGTGAAGTGACAGTTGAAGAGACCAAAGTTGACTAAATCACGACATTCTCTTCCAATAGAGTGAACTATAACGGCAACTCCGAACTTTTAAGCCACTTCAAATGTAAAAAGAAGCCAATCAAATACTGAGTAGCTTTTGAGTACACTGCGTACACTTCAATTGCTCTTCAAATGCAACAAACCACCAAGCTGTACCGAATTAAGTAGGATTTGAAGGTATTGTCTCGCACATCATGAATTCAAGGAGAAGTCACTCCCGCTCCACCGAAGCCTTTGAGTCTGCTTCATTGCGCCTTTAGATATCAATTGAGGCAGCAAAGGCCGCCTTCAAGCGCTCCAGCGCTCCATGGTGCTAACAGCTTGCTACGTGGCCGTCCTACAGCCCCAAGGGCTATAGGATTGCAAGTTACATTGAATGTTGGAGTCGGCTTCTTCAACAACCAATAAGCCTAGGATGAGCCATTGGACGTCTTGGAAAGCTCTTGAAAGCAGATTAAAAATCCAGCTGTAATGGCTCTGTAATGAGGAGGAGGACCAAGTGCACCAAGCCTTCGGTGGGATTCCTGCCTGTGCGTTGCTTGTGCTAGGCTCAACTTGCTTCTAGCTGGACTTTCTCTGGGCTATAGAATGCTGCCGTCTGCCGATAGCCATCTTGTGCAAAGAGCCACAGCTAAGCCAACTCATCGCCTCTCTATAGAGTACTAGTAGTACTACACCGGATCGGGGAAAGCACAGGATCTCAGGATCTTGCTTCAGCATCTCTAACTATCCAGCTGATGTCTCTGGAAGGCCAAAGCAAGCAATTTGGTACCGTGAAGCTGTAATACTGGCAATTTGCACACTCTACCTTCAACCTGGCTGGCATTAGCTTTTCGGATGCGCTCTTGCATGACTTCTTGCTTCAAATTCAGACTTGCTCACTCAACTACAGCCCGCAGCCTTTCTCTACTCCAGCAGCACAGAGAAGCGCAAGAAACTTGCGAGATAAGTACGGTATGGGTAGACAGACGAGGCAATATGCATGCTCGGGTGAAACAAAACTTCTTCCCTCAGCTCACCAGCCACGAGCTTACAGGTAGGACCCTTGTCACTGTTTGGCTGCTTGTTGCTGGATAAAACTGGCTAGTTTGTCCAACTGCCATCGGGACATCCTGGTTGGTAAAGAATCAGTGCCAAGAACAACTTAGAGTTAAGCTTTGCTTAGAGTGGTCACTGCATCTCCTGAACTGGACTTGGTAGTATAACTGACTAGCTTGCTACCGGTAGCTGGCTAGGTCATGATCACTTTGTCGTTGACTTGCAGGCCAGAGATGACTGGATGAAGCAATACCAAAAAGCTGGTGGCCTTTCAAGAACTTAACGGTCATTGTCAAGTTCCAAGGGGTCTGAAGGCACATTGGGTTTGGGTCCAGAAACAGCCATCACAATTCAGATTTGGGGAGATGACACCATACCGGGAGGACTGGCTGACCAACATTGGGTTTGAGTGGCAAGTATCCAGAAAGAATCACCAGAAGGCCACAGCCCCCGCCCCAGCCACATCCAAAGCAAAGAAGAAGAAGAATTCACTCAACGTTTCGGACTCCGAGGACAACCAGCAAAGAAAAAGAGAAAGCGCAATCTGAAATACAAAAGTTGAATCCCTTCTTGGAAGGAGACTCTGACGAACCTGAGGCCTAAGTTTTAATGTGCGCTCTCTTCTCTTCGGACTCTTAGAAATCTGAGCTCTAAAGCATCGTTACCAGTCTGGCTGCAGGATTCCTTGTTGCGGATGCTGCTGTTGTTGCAATACAGGTAGGTGAGGCTGTGTCTGTTGCGGATGTTGCATGTGCCCAGGCATTGGCATCTGCTGCGGATGTATATTTGACGGCTGTGTTTGTTGGTGCAGATGATGCTGCATTTGTGGTTGTATCATTCCTTGTTGATGTTGCTGCTGTAGGTGATGCATGTGGAAGAACCTTTGATGCTGTTCTTGGTGGAGTTGTTGCTGCTCTTGTTGACGCTGTTCGTGTTGTTGGCGTTGTTGGAGTGCTAGTTGCTGCTCTCGCTGTTCCATCAAGAGCTGCTGCTCTCGGGTTTCTTGGAGCTTTTGTTCTTCTTGCTGCTTTGACTCCTCTTCAGCCTTTTGCAGTCGTTGCTGCTTTCTGACATCGAACACAAAGTCAATCTAAAGAGGAGTGAGGCAAACAATGCTGAGTCCAGAGAACATACCGGCACCCGCACAAGTCCAACAACCTAATCGCAAGTGTTGCAACGAGTGCAATCTCACCTCCTTCAGGCGCTGCGCCTGTTCAGCGGTAATGTTGGGGTTCTTTCGTCCTTCCTGAAGGAACTTGTAGCACCTACGTTGCCGCTTGACCCATTCCCCTAGTTTGGGATACGCTTGAGGGACCAACGTGTGCCCCTGGGACATGGATTTGGTGAGTTTGACATTGACAACCGCGCCGCATCGCACAATAAAGCACCAACGAAGAACCTTACGTGCACGCGCTTGTATTCCATCAACTCCTGGAACCGTTCCTAAAGCAAACAAAGAAAGCAACGGGTATAAGCCGACAGACCAGCAAACCCCATCCATGCGCCTATCCATGTATCCACCCCCATGCATTCCACAAGGCTAGCTAGCAACAACAAGTAACTCACATCCCAACTCTTGCGATCGGTACCAAAGAAACTTCCAGTACGTTTGGCGACTTGCCAGAGAAAGCCCATTTCGTTCAACGTGGCAATCCGCTCGGGTGTCAGTGTGGACTTGGCTTCGTACTTGCTGGCGTAGGGTCGCGCGGCCAGGACCTCCTCTCCCAGCTCGAGTTGTTCCGTGTACTTGCGATACTCGTTCCGTTGTCGGTGCACCCATGCCGAGAGCCCAGGATCTTGTGGAAAGTCGTGAGGGACACGACAGTGTCCATGCTGTTCCTTGAACGCTTTCAGTCGTTCGACCCATTCGGGAAATTTGAGGTACGGCGATTTTTCCGTCATGGCAAAGATAAAGCCCAGCTCGACCAGTCGTTGGATGCGAGCTGTTGTGAGCACGGACGGGGCGCGCTTTTTGCCTGCTGACCTATTGTTGTTTTCGTCATTGTCATCGGTACCATCTTCGTTTTGATTCTGCTGCCTTTGACGTCGATACATGTTCTTGACGGCAATGGTCCACTTGGACAGCGCATTGTTGAGGGACTTTGGTACATGGCAAGTTCCGTGTTGCTGCTTGTACTGGACCAATTCTCGAAACATGCGTTCAAAGTTCTTTTCATCTTGACTTTGCTTTTCTTGTCGATGCTGTTCGGCCTTTTCTTGTTTGATGGCGACGGATCGTTTCATCTTTTTGGGTTTGGGCTGTACCAATTTGCCGGGATCACAAACCTGTAGAGCAAATAACTGATTCATTTGTTCCTTGCTGATGGAGCATGGTTTGCCTTGCAGAAAAAGCCGGCATTGTTCTCGCTGTTTGTAGAACCATTTGCCAAGATTATTGTAGTTAATGTTCGTCTTTCCCTGTTGTTGGTTGTTGTCGTCGTCGTCATGGTTGTGGTTGTCAGTGTCAGCATTGTTCTCCTCCTTGTCACCTTCGTATCGATGGTTGCAAAAGGGATGGACCAGAATCTTGTCGAGATACTGTTCTAAACTTTCCTTGCTGGCACTATTGTTGTTTGTGTTGTTGTCTCGTTGTTGCTGTTGTTGCTGTACAAAACCTTCCTTGACTTGCCGTAGCTGATCAAAGTAATCATCCCAACTGTAGTACTTAAAGTCAAAGTGGATGTCTCGTAGCAACTGTATTTTGATTGGATTCATGCACGCTTTCTTTCCTTCCTTCATGATACGATAATGATAACGTTGTGTTTCCATCCACTTGACCATTTCATCCACGGCACTGTCATCGCCACAATGGACGACGTCCTCGTTCGTACTATTTGCAGTGCCGTTGGCATCCGCGTCTTGCGAAGGACTCCCTTCGGCTGCATTGTTATTGGCTCCAGCTGGATTGTTGTTGCTGCTCTTCTTTTGCTTGCTCTTGTTGCTACCACTCGGGTTGGCTCGTACGGGGAACTGCCCATCATGTTGTAGAGTGAACTCCTTGAGCGCCGCGTACATTTTGTTCCATTTCTTGTTGGGTTTCATGTATCTTCGACTGGTTCCTCCTTCGGTTTCGTAGCCTTCGTCATCCGTTTCGTCTGGTGCGGCTGATGCGTTCGCAGTACTAGAGGAGGATTGACGCTTTCGTTTGTTGTTGCTACCGGTAGGTGAATCGCTGCTATTGGTGGAAGAATTCTTACGTGGTCGACCACGTCCTCGCTTGGTTGGTTCCTTTTCGTCGTTCTTGGGAGGATCATCACAAGGCGTCGGGTCTTGGACAACGATTTCAACCGACTTACTCTTGTTGTTCTTGGAAGTTGATTTTTTCTTGTTTGTTGTTGTTTCAAAGTTGTTGCCGGTGGACAATCTCTTGCGAGCTGAAGATTGCCGCCCGCGACGATTGGTCAGTGCCTGTGTTGTTCGCAATTGAGCCACTGGTTGGTCATCATCGTCTTCATATTCTGACTTCTCCTTGTCATCCTCCATGCCCAATAGATTCTCAATGGATAGAAAGCCATCATCCAGATTGTCATCATCATTGTCATCAGGATGCTTTCGCTTGGTTCTTGCAGGTTCAGCTGATGGATCAGTCTGCTGCTCATGATGTGTCTCACTTGGATGATTCTTCTCATTGTCGTTGAGGATGGGTTCTTCCGTTCTTTCATGTGGGAGTTTTCGTGGCTGTGGTTGCTGCTGTCTACCGGTACCTTGTTGTGTGTAGAGCAACGCGTCTTGAATGTTGACAAACACGGAATACTGTGCACCGGGACAATCGTCCAAGAAGAGCACTGCATCGTTCCATTCCAGAAAAATACAACTTCGCAGTCCACCTTTGCCTTGACGAACCGCCACAAAGCCACCATGTGTGACCTCTTCATGCATCTTTAAGAGACCGTCATTGGTCGACACGTCAAAATGGAAGGCATCCTCCATGATGCTGCTGCTGCCATTCCACCGCAAAGCTTCTCAGTCACGGCGTCACCAGTGTGCCCGAAGAGCAATCGTATCCACCCAATCAACAAGTACTTTGGGAGTGGTCAAGAGCTGCAGCAATTACCAACAGAAGCAACGACACAAGAGTGCTCCTCTTATGATGAGGATGCTGGGATCTCTGTGCGAAGAAAAAGGTGTTGTCCAATTCAGCTTGGATGGGTCTGACACTTGGCTTGATGAGAGTTGGTTGTTGTGGCTGTTGTGGCTGGCATTCTGCTCCGCCTTTGCCGCCAAAACGAAAGTGTATTGCAGTAAGGCTAAGGCTCACATTTCCACGCTGCGTTCCCACGGCAACCACCATGTGCCTTGCTTTGCTCAGTGAGGGACGTTGGTGACTACGGTAGACTATCCTAACAAATCTATAGTTCCTGTCATAGCAAAGTATTATAGTAGCTCTAGCTAGAAAGCGCAGTGGCTCCCCAGAGTGGTATTCGTTAGATGTTTCATCAGATGGGCTGTTTTGGCTAGGGCGAGCCCAAGTACGGTACTGCACCCATCGTACAAGTATTTCAGATTAGCAAGTTGGACGGAAATTGGCGCATAAAACGATAAATTCGATTCGATCACAATTGAATTCAGTGGGATGAGTCACTTGCAGTACGCTATTGATTGATTGGTTGGTTGGAGCGATGATCCATAATGAAAGTGATATTGCAGCCAGTTCGTTGGTTTGTCCTCGGCATCACCTTTTATTGGCTTCTTCTTTGCACACTTTTGTGCGTATCTTTTTGTGTCTGCCACCGGCGTATGCTGCGTTCTGGAATTGCTACAAGTTACGGTACCCCACGTACTTTTTGGCGGATTGTTTTTCCCAGTTGCTGGTTGGGTTCAGAACAGCAAGGAGACAATATTGCCAGAGGCATGAACGATTGCCTGGCTGATGATACACCGGGAATGGGGCTCCTTGGGCAAGCCAAAATACACGATGTGGTTCCTTCTCGCCGGCAAAAAGAGAAACGCAGAGAGTTGTTGTTGCTGCAGTAACCTTTTTCTAAAATAATGTAGACATATACTCGTTTTGACCCATATTATAACAAAAACGAACATTGGAACGAAACCGAACGGAGCGACACAAGGATTCATTTCCCAACCAACACCACTTTTTGCTCCATCTTGTTGCGTAGATTGATCGCGTTCTTCTAACTGTGTGATTAGACAAAGAATAATTGCGCCAACATGAAGGAAGCGCTCAATCCAATAGCGCAAGTGATTCTAGCACCGGCAGAACCGTCTCCCTCCAAAGTAATATTGGATGAACGATCCGGTTGATTGGATGACCCGTTGGCATTTCCATTGGCGTTCCCATTGGCATTTGAATGATCTTCAATTTTGGCAACGACTTCCACTGGATCCGATTGCAAGCAGGACGGGAACGTGCTTTCTGCTGCAAGGAGAGTCTTGGCCTCTTCAGCGGTATCAATTTCGAGTTGGTCGATGGTCTTGTCGTTCAGTTTTTGCAAATTACGGAAACTCAGGCTTCGGCCTCGTCGACGGTTGCAGCAAGCGCAACAAGTACAAAACCATTCCAAGCCGCTGCGACAGAGGGTTTGACACTCACAAAGCTTTCGATGCCCAGGAGTTGCCTCCATCATGAGTTCGCGAAATTCGGCAGCTGCAAGTTCCTTCCTCATTTCTTCTGCTTCTTCTTCTTCTTCTTCCGTCAGAGCCCGTCTGCCACTGTTTCCTCGCTGGATTTTCCAATTGGAGCTGCTACCTGCCAACCTCAATCCAGCATTCTCCAATGCCTCGAAGGAAATTCTCTCAATGACTTCTTCTTCATCTTCGGTACATGATGTGGTCTCATCGATTGCCCGGTAGCTCACACCAGCAGAGAAGCTTTGAGCAAGAGTTGAAACGGCAGCAAAGCCCAACAGGGCCAGCAGGAAGATTGTCCTTATCATCATTGTCAGGTAGAAGGTATTTGTGTTTTTTTTGTGCGGGGGTATCTCTTGGTTCTGGCAAAAGAAATTGTGTGGTTTGCTGTGCTTCTACCGGTATGACTTGCTTCTTTTGATTGCTGGAGGTGGATAATGGTTGCTTTGCTGGAGATTGCTCTGAAATTGGACTTCATGAGGTGAGGCGATCTTGTGAAGGCTGCATGCTCTGTTGGATGGATTAATCAACTTTAGAAAGAAGGAGCGGTAAAAACTGAATATTAGTAAACTATTTATTCCTCCAACTACCAGTACCACTATTCCGTCCTGGATCTTTGTGTCCTTGCTAGCTTGGACCTCATTTGACGTGACCTCTCCAGCAAAAGACACAGTCAAGTTGGGTGCACGTGGCCTGCTCAATGGTACGGTAGCTAGCTAGTTCCAGCCATGGAATCCGAGTGGCTAGCACTGAGTATGGTAGCTAGTAGTAGACTAATGAATTCACTGGTAGGTCTTCTGGCTGGATCTCTTGATAGCTAGCTAGGGATATCAAATGCAGCAAAGAGCACGTCGCATCGCGGCAAAAAGCCAGTCCTAGACTAGATTGCTTACTGATGAATTCGCAGGTGGGTCTTTTGGCTGGATCTCTTCCATCTTCGGGATGCCGGTACGCGGTGTTACCGCCCGTAGCTAGCTACTCAGTAGGGCCAAACCATACCGTAAAAGTAGCCAGGTCGCTTGCTGTAGGTCGCTGCGGAGCCCCACTGGACTCCCAGTTCGCTTTCCAATCTAGCAACCGGTACCGTAGTTAGCTAGCCAGCTAGTCAGAGTACCGTACTGGTGTTGTTACAGTAACAACAAAAGAATAGATTGCCCTGTGGAAACAGTATTTATAAGTGTGCTCCTTGACTGTTTGACCGGCTGAGCCTTCACCTCAGAGGAAAGCCTTCACCTCAGAGGAATGGAGACTCGATTGTCACAATTCTGTCTCGTAAACCCACTGTTGATTGCGGCAAGCCAGCAACATAGTGCCGTCTCTTGGAGCGCTAACTAGCTAGTAGGAAACCGACCAATTGCCTATCGATGACTACCAAGGTCACGCCTGGTTTGTGTGTTGATTGGCTGGTAATCGCTGGGCACCGCATCCTCTTTGACCGCAGCATCAAGACCAGCGAAACAAATTTCCACTGTAGTGTCTGAAGGCCAAGCAGCCATCCCCATCGCGCCCCCCTGGACATTGTGGATCCCCAATCGCAGCCTTGGCCGCCCAAAGATTTGCATCCTTGATTTTTGTCCGGCACACACGCTGTGGCAAACTGTTTCTGCCTCGTTGTCGGCTTTCATGATTCTGCCAACTCGACCGATGGAGCGATCGTCCTCGTGTGGATATGCGCCGCTTGGAAAACAAAGAAAAATCCACAAGTTTCCTTCGTTTCCAACCATCTCGTTGCCTGTTGATTGATTCATTCATTCTCCCTCGCTGGCTAGTAGTAGCAAATGGAGCGATCATCCTCATGGGGACGTGCGACTTTTTGTCAGGAGAGGCACCAGAAGTCCGCCCCAAGCTGTTCATCGCCTGTTGGTTGGTTGGTTGGTTGGTTGTTGCGATGTCTCGGACATGTATCCACTTGCATGTGCCCATTTCAGTAATTCAAATTGACCATTTCTGGCAGCCTTAGCCAATACTAATGAGTGCCAATACAAGAGACCCTTTTTGTTATTGGCCCATTTCAGAACTTGAAGATTCCCAGCTGAAGCAATCAATTTGGCCAGGCGATAACTTATGGCATTGTGGCCATAACGGTCTTGGTACCAGTATTCAGCACATGACACATTGTAGAATACAGCACTGGATAATGTAGAGGTGCTGGAAATCGGCTTCGTCAAGATTGCCCCATGACACATTGTAGAATACAGCACTGGATAATGTAGAGGTGCTGGAAATCGGCTTCGTCAAGATTGCCCCCTCAGACCTGTACCGTCGGTCCCGGTAGCGGCTACGGTAGCAGTATTTTGCCAGTGGTGGATTCTTCAAAGAATCACAATACTCCAAATACAATTCTTTCATTTTCTTGCTGACAGGAGCCACAAATCCGTAGTGCCCTATTCCCAAGAAGGGAAAGATCGCACCCACCCAAATTTTCTTTTCGCTGTAGCAGTGTATCAATGTCAATGGGAGGAGGAAGTTTCTGTTTCTTCTTTTTATGCGTTGTTTCCTCGGCTGGCGACTTGCGTTTCTTTCTGAACAAGAACGACGAAATCACAGCAATGGTAGAAGAGGCAAGAGAAGTCATGATCGATCGTACTAGCTAGTAGCAGTTTGAGGACAAGGTCGAAGAGGGCGGGTTGCTGATTGATAGGTTGATGGGTGTCCTTGGGTAAAGTGGACGGTCGAGCTCGGCCGCAACAGCAAAGTTTGATGCCAAAGCGTGGTTCTTGTCGGGTTCGATTCGATTCGATTCGATTCGATTCGATTCGATTCGATTCCTCGAAATCTTCGTGACACCAGACACCACATACCGTACTGTACCAAAATGGCATGACAACGCGACAAAGAGCAGCCACCATGACACCATGACGGCCGAGTGATAACCAAGCGGTGAACTGACTCGACTGCGAGTCAGTGCTCTTGTATGGTACCGGTAGTTCTTGTGGATGGACCATGATGCCGAGAAAAGATCATAACCTACCTAACCAACAATGGGACTGGAAAAGGAGCACCGACCGGCCGATCTTTCGTTTGATGGGATTTCCATCCAAGCCTTCCCAAGCACTGGTATCTTTCTTTTCCATTCATTCATTCATTCATTCAGCTTCAAGCCACGCTTCATCAATGGGCTGACAACTTGGATGGTAAGAGTGTGTACTTGTTCCGAGCGAATCGAATCAAAACGCAGCAGTTTTCCGACCCCAACGACACCTACGCATGGAAGATATCCCCCAGAATTTACGGACATGTGATTCTATCAACCATGATGTCTCCTGGATGACGACTTGAAACATTTAGTTGTTGGAAGAGAAATGGAAAGAAGACTGAGTGGTATGAAAAAGCGACGATGAAATAGAACAATTGCAAGCACAAACAATTTAAACCAACAATTCACAATCGAAGGATGATCGGCGCGAACACGACCCTAAAGAGCATGCAAAACCAAACGAAATGAATATGATTGATGAAACCAATGGGGTGGGAAGAGTGTCATGGAATGCAACGCAGAGGACAAGAGCAAAACATTGGGTTCCCTTTTTGCTTGATTAACAGAGCTGCGCCTTTCCAGAACTATGCGCTGCTGGAGCTTGCTTACTCTACATTGCATTGATCCATTCTATAGTGGATCATGCCTTTCACTACGAGAATCGACAATACATTCACTGTTTGTGTGTGAAGTGGTTCTGCTACTAGTATTTTGAACCATCGATTGGTTGTACACTTGCATGATTTTCCTAAACTGTAGCTGTTCCTAGGCAGCTAGTACACCATACTCAATATACTGCTATAGACTTCATGACATGCGTCGCTACTTTCAAGGAATGACACAGCAACAAGTGAAATGAGAGGCGAGGAAACAGATCCGGCCGTGTCGGCAGAGCAGGGCATCGTATCCCTGTTCCTTGCCATTGCTAGTGGCATCATGGCAATCATCACTGCCACGGAAACGCATTTGGCAGTGGCTCCCATCCAGCTTCATGCCTGTGTAGCCTTGCATGCCTTGGCTTTCAAGAATCCCGACATAGAAACTACCATTGCTGATGGAGGTGGCATCAAGGCAATCATCACTGCCATGGAAATGCATTTGGGATCAGCTGACATCCAGGAACGTGCATGTTTTGCATTGGACACATTGGCTTCCAGGGGTCCCAACATACAGATTTCCATTGCTGATGGAGGTGGTATCAAGGCAATTGTCGCTGCCATGGAAAAGAAAAGCATTCAGCGTGTGCAAATGTCCAGAAAATTTCCTCTCATGCATTGTACCACTTGTCAGTCAAGAATCCTGACATACAAACTTCCATTGCCAACGCTGGTTTTGTTCGGCAGGTTAGCATAGCTATGCAGAACCATCCTTCCGGACGACTCCTTCAGTGGAGTTCGTTTCGATTAATACAATCTCCACCTCCCCCATCAACCAAAACCTGGTCATCGAAGGAGGGGCCGTTGTTGCAGTCATCAAGACTCTGGAGAACCATCCCACTGTGTCTGATCTTCATTACGAATGATGCACTCTGCTTTGGACTCTCTTTGCAAAATCTCAAGAGTCCCGTCAGTATCTGCAACGAAAGGGCGGTGGCGTTTGCCTTGGAGGTGGCGTTTGCCTGGTTCCAGCCCTCCGTCATTCATTGAACACATTTCTTGTCGGCTTCCAGTACATGCACGAGTAGACCGCCCATCGACACACCCGCAGTCGACCAGCCAAACCGAGCCTCGAAATTGCAAACCAGCAACAGTTTCTCACCGGTATGTTCCGATAACAGCTGACACTGTCTGCATGGGTTCAGGTTCTTTCTTTTCTGCACCAAGCAACGAAGGCACCCGAGTCGAGTCTCGTCTTCCTTTCATCTACCGATACCTCTACACGACCGAATAATAATGTAAGCGACACTCAGACTAGTACATCATCGCTTTGTGCTTGTGGCCCCCTCGAGAGTTGCAACACAACTTCCCAACAATAAAGTAAATCCAGAACTAAGTGGATACCGCTAGTAGCGAGATAGCTGGGTATTACGGCACCACATCCCTCCTTTGCAAGCAACGAAGGCACCCGAGTCTGTCTCCTTTTCATTTATCTCTACACGAGCGAACCATCCCTTACAAAGAAAGCTGCAGCGCAGTTTTACGCTAATATCAACACCAGAGGTTTTGCCGGCATGGCGCAGTGCTGGCGGCCCCCACGTGAAATGTATCACAATCTAAGAGAATACTACTATAGTTATTACGGCACCACATCCCTCCTTCGAAACTGAAAGGCCAACATGATGAACGGGCCCGAGCCTCACTGTTGCATTTTAAGTCCAGCAGCATCCGCGGTCACACCCTCTCAAACATCATTTCCAGGGACCATTCTTTGCAAAAACAACAATGATTCCCATAACATAACATCCCCCCCTCCAAGTTTCTCACTAAATTCCAATCATACCAACGATACCAGCAACGACGATTGTCGTATAAAACACAGGGGAGAGAGAGTATCCTGTGGCACCGGAAACCGCGTCGCATCCAACAAAAGAGAAATTTCCCAATAGCTCGTCAAAGCGCGTATCTTTCAAATCTTCAGGACCAATGGCTGTTAAATTGCAGGAAGCGCCGACGCAGGTTGGTGCCAAGCCCAAATCGTAATCAAAGGAAGCGACACTGTAGCCGCACTTGAGCTTGATTTCTCGCTTGAAGATTTGGCCATTCTTGTCCAAGCAGGCCGCCACATACGTCTCGTTATCCCCGTCAAACTTGAGTCCACAGTCAGGGTTCGTAATGGACGTAAAGTCGCAGACACTGTCAAAGTCTTCTTTGTACTCTTCATACAGGTCGTCTTGGACGATCCAAAAAGGAATCATTGTGCAACACTCGGGTTTCCTCTATGCATTGGGGAGTAATGGTAGCTTGCACCGCTACCGCGAGGAGCGAGAGAGCAAAGGCGGAGGCTAATGATCTGGTCATGGTAGGTATCGATTGATTCGATTTGATGATTCGTTCTATTTGGGTTGATGGGTTCGGCCGGATAGTAGTTTGTTGTGTTGGTAGAGAGCTTTAGAGGGATGGAGAAGCTGGTGTTGTGGTTGTGGGAAGATGGTGGAGAATTGAGAAGCCACCGGTCTGATGTCGAGTCGTGGTGGTGTTCCGATTGCAATCACGGGTGTTGTTCGAATCAGGAGTATCCACGAATGCAGAACAACCAGCGTGACGAACGTTAGCTTTTGTAAGTACCGGTAAAGAAAGCCGGGTGGTGTCATTTTGCTTGCAATTTCTCATTATTCGGCCCCGCAGTTTCATTCGTACTGTAGTTTTCAATCATACTGTATGGTAGGCTTGTTGGATGAAAGGTTGGCTGACATCCCATGCAGCTACTTTTGATAGACTATTGGCGCAAGCTAAGGGCACCAATAACAGCCAACCTATAGCCAGTACATGTAGACCTCTGCCAATTTCCAATCTCATCATTATCAGTCTCACAGTTTCCAAAAACCAACAATCAATATTCAGGCATCACCACAAAGTCTCCATATTCCATCCTTTTTTGCTGCACTTTCCAGTTTCCAGACACCTTAGCAGCATTACAGAAGCCTTTGAAGACACACAGAAATAACAATCCCCCACATCATGAAGAATTTTTCTACCAACATGGAAGTATTGGTTTACACTGCCAAGGATATTATACGGTACCCAACAAGGCAGCAGCCGCATTTGTGGAAGCCAAAATGAAAGTTGTGATGAGGCCATGTTCAAACTTTCTGAAACGATTAGTACCAGGATGCCAAACTTGGCATTTACAGTCATCATAGCCACAGTAGCTATGTACCTTTGGATGCAACTCAACAGACGCAGCAAGATCTTTCCTCGTATGGCCCCAGGAGGCTTCTGGGAGATCATCCAGGCCCTGAAGGGGAATGAAATTCCCTGGTTTGTCCTAAGACAGCTCGTGTCATGGGGACCACTGTTTTCCGTTTGCCCTTGGATGTTTTTGTAGGCACAAAGCTCTTTGTCATTGGTGATGCCAAGTTGACCCGTGCCATTCTGACTGACAAAGGGACCACCAAGCCAATGAACATGTATGGTAAGTTCGCAAGCACCTGGCAGCAACTCATTATAATTCTGTACTCATATTTGGCGCTGCTAGTGATGCATACTCACCTGGACCAAAGAAAACTTTAACAACATGGCCAATGGGGCCATATCCTTGTTTGCAAGCAATGGGTCATACTGGCATGCACGACGCAAGGCCATTGCTCCCGCCTTCTCCTCTCAACATGTTCAACGAATGAACGCAATTGCCATCGCAAACTGCGATGAGTGGCTTGAAACAAAATTGAAGCCCCTCGCCAAAGAGGGCAAGTCCTTTGACGCGGAACGGGAAATGATTGACTTGATGCTGTCCACTATTTCTGAAAGTGCTTTTCAGTACAAAATGTCTCCTACAGAAATGGATGCATTCAAGGAAGATCTGGCAACAGTTGCCAACTACAATCTCTTGAAGACAAGTCTTGGGCGCTGGAGAATGGCTATTAGCTGGTTGCTTACAGATCGCCAGGCGTATGGGAAGGCTGCCACACGGATCCAGGCACTATGCTACAAGCTAATTGCGATCTACAAGCAGTTGGAAAACCCTACAAAGGAACCATTATCGAACTCGTTGTGCGCAACGAGGCATACAACAATGATGCAGAACGAGCTGCTGACCGTAAGTTTTGCCCGCAAACTTTGGATTTCAACTTTCGATTGCAACATCCGCATCACTTATGGTTTTGTTCATCCCCTCTTGTCTGGATGTCTCTCCAGCAAATGGATAGTCATGGCCACACTGCTTGCTGGTCATGAAACAGCTGCGACCACATTGGCATGGGCACTGACGGACCTTGCTCAACACCCACTGCATCAGGAAGACTACGACGATCCATCCAACAGGATGATCTCCAGCCCCCCCCCCCCCACCAGCTGGAAAGTGTTCACCAAACCATCCGTGAATCTATGCGACTTCACCCGGTGGTTGCAGTATCTGCTCGTAGTACTGGCAAGGATTTCATCACAAAGCAGGGGAAACTCATCCCTGCGGGCAGCCTTGCAGTAATGAGCTATTTTGTTGTGATGCGTGACCAGTCCATCTTTGCGGAAGAGGCTGATGAGTTCAAACCGGCTCGTTGGGAAAACCCCACAAAGGACATGACATGCGGTAAGAACATCTCACGAACCATGGTAGCATGAGATTCAACCTTCTCACCAGATGTTGCTCGCACAGCATTTATGCCCTTTGGTGCTGGACAGCAAAACTGTGTGGGCCAGAAGTTGGCCAGTGTAGAGTTGCATTGCATACTTCCTCGTATCATTTCCCAATTTGAGTTGATTGTGGATGATCCTGGTCGACCCAAATATGTCCTTGTTGTGTCACCAGGTAAGATCAAAAAGTCTGCTGCGGCCGCTTGAAACAAGGGTCTGGATTTCCACCTCTGAACTTGGTTCCTGTGTTGTTACAATCTGGACTGCTCAGCTAACTGCTTGCTCAAGGCCAAGCTTGTTGCTCATCCGTAGATGCACATCCAGTGCCAATTCTTTTGCTTTTCATCCATGAAGCCCAGTTGCCATTTTGATCCAATACTACAGACTCCTGAAGAAATTAAAAGATAGGACCAGTCGAGTCCAACAAAGCAAGGGTGCGGGTTGGCAAGGCAAGTCGACTCAAGCCGGATAATTCATCCAGAAGAAGGGAAAGCCAACAGACAAAGGGGCCAAGCGTTTGCAAACAAACGACGAAACCAGGGAGCTTGGTCTGATGAACGAGCGACCTCGGGACACGGCTTGCGGCAAGTTTGCTCGGTGACAATCTGCAACTAGTAATTATCCTTGAGCATTCGCCAGTAAGATATGAATCTCTCCTCTTCGCAACCTCTTCACGGTGCGAGTTGCCGCCAATAAGTAGATTTAGTAGCTTGTTGTCCACGTGGGGATTGCGACCATAGTCAAACGTTCTATCCAGCAAAGTTACAATAATACCATGAAGACTTGAAAGCAAAAGAGCTTTGAAATTACGATGCAGAGCCATGCAAGAGAGTAACGTAATTCCGTTTGCAACCGCTCCTCCGGTGTAATCATTCCTAGATCCATGCGTTCTCTACCGCCGAAATGGACCTTGGTTGTGGCCATCTCCTGGGCGAGGTGCTGAACGGGCCAAAAGTCCCAACGCGTCTAGTGCCTGCGCATCCATTTGTTGTTGTTGCTGCTGCTGCTGTGGCATCGGCAAATGACCTTGCTGTTGTTGCTGCTGATGGTGGTGGTGGTGTTGCTGCTGTTGTTGGCTTTGCTGTTGTTGTTGTTGTTGTTGAAGCAAAAGCCTCTGAGCAATCGAAAGACTGTTTAGGTTGTGGTTGTTTTCATTGTCCCCTTGGTAATGCATGCTAGAATTTCCGGCGCCCCTTCCGTTGTTGGTGTTGGTATTGCCACTCTCCAGAAAGGATGGGTTTAGACCAGACAGCCCAGCAAGTGCCATAGACCTGAGCTGCGACGCTGCGGGGGATGAAGCGTGCGGGTGGGCATTGGCTGCCTGCTGTTGCCGCAGCGCCAACAGATTCTGCATTTGGGATGTGGCTGATATTGGCAAATGGCGCAAGGTCGAAAGAACAGAATGGGTTAGTAGTCGCTTCGTGTGCAATTGCATAAAAAAGAAACCACAACAAACTTACCATCAGATCCATGAGACTGTTGAGCTTGGGCCGCCTGTAGCCATGGAAGCAAGTTAGACAGAACTTGTTGGTGATGTTGCTGCGAATGGTGCTGCAAGAGTTGCCGCGCCTCATCAACAGAAAGGCCACCAGGCTGCTGATGTCGAAGTGCCTGCTGTTGTTGTGCCTGTTGCTGTTGCTGCTGTGTCTGCGCTTGTGCCTGGGCCCAAAGCTCAGCTGCCAAGCCAGAGCCTGATCTACTATTCTCTCGGCTTTCAACCCTAGATGGTCCATGATGATGCTGTTGTTGTTGTTGCTGCTGCTGTGGGGAAGGTGATGTGTAAGCGGCATGCTGCTATTATGTGTGCGTGCACCCAATTCCTACTCTTCTTACCTGCTGCTGCTGAGATTGCTCGTGAAAGTGCTGCGACGCAGCGTGGAGACGCTGTTGAGGTCCCTGAAACTGCTGTTGCTGGTGCTGCTGATGCGCAGTGTGGTGTTCCCCCCTTCGCTGACTCATGAGCTGCTGCAACTGTCTGTGTTGCTCCTGCTCCCGCTCCCGTTCTCTTTGCTGAGAGATCAGGGAAAGCGAATGTGAGAAACGTGCTGCTATCATGATGGCGCAGCGATGGGCAGGACAAACCAATATTAACTCACCTGGTGCTGTTGCAGTGCCAAGGCAGCACGTTGTTGAAGGAGCCTCTGCAAAAAGCAGGAAAAGAGACATGTAAGCGGAACTTGCTGGCATCGTGTATGCCTTGTCTCGAACTTCTCCGATCTTACCTGGTGTTGATCTTGCTGCATCTGTTGCTGCTGAAGGCGTTGCTGTTCTTCTTGTTTCTGCTGTTCTTGAAGCTTTTCCTTCTCCAACAGTTGCTGCTGTCGTTGTTCTTGGAGTTTCTTCTGTGCTTCAATCTTGCTCTGCTCCTGGAGTCTCCGCTGTTGTTCTTGCAGAGCCCTCTGCTCTTGTTGCTTTTGTTCCAATATCCTCTGGCGTTGTTCCTGTTCGGGCAAGGCAAAATGTAAGCAGCTTGCTGTCATCAAGAGGCCACGCCACACGATTTCCACTCTTACCTGTTCCCTTCTCTGCCTTTCCTGTTCCAATTCCTCCTGGCGGCGTCTTTCATTCTGTAATTTTTGTTGCCTTAATGCTTCTTGGCGCTGGCGTTCTTCGAGCTCCCCTTGAACAAGCCGCTGCTCTTCTCTGAGTTTCTCCAGCTGTTGTTCCCGCTCTTTCTTCGCCTTCAATGCCTCGTTCCGACTACTCCTATCATGCTTGGTTGGTTTTGGGGATGTTTCCGGTGCTGTATCCATCTCCTGATCTTTGGCCGGTTCTCCTCTCGCCTTTTCTTTGCCTGTTTTGACCTTTTCCGTGGACTCACTTGAGATGATCTTCTTCTTCTTCTCGTTGCGGAACTTCCCTGCCTGTTTTTTGTAGTCGTAGTAGTAATTCTTGATCTGGTTGATGGATTTAGTGCCAACGGCAGCTGCAAGGGCCTCCCAATTGCGTCCTGGTCAGAGACAAAAAAACGTTAGGAAGCAATCATTGGAATAAGAAGCCAGACACAACGCAACAATAGAATCACCATGTTTCTCCAGGGTTTCTCGGAAAACTCTCTTTTCTTCTGGGGTCCATTTTTGAGGCGCTTTGCGTGGAGGCGTTGCTCGTTCGTGTTCGGCAGACGCAGATGCCTTCGTCGTTACCACAGGTTCGGGGACTTCCTCCGTGTTTACCATGTGCCTTGCCTTCTTGTGCGGGATCGGTGACGATGTCGCGGTTGTCGTTGGACTCTTACTTTTCGATCGGAGAAGCCCTTTCTCCTCCTTTGCCAACGTGAAGAATGGCTCGAGCTTGTAGCGTTGACTCGGTTTGATCGCCTTGTGCTTGACAGGGAGATCGTCGTCCAAGTCAATATCTTCCTCAGAGATACCATCCGTAGCTTTGTCGAAGATTTCCCGACGCAACGGGTGAAGGTCTTTGGTATGGAATGTTCCGTCGCTACTTGGTAGGGTGAAGACAAGGGGCTTCAGTTCGTCCTTCCCGGCGGTGATCACGGCACCCACAGAGAGGGCCGCCTGGATTGTGGCGTCCCAAATGAAGTAATCGCCACGCCGCTTTCTTCGCATCAAGTGTTCCTTCAATGCCGCCTTGTACGGAACGGTTTGCTTGGAATCATAGTAGAAAGCAACGCAGTCCTTCGTCGACTTGTTTCTCAAAAAAGATGCAATCTTTCTAAAGTCCTTTGGATGCTGTAAGAATCGATCTAGGAAGATGCACTTTTCCATGTCTGTCCATACATTGGTGATCTTGGCTGTCTCTTCCAGTTCAATCGGGTCGTCAACTCTCTGGGACTCGAGCGTATTCACGTAGCGAGCAGTCAATGTCTGTACATTATGTAAAGCAACAGGGATCAAGAATAAGTACAACGAGCGTAACAGCAAGAAGTGAAAAGGCGAGGACTCGACTCACCTGCTCCAGCTGGCCAACCTGGGGAGTGGGCTTGCAACCACCAAAGGCAATCCGCTTCTCCATGGCTTCTTTGGCGGCCAACTCCGCAATGATTTGCTCCTGTTCATATTCTGATCGAACATCGTTGCCACGACGAGGACGGCGATACGGGTTGCTGGAGGACCTGCCGGACAAGATGTTGGCTGACGATACTGCAGAAGACACAGAATTGTTGTTCGATTTGCCACCAAGAATCGATTGCCGAGATACAGTCAAGGATGCTCGCGAGCTATTGGAGTTTTTGCTGCGTCTCTTGCGCATCATCAAATGCTTATTGTATTTTCGTTTCCTGTAGTCGTACTCTTCTGCCAACTCACACCAGTGCTCATCAAGCTTTCGTTTCTTGTGCACAATGTGTTCTTTCACGAGAGGAGCCAATTTCTTGAACGTAGCCTCGTTGTGCTTGAAGAAAGGAGCCTGGTTTGGTTCATTGTACAACGCATTTGCAGGCCCGCTCACATTGGCCGTCTTCTGATTCCACTGCGAGCAGGACAGATGGTACATTGGATCTACCCACTCGCTCGAAGGAGAAGCATCATTCTGAGAGAACGGCATCCCCAAGGATTGCGCCATCATGTGTCCCTCCGATGCCTTCCTTTGATTCTCTGCTAGAATTGATCGAACTAGATCACTGGGATTCAAGGCCACCTTCTGTCCGCTGCCTGCCTTTTCCTCTTCCTCGGCCTTCCTTTTGGACTCGAGGACTTGTTCTTGTATGGCTTCTGCTTTCGCTTGCGACTTGGACGCGGCCGAACTAGCCCGATCGTGCTCTTTCTTTGCCTTTGCGATATCCTTGCTCATTTGGTCCGATGCCTTTTGGACCTGCTTTTCAATGTCCGACTCGATCCGTTTGGTTTCTTCTTCCTTTGCCTTTTCAATCTTCTGCGACAGCAAATCCTTGGCTGCCTCTTGTTCGTCCTCGAGTGCTTTCTTCTTTTGCTCGTGCCACGACTTCATTTGCGACTCGTGCTCTTGCTCTCGTTCCTGTCGACGCTCCAGCAAATAATTTGCTTCGGCTTCCTCTCGTTCGAGTCGTTCCTTTTCCAGTTTTTCTTCTCGTTCTCGCTCTTCCGCCTTTTTGGCAGTCTCGACCTTTTCCTGTGCATCCTTTGTTTCCTTTTCCGATTTCTTGATTTTTTGATCTAACACCGTCATGGCCTTCATGATTTGCTGCTTGGTGGGCAGTGTGAGCGGCTGTTGATGACGATCCGTATCGGTGGTGGAGGTGGGATCCTTGTTCTGCAACAAATCTTGTAACTGCTGCACGGCATTATCGGCTCGTGCGATTAGTTTGACTTCTCCGAGGACCGACGTTGAGAGTTGTGGTCGTTGTTTCTTTGGAATTTCCAAAAGCATCGATGCCGATGCCTTTTGTTGTGCTTCCTTGGACTGGTGTGCTCCTGGACGATTCTTGTCTTGTTGAGTGGAGGAAGAAGAAGGAAGGGAACTACGACGATCTGCCTTTTGTGGGCTCGTGGTGCTCGTCGTAAAGGGAAGCGGGGCTGCATGAGCCAGTGCCCCCGTAAACGATTTTCGGGCTCGTGGAGATTGTTGTGGAGTCGACCGAAAGCTTCCACCATGACCATGAGGAGCGCCGCTGTTGTTGTTGCGAGGATTATTCCCTCCCAATACTTCTCTGTGTTGAACTGGCGAACCTGGGTAGGATCCTCGACGTCGCTGCAGAGGATCTTTGATATCGTATCCTCCGGCATTATTTCCATGACTGTTGGCACGAGGTGGAAGCACTTGTCCTTGTTGTTGTTGGCTGCTGTTCCACGGTGCTCCTCTCGGCCGATTCTTTGCATCGTCCAGAATAAAATCTGCCACGTCCGAGCTGCTGGCCCTCCGAAGGATAGCGACGGCTGGTTCCTCTTCATCCAATAATTGTTGTGCTGGTAGTTGTCGTGCAAACCGTGGATCTTTGCGATGATGTCGTTGTCCAGGGATGGGTGATAACGGAGAAGCGAGAATGCCACCCGGCCCTGCATGTAGTGGATTATTGGAACTGTTGCTGTTGGTTCGATGAATGGTCTGTTCTGCTGGTCCAACGGGAACCCCCGGAGGACCTGTATTGCCAAATACCAAGGGCCTCCGTTGTTGGACCGGAGAACGGGGATCGGCGGGTAATCCATGCTGCCGAAACTCGAGACGCGACGGCGGTCTTGCAGTGTTGCTATTATTTGGCGGTGGTTGCGACATACCCGTCTTTGTTGTTGCAGCATCACTAGTAATACTCTTGGGGTCACCACCACGCTCTTGCACATCATTATTATTACCCACGACCAGACTGCCATAGGAACTCACCGAGCCGGTCCTCTGCGGTGGATTGGTTGGCTTGAGATTGATATTGGGCAATGACGGCATTTGGTTATTGTTGTTGCTGGCAGCTGCGGCCATTGGCATTTGAATGGCGGCTTTGTTGGCACTGGGTGATTTTGGATGGTGAAATGAAGAAATTGCCGGCGATGCAGGAGGAGGCCGGTCCCGATCGCGATGGTCTCTTCGAATAATAGCGTCCCTGCCGGTGGAATTGAATCGATCCGAAACAATATTAGTATTGTCATAGTTGTTGTTGTTGTTGATATCAAAAGACCCACGACGATCCAGTCCTGCCGTCGAGGAAGAAAACGAGCCCTGCTTCTTGATAATCACACCAGGAGGTGGACCTCCTGAGGAATCAATCACGGTTGGTGGCATGCTATTGTTATTGTCTGCGACAGTTGGTGTTCCAGCACCCAAAGATCGAAAGCGTGGATCCTTGAGACGCGCTCGTGGATCATTGCTCCCGGAACTGTTGGTTCTATGAAAACTGGTAGGAGCTGCGGCTTGGTTGTTGTGGGGTTTATTGTTGTTGTTGCCGTGTTGTTGGTTGTGTGGTTTGTTGAGATTTTGTGGTTGTTGTTGTTGTTTTGGTTCTGGTTGGTTGGAATTGCTGTTGCTGTTAGGACCAGCCGAAATGGGGCCGCCGACTGGATTGCCTGACGCAGGTCCCGTAGTATTGTTGGGTCGATCTCTGTCTCGATCGCCCATACTACTAGCAGGGCCGCCACCAAAGGATGGACCAGAGGACGTTCGCATTCCGATTCCAGCACTGGAGCCTCGACGGTGAGGAGGTCCACCAAAGCCGGGACCTCCTCTTGGTGGACCATTGTTGTGACCATGATGACTCGCTCGTCCTCCCCAACTGGCACGTCTCGGATGGTTATTGTTATTGTTGGGGCCTCCACCAAAGGGACCCGAATTGCTGTTGTTGTTGCTATTGCTCAAGCCTCCGCTTCCACTGGTCGAACGTTCGCCTCTTGGTGGGATCGGAGGAGCAGGTCGTTGATCTACTGGTCCCTTGGGTCCATTCACACCCGATATTGGTCTGTTGCTTGTACTTGTTACTGCTGTAGTATTCTTGCTAGTAGTATTATTGCCAGCCGGAGGCGCTGATGGCGGCGGAGAGGTCACCTCTCCTTCTTCCCCTTCTTCGATTTCACCTTCTTCTTCCGACAACCCTCGATGGCGATGCAGGCTACCGCGGAATCCACCACCAGAACCAGAGCTACCGCCGGATGGATTGGTGCTACTGGACTTGTTGTTGTTGTTGTGCCACGACATGGTGCGTATACTTGAGACAACTAACTTTGTCCACTGCGTTCATTGTGGGTCTCGCTTTTGTTGTCGTTTTGTTTGAGGAGCCACTGTGCGTCGTAACCTTTAACCCTAAACGTGCAAAAAGGCTCGGGGGTTAACGAGCAATTCGCCGAGACCATGCACAGCACTGTTGCTGTTCGTGAAAGCATTTGGCTTGCGAAAAAAGTGATCGCAAACGGCTCTGCGAGCTTGCGGTTCTTCGTGACTCCTGGTGTACCGCCTGTTTCCCTTAACATTAAGAACTGAAAATGCCTCAGGCAAACGACTCTTCTTGACTTTGAAAGAAATAATATAAAAATATGGGTTAAATCTTTAGCTCGAGCTTTAGCCTCAGCGAACAGAGACGCACGGTCCCCAAGACTGACGGTTCGCATCCAATGTCTTACCGGGATCGGGCTTGCGTTTGTGTCGATAGTTTAGATGTTTACATTCGAATGATTCGATTCGATTCATTCAGCCTGTACACGTACCGCCAGAAAGAAGCATTCGAGGCCGAACATTTGCTCTAAACTGGAACCAATCAGAGTAAAGGATGGTAATGACGTGTGTGGTGTCAAGCAACAAATTTATTAAAAACGGACCGGCTTACTTAGGGGTTGAGGCAGGGACCCAAGGTCGGAGGTCTGCCTAAGTAACTGACCGAGGGCTTAAGAGAGGGCGCAAGCCCGACAGCCCGATGGTCAGTTACTTAGGCAGGCCGGAGACCGATGGGGCACAGACGGCCCTAAGTAGCAGGTTCGTTTATAAGGGAACGATAACGGCTGGTTTTGTATTTAACGGTCGGTCTGTGTAGAACTCTGTACAAACCTACTACTGTACCACTTCCCACATACAAAACCTGCCGGTTCGTTCTGGTGGCAAAATCATCATTATTTTTTGGCTAATAGCTACAGACACGAAGAAGATGATGAAAGTGTTGTCCCTTTTTCTGTGTGCGGTTGCGTCGTTGCAGGGGGCATCCTCCTTTGTCCCAAGCTCCCACCATGTGCGATGTCTCCATGGTGGTGGCACTGTAGTATCCGAATTGATGATGAGTAATGCCGCCAGCACGGAAGAGTGGAAAGCGAGATCCGTGAACCAAAGATCACCGGTTCCATCACCGGTAGTGACGCCAGCGGGAGGTTTAGCAGTGCAACAAAAAAATCCGCAATCTCCTAAAAGCGAACGAACGGTGCTAGGATTGCCCGCGGATGAATGGTGGGATCGTCCTTTGGATCGAGAACGTGATCCTCCTCATCCGTTCCAAGAATGGGGTCAATTCTGGAAAGACGGCACACTGCCAAAGCGAGTGAGAGGTGGAAGCTTTGTCTACGACGAATACTACTCGGATTTGTGAAGAATAAGAAACTCGACATGACACTTTCATACAGTATTATAAACGTGAGGGAACGCCAGGACTTGCTATTTTGTTGAGTCAAAAGGAACTGCACGGCAGTCTGTCTGTCAAGCATGCAAAGAATCAATCCACTTTTAAAATTACGTCTTAGCAAAATGAAGTCAACAATTGTGAAAAGCATCCATGTTTTGCCGAGTCAATCAAAACGAACACGTGGACAAGGAGTACGACTCGACTCGTGTGTATCGAAGATCTCCTATCTGCAGGCATCCGTGGATCGTACCATAGAGAAATGACTGTCAACGAACGATACCCGTGAAATCCCTCGCCTCTTGTGCCAGCTTCTGTAGTGAGTCGATTTATGATATTCTGTTGGCTCTACGGGTACTACTATTTTAATTAATAGCTAGTAGTAGACAAGATGGCTTTGGTACTTTTGGATTGCACATGACCAATGCCCGTACTGAATAATCCAACGATAGCTTCCCTACCTACGATACTCGGGGGCTCCGCGTCAAAAACTATGTTGTCTCGCCTTGAGCACAACAGCATCCTGCCATTCTTTGTCGTCATCTGTGCATCCATTTGTGTATCCAACTGTGCATCCATTTGAGCATCCATTTGCATGAGCCCACCGCAGAATATCCAAGTGACCCCAATTAGCAGCAACCCAGCACGTGCCCTCATACCATGGACAACCATTCGCGAGCAACCATTTGAGGAGTTCCAGATGGCCATATTGTATAGCTTTGTAGACAGCTCCCTCCATTGCACAAGCTTGAAAGCGACATCCATTTTCAAAAGCCCATTTCAGAGTTTCAATATGACCGTTTTGGGTTGCTCCATAAAAGACACCGGTTAGTGTTTTGTCATCCAATGGACAACCATTTTCACGAGCCCATTTGATAATTTCCAAGTGTCCACCATCCGCAGCACCTCTGTATGTCAATCTATTCCAGGGACAGCCGTTCTCATGGGCCCATTTCAGAATTTCCAAGTGCCCACCTTCCGCAGCCCCGTGGCACGTCTGTGAATCCCAGGGACAGCCGTTTTCACGGGCCCATTTGAGAATTTTGAAATGGCCATTTCGAGCAGCCTGAGCACATGTCAGTGAATCCCAAGGGCATCCTTTTGCGCGCAACCACAGTAGAATCTCCATCTGACCTCCTCCTGCTGCAGAAGCACAAGCTTTGCTGTTCCAAGAACATCCAAGCTCCCTACACCATTTGATAATATCCAAATGTCCGCCTGCAGCTGCACCATTACAAACGCCCCAAAGGGAACTAAGCGGGTCCAAGTGCCCGTACCACCTTTTGAGCATGTATCCATGTGCATGTGCCCATTTCAGGACTTCAAAGTGACCATTTCTGGCAGCATCAGCAAATTCCCATCCCCGCCAATGTCTGCCCCATGTATTGTTGGCCCAATCGATAACTCGAAAATTCCCAGTTGAGGCAATCATTGTGGCCAGTTGAGTACCCATGGCATTGTGGCCATCACTGTCTTGGTACCAGTATTCAGCACATGACGCACTGTAGAATACAGCGCTGGATAATGTAGAGGTGCTGGTTATTGGCTTCGTCGGAGACAAGTATGAACCGCCCTCGCTGCTACGGAACCAGTATGTTGCCAATGGTGGATTCTTCACAGAATCACAATACTCCAAATAGTATTGTTTCATTTTCTTGTTGACCGGAGCCACAAATCCATAGTGCCCTATTCCCAAGAAGGGAAGGATCTCTTCCACCCAAATGCCTCTTTGCCGTAACAGCTTATCAATGAGTGGAGGCGACATTTCCTCCATTGTCTCGTCAGCTGGTGCCTTGGGTTTCTTTCTGAACCAGGGCAAAATGAACGACATCAGAGCAATGGTAGAAGAGGCAAGAGAAGTCATGATCATACAGCAGACGAGGACAAGGTTGACGGCGCTGGTTGCTGATTGATGGGTTGACTGGTACTAGCTAGATAGAGCTATAGCTAGCTAGAATTAATTACTCGCGTAGATAATTTCCTACCTCTGAACCCCCGTCATTTTCCAAATCTCGAACCCTACCGTGCTGTACAGAGGGGGGCCTAGAAAGAAAACCCCGCACATCTTGCCCCGCGGTACCTTCGTACCGGTACGGTACTACCCGTATCCTTTGGCACCACTTCGAGGGCAAACCACCTTTGGGGGGGCTTGTGTTGTGCGAATCTTTGGTGGGTGGATCTTGGCGAAGTGCAGGAATTTCCCTGTTGTTCTTGGATCTGGTGTCATTCTTGCGGCTGAGCACGGCGTCATCAAGCGGGATCCAAGCAAAACATCTACAGTTGTTTGCGTTCATGGGGAGGAATTCTAAGTGACGGCACAAGGATTGCTGCTGGTTGTCACTACCGGTATAAGATCATTCAAAGATACTTGGCTCCCACAACGCTGCATCGGTAGACAGAAGGGCCCGGATCAGGTGTTCTTGCAGGATTGGTGGATACCCAAAGACGAAATATCAACAGCACCATCATTTATTTCTTCGCAACCATTTTTTGAATATCACATTCTCCAAACCCATCTCTCCAGTTTCTCGAGGCCGAGTCATCAGTCAGTCTACCCGTTCTTCCTCCACCATGTCCTCTCGCTCTTCGACCAAGGCTCTGGAAAGCGTCTTGAATTTCATCAAGGGGGGAAACCTGCAACCCGGTAGTAAACCCGGTTTTGCCCATGGATTGAACCTCTCCTACAACCAAATTGCCAAAGAACGACTCTCCCTATCGGACAACCGAAAAGTTTTGACCTACCGATATTCCCTAAATGACCATCAGGTACCCAAGGCCACTGCTGGGCTCTTCTCAGCCTTGATGGATGAATGTTCTACCAATGCAATATTTGCTTCAGGAATGCCCAGTCCGCCAGGAGTCAGCCTTCAGATGCAAACCGAATTGTTACAGCCACTCGACAATGTGCAAGAGTTTGATATCATCAATATTGTCACCAAGTTGGGTCGGACAATTTCCCACACCCGCACCGACTTTGTGTGCACAAAAACTCAACAAACCTTGGCGTTTTCCTCTCATGTCAAGTACATGCCCATCGGAAACATTGTTATGGATTGGGTCTTTACCAAACCCTGGCTATTCAAATGTTTCGAAACTTGGTTCATCCAGCGAAAGGGAAATCCACAGGTCTACGACGACAAACATTTGTATAATGATGTGATTGCCGGTCACATGGAACCCGTCAATGTTGGAAGAGCTCATTTCCACATTACCCGTGAACACACAAATCCATTTGGTGCCATGCACGGTGGCTGTCATGCCATGGTCATGGAACACGTAGGCACTGCTTTTGCCCAGGCCGAACTGTCGGCTACAACCTCTGCTGTGACTCTGGAGGCGATGCAGATTGATTATTTGGCGGCCGCCAAAGGAAGCGTGGATGTGGTGTGTGAAAGCATTGGTACCATTTTGGATTCTTCGTCTCGACCAACAATTATTCATGTACGAGTCAAGATACAGAAAGGAGACCGGATCTTGTCCGAGGGAAAGCTGAGGTTTGTTGCTTCTAGCTAGTTAGCTAGCTAGCTAGTTAGAAATTTTGTGGTTCTTGAATAATCTTAGTACCGTTGCATTCCTTTCAGCTTACTCAGTAGGGGATTTTCTTGAGTTGATATCTGACAGCACAACCCAGAGCTTCTTTGAGTTTAGCAGGTTTCAAACACTCAGGCACTCTCCGCAACAACGGGTAGCTACCGTACTAGTTGAAAGACATGACGAAGTGGAGGAAGATGATGGACAGCATATACAAGTACGTAAAGCAACAGTCACAGACACAATTTACAGTGCTGCATTCTACAACATCTCCTGTGCAGAATTCTGGCATGCTGACAGCTCAGAGAGGAAAGCACCAGATCATGATGATGTTTGCAATGTCATTGCCAGTGTTGGGTCTATTTCAGTTCTTCAATGGGCTCATGAGCAAGGATTCCCGTGGGATGATATTATATGCATGTTTGCTGCTGAAGGTGGTCATTTGGAAACACTGAAGTGGTTGCACAAGAATGGATGCGAATGGGACGAGTGTACTTGCTTTGGTGCTGCTATTTATGGTCACTTGGAAACTCTCAAGTGGGCACATGAAAATGGATGCCCATCATGGGATGCAGAAACATGCTCGGCAGCTGCTGGAGAGGGCCATTTTGAAGTTCTAAAATGGTTACATGAAAATGGAGCCCCTTGGGATGAGGATACATGTTTTGCTGCTGCTGATCGAGGACAGTTTGAAATTCTCAAATGGGCCCATGAAAATGGATGCCCTTGGGATAGTAGGGTGTGCCTTGAGGCTGCTAGAAAGGGCCATTTTGAAGTTCTAAAATGGTTACATGAAAATGGAGCCCCTTGGGATGAGGAGACATGCACTGCTGCTTGTGGCAATGGCCACTTTGAAATTCTCAAATTGTTGCATGAAAATGGATGTCCTTGGGATGCGTTTTCGTGCTCTGGTGCTGCTTATTGTGGACATTTTGGAATGCTCAAGTGGGCACACCAGAATGGCTGCCCATGGGATGAGCACACATGCAACAATGCTGCTTCTGATGGCAATTTGGAAATGTTGCAATGGGCCCATGAAAATGGATGCCCTTGGGATGAAGACACATGCTGGGCAGCTGCTGGAGAGGGCCATTTAGAAACTTTAAAATGGTTACGCGAGAATGGCTGTCCATGGGATGGAGACACCCTCACTGCTGCCTCCGATGGAGGCCACTTGGAGTGTCTAAAATGGGCACGTGAAAATGGATGTCCAGAATAGGAGAATTCAGACGGTGTAGGAGCTGTGCCCGATCAGTAATTATGGAGAATGTAAGGCCAACGCGGAAGCCAGTGAATAACCGCCGAAGCAACCGAGAATAGAGCTCCGACCACGATGACTTGTGCTCTGCCCAGTGGAACATTCGAACCATGACCAAACAACGCACTCTCGTACGAAGCTGCCCCTCCCGCGGATCAAAGCTTTGGATGGAGGGAACGGCCCTCTCCATGCTTTTTTCAGTCGCTCCCGCGGGTCTTTGGTGGAACGAAAAAGCGACAGGAACGGCAACGTCGCCATGGCTCATCGCACGTGCCTCCCCATGCTACGAAACTTGTCTCATGTTGATTTTAGTGCCAATACAAAACTATTTATTTATTTACTCTGGATATTCTATTAGTAGTAGAAGGAAACGATCCATTGATGATGTATGGTTGATTCTCTTTCGGGTTGACCAAGTCCCTTTCTTTTTTGTTTCTTTTTTGTTGACCCAGTCCCTCTTTTTTTCTTCTCTCTCTATCACAGCAACATACACAATTTTTGTTGCAGGTTTGTTTTTGCATGGATGATTGATTTTCCCGTCCCTTTTTCTTGCTTTCTTTCGTTGCTTTGTTTTAGAACAGGGGTGGAATGGACCAATGTACCATTGTGCTGACGGTGCATTGCGACAATCCATCTAGCGATAGAGCCGATGCATATGCCAAAACCGAGAGTGAATGGTTGTGTCCCACTTCCACCGAAAATGGTACACCCAGAGGAGCCGTTTGATCAAACACCGTGTTGGGCAATCCCACCACGGGCAATCCTTGAAAGTAGGGGTCCACATTGAGTGCCACACTGGCACTGGTCAACTGCCAGGATTGTGTCGTTTTACTAACCACTTGGAGTTCCAAATCGGTTTGGAGGGCGGGATCAATGGCCAATCCGACAAGTTGGACACTTTGATCTTGATCGAGCACTTCCAATGGCGTCGTCATACAGGGGGCATAAAAGAGCATGGTTTGCAGCATATTGTCGTAATCCGTCGTCACATTGGAGGAATAAAAGGTCACATTCTGAATATCACTCCATCCCGGCATTCCCGTGGGAATGTTTTCAAAGTCGGTCCAAAAGTAGCCGCCCACCGTAGTTTCTTGAGTGGTGGTGAGGTTGGGATTTTGCGTATCGGTAATCACCACATAGACAGTCTCGCCTCGATCCATGGGAGGTCCTTCATTGTGGTCTTGACAATCGGCGGCAGAATCGCTGTTGGCGGCAATCGTTCGTGCCACGGCGACCGTGTCGGGAGTGTTCCGGCAGGGTCCACCATGGTAGAAAAACATTTTGGATTCACAAGTCAATGAACGGGAGGCGAAATCGCAATCTCCTTTGCAGACCACGTCGATATTGAGTTCATTGGGACAGTCCCGGCCATTCGATGAGAGTGTTAGCTGGCGACCATTGTTAGTTTCGTCTTGTTCTGGTGGATCGGAGAAGAGAATGCCTCGGACAATGTCAGCGCTGTTCTTGGGGGTATCCTTGATGATATTGACGGTGGCACCTCGAACGCCAGAGGCTTCGCAAACAGAGGATGATAATAATAACGTCAGGGAGCTGAAAAGCAAAAGGGACATCATGGTTGACAGCACTCGGGTCATTTGACTTTTGATTTTTGTTCTTTGAAAGAATGTGTTGTAGTTCTTGTAGCTTGGGATTTTGATTTGTGAGAGTCAAGTGTTAGCTTACGGGTATAGCTGAACCAATGCCAGCAAGAGGTAAAGCTGACGTGCTTGGATTGCTGGTTGCTTTCACAAGTTTGGCGGAGGTCTTGTTGTGATTCACTTGCTACGAGAGATCGTGGGATGTGTTGCTTACTTATAATGAAGAAGCGTGGTGGAGGTTAATCCATCCGTTTCGACAAGACAGGCAGAAAGCATCACCGGCAAATCCCGTTGGCAAGCAAACGGTACAAAAGGCAACAGTAAGCTGCATGCAAGCCGCGGGACATTCGGAGAGGTAAAATAAGTACAGAGCTGCAACAGTCTACAGTCCACAGTGCTCTCACGCAAATAGAACCAATTCCAAGAGAATGCCAACCCAATGAGAGTGCATTAAATCCTGGCGGTACATTCCATCTTCCAGTGACTGTTCGGGTTCATTTCTCTGTGCAAGTGTGAAGCTAAACGAACCTGCTGGTTGGATTATTAGTAACGGCCAGATCAATACCAGAAGCGGTGCAGTCAGCAATGCAAGCCTTGAAGAGGGGATGCTATTTATAATGTATGGTGCTGAATTTCTTCCCCCTCCAATGCTTCACGATGCATCTCTCGTTGTTATCCGGAACCTTCCAGGACTCGAGTCATTCTTCAAGAGCGGAAGCCACTTCAGCAAAACCAGCGCAACAATATCACATGACGAAGATCCATCCAACGACTGCGATAGCTAGCTAGACTGGCTTCCGTGCGGGCAAACAACTAACCGGACCATCAACTACTACTAGTCTAGTATAGGTTTGTACCACTGCAGCTTTGCGTTGGGCTGCTCTTCCGTTACTCGAATGATCGCCAAGTTTTTTGCTGGGGCTGGAGCTGGATGGAACTGCAGTTGAAATGGAACCTCCGCCGATACGGATGACACCGGTACGTAGCCATTGACCTCGCTCGCAGCCAAGGATCATCTATTAATATCTATCTAGCTACCGTACCAGCCAGCCAGTAGCTACCGCCGGTATGCGTAGGAGGGGTTTGTCCACAGTGTTTCGTCATTCGTCACTAATATTATACCATACTTAAATAGGACCAATTGTTTGGTACCGGTGGCGGTATGCGTTCTTCACTGAAGCGCACTGCCATGAAAATCACTGAGAATTTTGACCTAGTAGCTAGCAGATACCGGTACCGCTCCAGTAGCTCCTAACCATGTGGCCATCTCAAACCGGTAGTTCCATTTCGCTATAATTGTTCCCTTCTACTATTCTAAAATAGCTGTCGGTAGTCTACTACTAGACTAGCTAGTTGTACAGAGTATTGGTGCTTTTCTCGTTGTACCGGTGGCACTCCACACGTAGAGCGGTGGCGGTACCGGTACAACCGTACCGGTACACATGTACAGTACACTTCAGCCCTCACGTCAAAGTTCCTTCCGAATGATAATAGCTCTAGCCCTACCGTAGAATCTTCAGATCCAAAATCTTTCAGACCGAACACCAAACACTTTCTTCGTCCTTCGAACTCCTTCGTCCAAAACCCGTCTTGTCGCACAACTCCGCGAAGCCAGCAAGCAACGAAAGATTCTTCAAGCATTGGCCAGACCAAGTCAAGTCAAGCCAAGCCAAGCCAAGGCATCATGGAGGAAGATGTGGAGAAGGAGGAGAGAAGGGCCAGGAGAAGAGAGAAACGACAGAGACGCCAACGCAGATTTGAACGCCGACGCAAACGACAGGAAGCCAACAAAATATTGGAGATTGTCATGAATTCGACGTGTGGATTCATTGAGATATTACGCCGCCAAAAGGCCAATGACAATGACAATGACAATGACAAGCACCGCAAGAGCAGATCCAAGGACAAGCGCAAGCACAAGGATAGACACAAGCACAAGGATAGACACGATGACAAGCCCAGACGCAAGCACAAGGACAGATCCAAACGCAAGCACTCGGGCAAGCACTCGGGCAATGACAAGGACAAGGACAGAGAAAGGAGACGCTCTCGCCGTCGTCGCAAGCGGTTGATCATGTGTGGCAATGTCTCCTCCACAATGTCACTGCTTCAAGATGATGATTGTCCGATGATGCTCATGCCACAAGACGACACATGCCCGGAATGGACTCCCTCGCAGCGCCAGATGATGAGATGGGCAAGCAAACCATCGATGGATGCCCGCCACATGACAACAATACTCATCCAGCTTATTTTTGCCTTGGTATGCACCTTTCTCCGCCGTCTCGCGGCGCCCATCCCAACGACAATGGTCCTCGTAAGTATTTATGCATTTGTTCGCCAACTATCTGGCATGTGTGGTTTGTTTTATGGCTGCTGATCACAAACATCTCTCGCTGATCATTCATTTTCCACTTGTTCATTCATTCATTCATTCATTCATTCATTCATTCATTCATTCAACAGACAAGAGGAAGCCGAGGCCGACAAGCGAAAACAAAGCGAGGCCGGTGCCGACGCCAATATCGACGTTCCCCTGGTGACCAGCGACCAAGGGTCACACGGTGGCCGCCAACTCCGACAATGAGCTGGCGAAGGTACGCGGACACCTCGACTGACTGACTGACTGTATTGATTCATTCTCGATCGATCTGATCTTGTTCAACTCACGTTGCCTGGTTGCGCTCTCTTGCTTGTTTTGGTCGTGTCTCGTCTCGAAGAAAAAGGCGACGGAGGAGATAACGTACGTTGATTTGCAGTCTGTCCCACCGCTGTTTTATTTGCTGTTGTCCTTCTTTTTGCTCACTTGCCTTTGTCTGGTTCATCAGATTTAGTGTGACGCAACCAAATGTAAGTCCTCATGACAGATCTACTCAAAGAAGATGACTGCTTCCCTCTCACCGTCATGGATTTGATCTCTTTCCTCGTTTTATATCCACAGTGGAGATGACCGTGAGAAGCTGGATGAAGTCTTGGCATTCTTGACGTGGTGTGGGTGTGACTACTGTTCGCTACTGGCGCTCCTAGACGATCTGTACACGTGTGTTGAGGCCAAACAAGATGAGCGCCAAAAGTGAGCAACCGTGAACGCAACAAGCTTGCCCCGTTCGTTGAGATGGCATCGCCGACGGTTCCTCCGAACCAGATGGGGATGACACCGTCGTAGCAAACATCGACGATATGGATCCAGCTGTTGCCATCGCCAATGACGCCTTCATTGGCCAAGTCGCCGTTCCGTTGATCTCAGAGTAGTAAGTCTTCCCACTGTCCCATAACAGATCTATTGGAAGGAGTCCGCTTCTCTCTCATCGTCATTGTCCATTCATTTTCTGCTTCTACTTTGTTAGCATTTCGAAAATGTCCAAGCTTGAACAAGCCGCATCCTCGACGACTACCGTGAAGCCTTCCACTTCTCAGAATTGTGCGAGTGTGTTGAGGCCAAGCAAGAAGAGCGTCTCGATCAACGTCGACGATGAACCCATCATCAAACACTCTGTCGAAGAATCTACGGCCAAACGGTGAGAACACATTGTGTTGCGCTATTGATTCCATTCTTCTCTTCTCTCTTCCCGCACTTACTCACACTATAACATTGCATGCTTGCACATGTTTTCATCCGATGAAGGCGAGATGATGATGGCTCCAACGACGCTGCGTCCCTCCTCAAAAGTGGCGACCGTCTCAGGGGTGATTGTTGTCGCGAGACGGAGGCGACCGTCTGTTTGTAAGTCCATCGCCCTGGATTGTCTTCTAGCAGATTTTTAAAAAGCTTTTCTCACACTCTTCGTTTCATATGTTGATTGATCGTCGTCGCTTGTTTTTGCTCTTCGTTTTCTGCTTGGTTGGTAGTCGAGACGAGTCGAGACATCTTCCAAGGATTTTGACGACTTCGGCGTCGGATGTGCATTCACCAGCAGCAACAGTTGGCAATGAAATGGCAACGAAGTGGGACGATCGCATGGCATGAAAGTCATATTCTTCTACCGAGGCAACGGGCAGCGCTCTCCTTTTCGACGAGTTGATCCTTGTTGTTGAAGTGCCCGTACATGTGTCCGATGATGACATTGATGAGATTGATGAGATGTGGTAAGGTCCTTCTCGAAGTAAACAAGGCGATACAATGCAGCTGTGTTCTCTCACGCCCTCCCACCTTCTATCTTTTAGCGGCTCCTGTAGGAAGTATGATGATCTTGTTCTCGCTGTGCGAGCTTCTCTGGAGGAACAGAGCAATGACGATGGACCAAGCGCGGAACCGTCCGATGGTCGTGTGTTCCTCATGCAACTTTCATTCGGTGGCCAAAGGGAGCTTCGCTGCAGGTATAGAGGAATGGATGAGACAGAATCATTCAGCGCCCGATTGCATTCTACCCGTACACGACAACATGCGTCAACGAGGATGTGGCCTCTTCTCCAAAGGCAGACCCCCAACATTGAACGACAGCGCTCTTTTAGGGAGCTATTAGAGGAAATGATGGGAACCCGATTGCATTCTACCCGTACACGACAACATATGTGACCTCTTCTGCGGCTCGCCGAAGGCAGACCCCCAACATTAAACGACAGCGCTCTTGTTCGGGAGCAGCCATGATGCCAGCTGGAATACATGATTTTACGTAACACTAAGATGTAGGACAGACAACACACGGCGTTCTCTACTTAATTAAAAGAAGAAAGCTCATTACTTGCTCCTACTTCGATAATTTGTTGTTGCAATTACTGTCATAGCATCCTACGCATCGTCTTCCCTGGGGCCTTTACAAACAACAGTGCTGTCGCATTGAAAGCTGTTGTCAGCTTCTGAAGTATCCAGGAAGGGGGCGGAGGGTTCGTACCCAAAAGTTTCTAGGGATTTGGTACCCAGTTTATGGAGTTGCTGGGAAAGCGCTGGCTTGTCTTCAAGAAACGACACCCACTTGCCATAGCGCTCTTTGACATTACCGCGTTTCTTATTTTTCTTGTATTGATGTGGATGAAAGTGGCGATGAGTGCGACCAGAGTCTGTTTCCAGTTTAGGCATATGCTTGAACTGCTCCAACATGTCTTCATCAAATACATTGGGTGGCTTGGTGCTTGACATTCCCAGAGCCTTTCCAAGAGACCCGAGGCTCCATGAAGAAGGATCCTCTTTGACATTACTGCCCTCCATGCGACCGTGCTCGCTGTCTGATTCTGACCGCATCTCCTTCAGGAGTTTCCCGTGGCCGTGTGGCTTGAGTTGTCTGTGCCTCCTTTCGTTTCCATCTTCTGCATCCTCAGGTTGCCTGTTCTGCAGGAGTTTCCCGTGACCGTGTGGCTTGAAATGTCCGTGCTCCCTTTCATTGCCATCTTCTCCGCCCTCTGTTGGCATCTCCTTAAGGAGTTTCCCATTGCCGTGTGGCTTGAATTGTCTGTGCTTCTTTTCGTTTCCATCTTCTGCATCCTCTTTTGGTGTTTTTCTTTTGCCTCCGTATGGCGCGTGTCGAGCTTGTAGATTACCAAAAGATGACAGGAGGCGCCTACGCTGCTCATCTCCGCGACCGTTAGGGTAGGGACGGTGCATATCTTGAGTAGGGTCATGTTGCTGTTGACGTGCTCTGTGATTAGCGGCGATTCGGTCGGCAAAGGATTGGGCAGGTTCACCGTTCTGATTGGGTTTCAGATGCTTTTGGGGCGAGCTGCCGAGCCCTTTTTGTGGATTGACTGGCCCGTATTGCCGTTTTTTCAATGCTCCTACGCGCTGGGCTATTCCCCGAAACCTATTGTGACGCTCCTGGATGAAGTGAGCTCTGCGTTCACGGGCTTCCTCTAACATGGATCCTGCTTCCATCTTTCCGTGGTGCCAGTTGAGATGCCGACCCTCTTCAACGTCGAATTTACTGTCGCTTTCAGCTGGACCCTTGATAAAGCTGAGAATCGGGTCTGCTCCCATGCCATGCTTGTGCTGGCCGTAGCCCTCTGAATCCTCGCGATGCCGTAGTATAGCACCATGTGTTTGATCTCCATTGTTGAGTTTCTTCCCCTGCACGTAGTTGCGATAGTCCGAGTGATGGACGTTCTCCATTTCCTTGAAGAGATGGTCATAGATGTGATGCTTGTCGTCCAATGGATGATACTTCTTACCACGCTTTCCACCCCCAATATTCGACGTTGATTGTCCCATGTCGACCACCGCTTGTTGACTCTGGCAGCACAGCTCCTCTAGCGAGTTCCGTGATCCCACAAAATGAGCTAGCTGCTGCAAACTCGAAAACTTGGTTTCGGGATTCAAGAGGTCCTCCGTTCGCATTACCAAAAAGTCAAAGTCCTTCCCTACATTGTCCTTTTCATATGCCAAGACCTGTGAATTCCAATCATTCCATAGTTGCATGGCATAGACATTCATGTTCGTGTCGTTTTGGGCGAGGGACACATTGACGAGGGGGTCTCCTGGTTGTTTGTAGTAGGAGTTGTAAAACTTCTTAACAGGGCTTTGGTTGGCACTCAGAGCCACATCTCTTCCATCCCGTACGACATGAAGGAACTTGATTGGTCCGAAGACTTCTCTGAGGAATGGCAGCAACAGCATTGTCACTGGTGCCTTGAATCCATACTGCACATGCCTGCTCTTGCTCACGGAAGCTGAGACTTCCAAGGGAGGAGGTTTCATGTCAATTGCTGCGTTTTCAATATCCTTTTCATCTGCTTCCATCAGGAATCGATTCTTGCCTTGCTCGTGAAAAGCAGAGTGTGGCTTGAACATGTGTCTTCGCAGGTTTTTGTTGTCGTAATGGTTGACCTTGTGATGGGTGTTCAATCTTCGTAATTCCTTGCTATCATGTCGCTTTCCGCGATGGATCAAGTCGGCCTTGAGCTTCTTTAGGTCGCGTACTATCACGTCTCGCACATCTTGTGGAAGATCTGCCACCTTATAGTTGGCCGAATGAGTATGATTCAGTACCAGTTGGACCTGAGAATAAGAACATTTCCATGGCAAGGTGTGAGGACGCAAACTCGTTCTGTACGAAATGCACCTGAGTCTCAAGCAACCATCCAAGAATTTGACATACCAGTGGCGGCCATCCCTCTCCTCGAAACAGTGGTTTCCCATGAATATCCATGGTCCCTCTATCATCCACAATCATGGGAACTCCCAGTTTCCCCAGGGCAGTGACAAAGGCCCTAGTGCCACTACCATCACTTCCTCCAACCTGTGAGTGCACGTACAGGGAGGTGAAACGGTGTCAGTTTGTAGCTTTAGCAAATTGTGGCCAACAATCCAAAATGGCACCAGTATCACGTACCACCAGAAACTCAAAGGGTTCATCCTCTCCTCGATCTTTCTGATACTCCGTTTGCCGCGAATAATAGTTGTCGATTGGAGGAGGTGCCGACGCAGATTCTCCCGAGGAATCTTCCTCCTCTTCTTCCTCGCCATCCAACTGATCTGCTTCAGCTTGGTTTAGTATTTGCTCTGTCTGATTGGCAATGTGATCCTCTAGCTCATGCAAGTCGTCATCTCCTTCCACCTCTGGCTGGCTTTTTGCCGTAGTCTTTGGGTTCTTGGATGATTGGTCTTCTTCTTCGTCATCATCCATTACAATGCCTGTGGGAACTGCATCATCGTGAAGGTGATGTCGAAAGTGTTCGACGTAGTAGTCATGAATTAACCGGATCGTGTCTGCTCGAGAACCACCAATGACTTGTTCAAAGTTATCTCCCACAAACACAGCCACCAAGAGCAAAATAAAGATTTGAAGAGTGATCAAGCCGACAAAAGCTCTGAAACAGGGATGTTGCCGGAGGGATAGTTGGGATGCCAACTTGGCTCGTTTCACCTTTTTCCGCCGTAATTGCTTCTTGCTTTTGGCGTCTGTTCTTCTTGACACCAAAGGTAGAGACGACGAGGCAGCTTCCTTCATGGTGGAACCTTCAACATGGAGTGCCAACACAACCACAATCAAATAACTTCAGCGGCATGTCCTCCTTCTTTCCCCTTGGAGAGTCTTGTGAGGTGCTCGAGAGCACCCAAAAAAGTGAGGTTTCCGTTGTGACGAAAGAAGATTTAGAAGCGACTTCAGTTCATTAATTCTTCTTGTACTTTTTCTTTGAGAGAGTTTTAAGAGTGTGCTTTTTCCGTTTGGTTGGAGATTTGATTCGATTCGTTCGATTGATCATTCTTCAAATGTTTTGTGAGAATGGGTTGCCCCTTGGGATTCATGGGATGCCCTGGAGCTTGCTGGCATGTTCTGACGTTTCAGGGTCTTGGAGTGGGCCCATGATGAGCATGGTTACCGGTGGGGCGCAAGAACTTGTGCCTTTGCCAAGAAAGAAGGACATTTGGAGATTCTGAAATGGGCCAGACAGAATCAATGCCCGGTGCGATGGCAGACTGTCACACAGAGACTCCAATTTGGGCAATGGATTTCCTCTACGGTACTGTGAAACCATTCACCTTCCTGTCTTTGGCTGCCGATTTGTTGAAAGCTGATCTGAAGGTGCAGCGACGCCGTCTGCTGTCACACTACACGTAGCCTTAGCGCCAACTTTTCTATTGACAGTCCAATGCACGATATGCTACTAAGTGATCAATGTTCTTCTCTTTGCGAAAGCACCACTAGTATTACCGTTCGCGGCATACTTGACCGGGCCCTTGGCTGGGCGGGTGTTTGACATCTGGGTTCGTTTTGTTGCCCCACAGTTGGAACTTTGAATCTTACAAGAACATTGCAGAAATCCAAATCAAATCCACTCTGGGGAGATATCTGCTTCCTGGGCAGCAAAGGACTCTAGTCGTGTGCGTAGCAACTGGAAACTGAAATCATTCTATGCAGCAGCCGGCATTACTCGTGCTTCCCAAATAGGTGACGATGGAACGGAACAACCTCTGAGCTCTGAGCAGGACGGCCACCCTTGCAAAGCCACAACGCAACGGGAATCCACTTCCGAGATGTTCCTGGCATTGACACGTACTCATCGGACCACTCCAAGGAATTAGAGGAAGCTGAGACCAAGTAGCAAAAGACTGATGTATCCAAGCTCCCATCTGAAAGCCAGACGTCCGTCCTGTACCGCAAGCCTCTCCCGCCCCAGAAAGCTGAGTTCTCCTTCCTCATTCTCATCGTGCTGTGGCAGTGAAGGGTTGGACGGATGGGCACAGGTCTGCTTGAGTTGTCATGTTTTTCTTTCCGGCGGTCTGTAGCTACCTGGTATTGCTATCATAGCAGCCTTCCATCTGGAGGTCACTTCTCGTCGCGGCCAGTTGTGTCCTTCTAGATCCTGATTCAGTTTCACGCAAAGATGAGTTTCTCAGCCATCCACAAATGGCCTTGGAGGTCAGAACTTTGCAGGTATTGCATTCGACAATTTGAGATTTCCATCTATTGCCCATCGCCACGGCTTCACCCTCAACCAGGAAGATGGCAGATCGTACGTGGTACAGAACTCTCCGCTGCATGAAGTGCTGCTGCATCTTGAATGCAGTCCCCGGTCAAAGGTGGCCCTGCATCCTTCAAGTGCGATACCTATAGCCAAGAAGCCGGTGCTTTTGCAAAGGCTACCTTACCTCTTGTATTGCCCACTCCCATCTTCGGTACCTGGTTGGCTTCTCGGAAACTGACAAGTATATTCGTGACGCCACCCAGATCTTAAACCCTTCACACTTAAAAAGTTGCATCCACTCAATTTTGCTCATCCAGTATTGGTCAGGCAACAGCTGGAGCATCCACCCGCAATCTAAAAGAAATCAGGCAAGGCATTGACCGATCAGACCTGAAAGGCTTTGGCCAAATGAAGCTCTTAGACTTGGACACTGCCCCTGTTCCGTAGCCTCTTCGTTGATGCCGACAAATGGCAGATGGTTTGTCTCGGGAACGCCATAGTACCGGTAGAGAGAGGGCAAGCGGACACATGTCGTGTGATGCAAGGTCGAACCGGGCAAATACAAGAAACCTGATTTGGACGCTCTCCGGCGGCCCATCCATGGACTGAAGCAGAGAACAAGCACCCAATGCCGACGTGTGCCGAGCGCCGAGCTACCAGCACTTGCAAGTCGTAGTATCAAAAGCAAACCTGACGATTCGATGGGGGAGTAACTGTTCAATCCAGGATGAGACATGCAGTGGAGATGGGTACAGTCGATGATCCAAGGAGTTTTCACCGGCTCCTCCAAGGTTGAAATTCATCCCATCCTCCAGGTCTGTCTAGGCTCTTGCAAAGTTCTGTTGTGGGACAAAGATACCGGTACAGTCGTACGGCACTTCACCATGGACTGCTTCCAATGACCAGCCAACCTCAATCCGACAAAAAGGCAACAGCAAGTGCTTTGGAGCCGTCTGACGCATTACTTACATCGTACACGTACTTGCTGGCTACTCCAACGAAAACTCTGGGTCAAGTCATGCTCCCGTGTGAAAAAGTGAGCCTGTCATCGCGCACTTGGCGGGAGAATGAAACATGCATGCTCTTGGCAGAATCAAAGCATCTGATTGGCCCAGTTGAAATTCAAGCAAAAAACACGTGCCGATCATGGCACTCATCCCAGTTTCCTCACACGAAAACTGGATTTGAGACTTTTCTTTCATGTGGACAAGCGGTTGTCGCTGCCCCGTCGCAATGATCTACATGTTTAAGAGTGGGTTCCAACGGTTTGCCCCCCAATGCATCGATAATCAATTGACCTATGTTCGCTTTTTGGAACGATTGCTACCGCAGAGCCACAGCCAAGTCATTGCATTAATCTTGCATCTACTCGATACAATTGTACCGTTCCGCTTGGAAGCATTTTGAAGAAACCAGCAAACTCCAACTCTTGCAAGGCCGAACAAATTTGGCTGACATTTAGATAGCAAGTACAATGACTGCGTCGGCTTCAATCTTCATTGGAGCCCTGCTCATTGCTCTCCCATTTGCTACTGGTTCGGCCGCCAATGCCCATAACATCCGAGGCTCAGATGGCATCTCGCCTGGTTTTCCGTTTCCAGCGAGCGAATCCGGCACTCATGGCCTTTTGAATCCAAAGGAGATCTTTCAAGAGGGAATGGAAGACGGACGATGCAAATCCCTTGGCTTCCTCTACCACGGTGGTAAATGCGCATCTGTGAGTGACGACGTATGTCAAGATTTCCAACATGATGTTGATGTTGTAACAACCAGCACAAAAGTCTTACTGGTAGTGGCAAACAGTGATGATCCTTCCTTGGTATACTATGAGAAGCTTCATCAACCTGGTAGTCTCTTTCAGATCACAGCCATTGACGGCAATGCTGATCTACCGGGCACCTTCATCGTCTCAGTCTTCGAGAGTAGCCACGATCCTCGCGTAGGTGTTGCTGTTTCCCGTGGACGGATGGTTCAAACCATGGTTCTCAATGCGGATTGCAGGAGCGACCTAACCGAAACTCCTACGAGGCCTGTCCAACTGGTGTTTACAGCAAGAAGCCCACTCAAGAAGAATGCAGCTTCTTAGTAAGGTGGGATGATATTGGGTCTGTGAGGCTGAACGTTGGAAAATAAGAGTTCACGTGATGGGGTTGTTTCAGTTGTTTTATGTCACTGCTTCAACGATGGAGGCCAGAAGAACATACTGATTGATACAGGCAGCAATGAGAGCATTGATTGAAGAAGCTTAAAATTATGTCATAATCATTGCAAGAGAAAACAGGAAACCTTGACTTACTATTACTGTACGTATAGCTGGACATTAGAAAACTGGGCTTTCACTCGCGCCTACCGTATCCCTTAGAGAGCTAGAACGTTTCCATCGTGATTGCGCTTCCCCCAATAACAGACACAACCTGCTCGAATGCCTTGTCCATTTCGTCTAGTCCTCCCCTCGCATCCACATACAAGGATTTGTCTGTCGCACTTGTAACCAGTTCGCAGGTTCTGGAGTGAGCGAAGCATGGCGTGAGGTTTGCGATGAAGTGTGCAAAATAAGAACTGAAGCGAAAGCTCGACTTCCTTACCTAACCACAGAATCCGGCACTTCAAAACCAATAATGATGACATGGATTTTGGAACTGCGTTGCTTGTTGCATTTCTTGATTCGCTCCACTACTCGCTTTGCCGGGTGATCCCACGAGGATTCTCCGTCTGTCAATGCAACGATCCAGGTATCATTCTTGATCTCTGTACCATTTACTATAAGCGTGATGCACCTATTCAAGGCGGCATACTAAAAAATTGCAGCAGCTCCATGGTCAGAATGACGCCATGATCCAGCACACACGAAGCTTTCAGCACATACCAGACGGCTTCCCCCTTCCGCATCCGTAGCCAGAGAAAGAACTGCTTCTTGAACCTCCCCCCAGTTACCCTTCTTCCCGAGCGGAAACCACAGCTTGTCGTCAATGTCATGGTTGAAGCGAATAAATCCAACCATATCTTTGTCGGAGCAATGTTCGTGGTACACCCACAAAAGGTTCTTGTTTGCCCTTTCCATTCGCTCACCCGCCATGCTCCCACTATAGTCCAGACAGAAGAAAACATTCTTGGCCTCACGAAGGACATTTACCTGTGCTTTGCGAGTCTCTCTGTTGAGGTACTGTGTTGCGTTGATAGTGGGAATCTTAATTCCTTCAATCTTGAAGTATTGACTAACGAACTGCGATGCGTTGACACAGCAAGTGTCAATGACGAATTCATCTTCGACAAGCATCCTCATGGCTATCTTTGCAGCTGTGTAGTGATCCCCTTGATAGAACGCCCGTTGCATGCGAAGGTCGTCGATCTGTTGGGTTCTACCAACACGGTTCATGCTCTTGAACAAGTTGGATTTGAAACTGGCTTCGTCCAGGAGGGTTTGAGCTTGTTGAATCAGTTTGTCAACGCCCCAAGGGTCCTGAAATTCATAGTTGCGCATTAAAGAGAGCAGACCTCGAGAACGGCGCAAGATTCGCTCAAATTCATCCACTTCCTGTTCCTCAAAGATCTCGTACTGGTGAAGAAACTGAAGAACCTCTAAATCAAGGTCTTTGGCACGAAGAATGTCACTTACACCGTCTTCTTGGATCCAGCTGGGACAAAGCGGATGATGACGGACAACCTAAAAGGTTATTGTTAGAAACAATGTTGGCAAAACCGAGCAAGAAAACCGACAATTCGGGTCGAGCCGGAAATGGTTACTTACCACCAGAAACATCCCTCGGTTGAAGTACCTATTCGCAAGCTGTGTACAAAACAAAACAAAACAAAACAAAACGGGCGAGATGAGCGGAGACGAGTCCAATGCAACAATGGGCCAAGGAACGAACCTGTTTCGCGTAGGAACCTTGGTCATCAGTGTCTTTGCTGATCTCGTATTCAAAGGAACCGTGACGAATCGCCTCGTCAAAGTAGCTTATGCCCACAGCGTAGATTTCAGAAATGCAAATTCCAAACATACTACAGTGGACGAGAGAACACAGTCCATTATTAGATACAGCTATACGCAAAACAAAGGAACATGGAATATGCCAAGGTGGGCTCACCTATTGTCGAACAATCTATCAGTGCCGTGACTCTCCATTTGTTCCTGCAGCACCATCGTCCCCAGCTATTGAATCAAGAAGATGAGCTTTTCTTAAGTTCGTATCGTGACGCAGAGAAACAAAGACAATTCTCACATTATTGTTTGCCACACCAATCGCCTTTTGATTGCCAAGCTGTCACGAATTCGGTTAGATTATATGGCCACCAAGGTAATGGGCGGACCGCTTTGTCGAACGAATCATACCTTCATGAACAGAGCGAGGGCATCTTCCATAGCGTGGCATGATTGTGTGCGATCGCCAGCAAAAAAGGCTGGGCATAGAAGGAATGTGGGTGAGCACAAGGCACAAATGACAGAGGAGGTGTAAGACTCTTTTACTGTACCTGTGTTGGCAAAGCGAACCACTTTCATCAATTGCTGAAATGACTCATGGACGAAGGAAACCTCCTTGCTCCCTCCTTCGACATCTGGTATGTCATCACGAAGGCTCTTGTCTTTGATACTCTTGCAGATCTTTGTAAGCGCAATGATCGGTCTCACAACATTTAATGAGATGTAGTAAGTGAGTATGGTAAAGCTGACTGCAATGACAACCATGGCAGCAATTGAGAAGCCTCTTGCAAGCTTCAATTGAGCGTCAACCCTTCCCTCGACGGCAACGAATCTTAAATAGAGGTCAGATACATCAACGGCAATTCCGAGAGAATAGACGAGCCTGGCAGTAACGTTGACAGGTGCCGCAAAGTCGCGGTGGTCAAGGGGTCTCATCAACCTAACGTATACCGGGGCGTACGCTAGGAAAACGATATGCTCTTCTCCATCATACATTCGAACAAATGACGCGGTTCCAGTCTGGCCTTCCTCCATTTTCTGTACTGTCTCGGCAAATTTTCGACGATTCTCGGTCCCCTTCCCGTCTTCTGGCATGGTCACATTGAGGATGTGTCTAGAACCCTGGCTCAAATTGCTTGCAAATAACAAAGGAAAGCAGCAGTTTAGTATACACATTACATTCAGAAAGCGTACAATACACATCCAATAAACATATCAATACACGTTCAGTAAGCTTACTCACTAGTTTGGTCCGAAGATCGTGTTGCCCCCGGAGACGTCTTCCTCTGCAGGAGAAAGTGACGTGTGAGCGAGATGCTGCCAACCAGACGACGGAAGCAATGCCATCACGTACCAGGTGTTATTACGAAAGGAAACCCCGAGTCCCCCTCACCCACAATTGTGTTGTCCGGTCCAAGGGCACTGGTGAATGCTTCTGGCAGAAAGTCAACGTCCGCCACGGCGATCAATTCTTCAGTATCGGGATGTTTGATCGAAACGGCGGCGCTTGTCCCACTGGATGGCAAGAGAGTAAAATATTTAGCCGTTCATTTCATGTTTACAAAGTCTCAGCTTGATCCCACTTACACCTTGCCAGAGCCTGCAAACACATAGGGCGGGGTGATGTAGAGACCTGTCTCATTTGGCCTGACAAACCAATCTCTACAGCGGCAATCATAACCATACGATCCTTCCGGGCACAACCCCGGTGCGATTTTAAAAGCGTTGTTGTTCACACTTGATAGAAAGAATGCGTTCTCCGCAGTTGAGCCGTCACATCCGGCGTATCCAAGCAGCTATGAAAAAGTAGCGACGGATGCATTGTAAGGAAAAAGAGGGGAGGCAATCCATCAGAAAGATTCGTTTTGATTTGATTCATCTTACCATGCCGTCAGCCTGCAAACCAACCCAAGAACCCAAGTTCACAGTCTCTCCCTTACCAGGGTTGTAGTTATACAATGGCATCGATATTGCTGCCAAAGCAGACAAAACTCGAACGCGATCGTAAGTAGTCTCGTAACCTGAAGCTGAAGCTCCCTTATACGACCCCACCATTTCGCTCTGATGATGCAACAGGGGAAAGTGTGTGAGAGTTGCGGTGGAGGTGTGGAGGAGTCTCTAGCAACGTCATGGACCTACAGGGGCATCCCACCATGCAGTAAGGTTTGGATATCGAATGATAGAGCGGTTCAAATCTGGATACCGATTGCCGGTGGTTGGCTCGATGTCTGTCTTCTGCCCTCCTACCACATAGGACTGTTGGTATCTTGGGTCAACCCCTTCCACTTCCAGGATATCTGTGCACTGACCCTCGCTTGCATAGTTGTCATTCCAGCCACTGCAAGTAGCAGAAAAGCGTGAGTTTGTGAGCTTTACGTGTGCAGAAAGTGCACAAAGTCTTCCCCTTCCTGCGCTTACCAGTCGCAAGGAATTTCAGTCTCCCTCCAGGGGCATATTGGGCTGTCGTTGGGATCATAATGCTTGCATTCCTCTGATCCCGCCCGCATCAAAGTCAAGGTTGCTGACCTATTCAAAGCCCCGAACAAAAGCCACCCCGCAGTTCGCGAAACTAGATGCAAGTCACGCATGAAACGAGCCATCACTTCTTCACCAAACACCGCTCTGGAAAGGGTAGCTGTTACGATAGCATCTTGCTCCAGCTTAAAGGAGGAATACTTCACGTCGCGCATCCAAATTTCCAAGTTGTCTCTGATCCAGACTTCATTCAACGAGACCACAACACCTTTGAGAAGAGCAGAGACTACGTTGAGGCACCAATCAAGCATGCAGTCAAAACTCCGAGAGATCCACACAGTATGCCAACTTACTGGCTGTCAGTAGCATGGGGACTCCAATGACACAGGTCACCCACCAAAACACACGTGACGAACTCGATACTTCCACAAAACGCCTCGCATCATCGTTCCCTGATGTCGAGGACCTCATATTGGGCCCATAGTTCACCTTCGGTGGCGAGACAACGTAGTCCGGCATATCATCGTCTTCGTCATCCTTCAAGAGCATGCGTTGAGCCCACCCAGGAAGCTTCTCAACGCCAGCGGTGTAGCTAGCTGTGGCAACGTTGGACATTGTCTCTGACAATGAATTGGAGAATCGCGTATAGGGTTTGGTAATTGCTTGCACAATGGTGTACTCGGTCAAACCAGACAAAAAGGTAGCGTCTGTTCGCACTGATGCTGTGTCAATTATAGTTCCCTCTCGACCGCGATCATCAACGTCGTCGTCGCTCTCGACCGTCATTCCACCAGTACGAAAGTTGAATGGATACAACACTTGATAGGTTTCTCGCCATTGGAATTTGTTTTCGACTTCGGAACACTTGGAATCGGCAATCTCGGCCGCGCCCTTGCCACTGAATCCATCCATCATCATTTCAAACTCTGACAGCTACAGGACATGCACGTGAGCGGCATTCAGAAGGGCGAAACAAGTACCGTAACTTCCTTTTTGCTTACGTACCAGCACTGTCACCTCGGTCCGAGGACTACACCGCGCCATTCCAGCGGCTGTACTTCTCGTCCCCGCCGCCAGATCGTCTCCCCCAGCATTGTTGATGACTTGAGCTGTGGTTTCTTGCATCCACATCAACGGCTTGGTCAAGGTGGAACTGATCCACGTTAAAAATAGAAAGATGATGATCAGACCCGAGAGACCGACCAAGGAGACTTGCCAAATGGCTCCCGTAATGTCGTTCCGAATCACTGCGTTCATGTCGTTGCTTTCCCCGTAGATTTCTTCCTCGGTGATACTCATGACTACCATAAAGTTGGGTGAGTAGTTGGGATCGTATTCCGAAGGAACATATGGCACTGGATACATCATGATGAGTCTTCCATTCTTGGTGTAGAGCGTTTCTTTGTACAGACTCTTGACTTGTTTGGGGTCCCATACTTGCTCATAATCGACCAAGTTTTGCATCTCCTCAAACAGTGCATCATCAATCCCAAAATACTGTGGGAAATTCGTAATATGATAGGCCTCACTTCGCTCCTTGTCGTACTGACACTGTCCTCCACACGAAATCACAGTCCCCGCTTCACCTTCCGTAATGTCTTGATCTTCGTCCCAGCGAATCAGAGCGACGGACGATGTGTTTCCCAATTGAAAGAGATCCAATGTTTCTTGCAAATCATCGACCGAGACATCCACCAATGTACATCCAATGAATTCCTTGGACATTAAATCGTATACGGCATGCCCAAAAGTCATGATCCACAATTGTCCCTGTCCCGATGCGGCATCCAAATACGGTCCTGTCGAGACGGCGTGGCCCGGTGTGGCTTTGGCTTGACGAATGCACCAGGGTCGTTCGAGGGCGTTGTACTCCCGAGACGGAAATCTGTTGACGGTGGTATTAGTATTGTTGCCTGTTGTCTCATTCTTATTAACAACCACAACGTCATGGCAACGCGCTTGTTCAGATGCCGCCAGGAGCAATCGACCTGTCAATGGATTGGTGAGATTTGTAGCCCAACCGCATCCGACACTCGAAAAATTGGAGCGAGAGTCTCGCATGGATGCTGGAAACTTGACATAACTACCAGCACCGGCATTGGCAAAGTAGACCCCAATCTGTTTGGCTTTGGGGACGGCTTCAAAAAGTGCCTTGAGGACAAAGACAATATCTTTTGCTTTTTGGTGCAGAAAGTAATTGGCTCGAGTGGGAGCCACCACTCCACCGGTTTGTAAGTTGTTGTTATCGTCTGTACAAGAGGGGTAGTACCCAGGATCACCAGGAGATGCCATGGGATCACAATCACCTTGCATAAAGTAGACTCCATAAGCTGTGGAGACTTGGAGTTCTGGATTGTACCACCGCTCTCGTCCTTGCAAGTGGCGTGCTGCTTCTTGTGGAGTTTCAAAATTGGATCTGGACTGCCAATCCAATTGGAGTAAATCAGGTGTGTCCAATGGATAGGCTCTTTGCCCCGTTTCCCAATCTTCAAAGGGCACATGACTGTCGCTTCGATTGTGCGTGATAAAATCGGGTCGCTTGTATCCGACGACCCGATCTCGTGTCGCTTCCCTCAGTATATCGGATGCGGTTTCAAAGTTTTGAAACTTTTTGGTTATTGTCTCGGCTACATATCTCGCCGAAGTGGAGAGTGTGTAGCGGGCCAAATCCTCTTGTACCAAGCGTGCTTCTCCCATGACGGACTGTCCCGACCAAATCGCCGTCAAAATTCCAATCAAAATGAAAAAGGAAATGGCCAAAAAGGCAGTCGTTCCAAACGATAGGAAGAGCTGACGACGAAGGTAGTACTGGGGCTTCAAGACGGTTCGTTGGAGGGTGCGGGATACCCATCGGCTCAAAGGACCGTCTTGGTGACTCATCATCAAGAATTGAAAATCGGGAATTTGAGGAATGGACGTCGATCCAACCAGTGATTGGGACATGGATGTCGAGCCAATATGTTGTGATTCGGACATCATCTTGACCGTGTCATCTTCGTCATTTTCATCTCGAGGGGCCGCTTCCGGAAGGTCAAAATGGACCGGCATGGTCGAAGGATTGAATCAATCTTTCTCACTACTATAATTGATCTCACCTGACTTTTTTGGTGCTTTCTCGATCTAGCAACACAGCTTCCTCCACTACAGGATCCTGCTACACCAACCAACTAGCTGGCTGCTACTGTACCACTACTACTAGACTAATAGCTCGTAGAAAGGTCCAATCATCCACCCAGAGCTTTCAAGAGAAGACGACCTGGTTCTGCTTTCTTCATGGTGGCTCATTGGACTTGAATCGAATCGAATCTTGTTGTTGGCCGGACCGGTGACAGTGAAATAATGGATCGAAATTGGGGATATTTTAGGGATAAAAAGCAGACGCGCATACCGGTACACGTGTAGGTGCTCACAGGAAGACACTTCTGGGCTACAGGTAGTTGGGGTAAAACATATTTTTGATTCAAATTTGCAGAGTAAAGTATATCTTTAACCCTATATTTACCGCACCTACCCGTCTAAAACTGTCTTCCCAGTCACCTCTTTTCTCAAAGCTGACGAGGAGCCACTCTTTTATCGCTGACAACTCTGCATGGGGATTTTAAGCGGCAGAAGGCAGTGATATGATTGGAGGAGGACACTGTATACATCAGCAACTACGTATGCATTATATAACACATAAGACCAATCAATTTGCGTACCTCTGTGCTACCAAGTCCCTATTTTCAAATGGAAAATAAGAAGAGAGTAAGATTCCATCGCGACAATGACAGTCAATAGCCAAGCTGCCGGTCATTAACTTACCCAATACATCGTCTACTACAAAACAGACCATCGAACATGAGCGGTAGACCCCCACTAGTGAATCCATATGCAAGGCGCCCAGCAGCTCCACCTCACAATGAGGGAATGGGCCGCCAAAGTCAACAGCGAAATTCGCAGCAAAAGAGAGGGTATCAGTTGGCCAGCAATAACACTGGACGAAAGAAGGCCGGAAGGAAGAAGAGAAAAGGCGACCAAGGAACTCTCTTTGGAGGAGTGGCGTTCGACGCAATAAAGAACTGCAAGGTCTGTAAAGCTCGACACCTCATCAAACAAGGCTTGAACATTCGAGTTCCAAAGAGGCGCCACCACGACCTCTGCATTAAGAATCAGACAACCAAAGGGCAAGGAGAGTTGTCAGAGCAGACAATTGTGACCATGCAAGAGGAGAAGCGACTCCAAACAGTATTCACAACGCCACTTACAGAGCAAGAGAAAGGAAGCTGGAAACATTCAACCAAGGAGGCAGGAGAGCAGTTTTTTGCACAAAGGCGAACAACAGCGCCGAGTAAACCAATGGCCAAGTCCACCACCAAGTCTGTGACACCGTTTTTGTCGTCGAATATGATTTGTCAGACGGTAACTGAAATGGTTCATGACAAGGCCTTCATTGACAAGCATAAGTCAAAGGGGGCACCACTCGCAATGATGGCTTTTGCCACTGTGATTTCCGAAAAGATCATTCGTCCCAAGAACAAAGACATCTTCACTGCTTTCTTCCAAGGCCCCACCACAACCGTCCCTGTTGTTGAAGGTATTCTACAACCATTCTACCACTCCATTGTGGGGCAAAAGCTCCTCTTTGTGGACTGGTATCGATTCGGCCTCTCATGCGTTCCATGTCCGAATGCACAGTGTCATGGCAAGCTCTGCAACGAACGGTCAAACTTCTCGAAAAACCAGACGCTGTTTCCTGTATTTGGATTGGATGGTGCTCCTGCCTGGTGCATTGTGTTGTCAATGGTCTGCGACACCTGCAAACGACGGTTTGATTCGAATTCAAATGACGTTTTGGTCAATATACCGACTTTTGCTGCCAACGCCTATCCTGTCGAGCCGAAATATGCCCTATCTACTAAAGTTTGCCATCTTTCCAGAACAGCAACAGAGGTCTTTAGTTCCATTATGGCAACTTATGGTAACGGGGAGTTATGCAGCAAGATGCTTTTCCAGTCAATTAACTGCGAGTACCTGCAAAGAGTCTCATCATATTATTCATTCGCGGAGCAGTTCAAAAAGCAGCGCCCAAACTCGGAAATACAGAGGTACATCGACAAGGATGGTGTCTATATTAGACAGTTTCCTCCCCTTGGAGAATCCATACGAGACGTCTTTGATGAGGCCTCTTCTGCACCTAACCAGTGGGGCATAAGTGACCATGATCGACACACTCGAGAGATCCAGAACGCACAGTGTAACAATGGGATCTTTTGCCAGGACCACACCTTTCAAGTCGTAAAGAATTACCAAAAGAATCTTGGAGCTGAGGCGGTATGGGACGTCGCGACGTCAACCGGTGAAATCGCGACAGCTGTGCTTGTTCCGACAACGAAGACTATTCACTTTTCCCATGCAGCTCATTGGTTGTCGAAGAGGCCTCACTTCTCTCCACAGGCAATGTACAGTGACACATGGCCAAACAAGAAAGAGTTCTGGGATCAGATCTTTCCAAATCTAGAAGGTCGCCTGGGCCTGTTTCATTTCGAAAAGAGGATCACATCAACTCTGAGAAAGGGACACATTGACTATTATGATGCCATTCTTGACTTGCTTTTCTGCATATATGATTACTCACCGGATGACTGGGAAAAGCTGTTGGCAGCTCTCAAGGATGGTTCATTATCAGTCACCGGAAGGCGTTACTCCTCAGAGGAGATCAAGGAGCTCAAACGAACGCGTATTTTCAGGCAGCGATACGGCAAATACCTTCGCAAGACTCTCCGTAGTGCAGCAACCATCACACAGATGTTAGACGAGTGGTTCTGTACGTACAAAGTGACCTCTTCGGATCCTGTAAATAGCCCAGCCGGTGGCAGACTTGATCCAGTCAAAAAGTTCCCTTTATTTACAGAGGACACCAAGGGCGCCTTGGAAAACTGCAAACAGAAAGCAGTGCACTTGTCAGATCCACTTCCACTCGATGATATGTATGACAAGATCATTCCTTCCAGCAACTCCAAGCACCAACTTACCGAGTACCTTTCGCAAAGGGGAGAATCGAAACTGGAAGCTTTTCATGACCGATTTGCTCATTTTGCGAATGGAGGAATGCGAAGGAGCTTGGCGGACAATCTCAACCTTTGTGGAACAGCTCGGTACAATCTCCGAATCAGACACAAAAGATCGTTGATTTCGATTCGACAGGAAGACAATAACCGGCCAATTCCAGCAGGATGGGAGAGAGTGGTTGCATTTTGGAACCATTCGGAGCTGTGGTTCATTAACAAGATGGCTTCTGCTTGCGGTGTTGCAGAAATCCCATTTCCAAAAGCTGAGAAATTACCTGCGGATAATGGGGAACGGTTCTTCTCTGAGTACATTACCACGGTGAAGCCAAAACTGCAAAAATACTCGCCAACTTACCATTTTTTGTGCGTGTTATGCGACGAACCAGCGATTGAACCAGTAACGCCGGTAGCTCCAACAGCGACCCTTGTAACTGCCAATTCAAATTCAAATCCGGCCCCTGCTCCAGAACGTGCTTTAGCAACGACAAGAAACAATTATGTTAATCAATGTAATCGCCTTCGCCAACAACAACAACAACAACAACAACAACAACAACAACAACAACAACAACGGCAGCAGCAGCAACAACAACAACAGGTTCAAATTCAAATGATGCAACAGCAAATCGCGATGCTCCAGATGCAAAATTTGGCTCCCATCCTGCCAGCTTTTCCAGCTTATTACCTACCGCCGATGAGAGGTTGCTGTGTTCCGTACTCACAATGGCTCCAGCGACGCGTCGGTTGTCCGCCGCATGATCATCATTGTCGCTATCGATTGCATGGGTATTCCATTTCGTAGGATAATAGAAACCAAAATAATAAATAATGCTGTTGATTCCGATCGTTCTCCAAAAAAGTGAGCCATGCTAGCTGTACGGATAAAGGAAGGTTTTTTGAATTGTGGGAAAGGGATTTCTGCTCCGAGAAAAAAATAGCACCGGGTTACTGGTACATCAGTTTGAATTCTGGTGTGACGCTGGAGATGACACTTACATGACGATCAACACTTAAGAGAGTGGGGTATGACCAATTTATATAACACTCAGGTAGGGTCATTGCCTACGCCCCTCTTTTGTATATATCCAGATGTGTTCTTCGGACGAATTTCAATTAGAGTCCATGTCTGGATTGTCGGCCTGTGACGGAACCTGGAATCTAACCCTCTCCCTCTTTTTCTTCCCCTCCCCCGCCCTCGGGCGGGTGCCTAACCCCCCCTAAATGTCCCATGGGGGCAGGCCATGTGACCAGGCTGTCCATCCATCTGATGGAGCCAGTTATGCTCAGCTATGCTCAGTTATGCTCAGCTATGCCAGGCTGATCTCATTGATCCATTCCCTGGCTCCCTGCTGGTAACCAGCTGCAGGGTTGGTTGGTTAACTTGCCTCTGGAGCGTGCCTCAGCGGGTCCGCATGGGGAACCCAGGATTTAGGGTAGGATTCGCTGTAGGGCAGAGTTGAAACTCTGCCCTAATTATAGGGTAGAGTTTTGAAACCATGCCCTAATTTAGGGTTAGGGTAGAGTTTGAAACTCTGCCCTAATTTAGGGCAGAGTTTGAAATTTAGGGCAGAGTTTGAAACTCTGCCCTAAATCGAAACGGGACTGCATAGTAAATACTATGAAACTCTGCCCTAATTATAGGGTAGAGTTTTGAAACCATGCCCTAATTTAGGGTAGAGTTTGAAACTCTGCCCTAATTTAGGGCAGAGTTTGAAATTTTGGGTAGAGTTTGAAACTCTGCCCTAATTATAATTAGGGCAGTATAATTAGGGCAGAGTTTCAAAACTCTGCCCTAAACACCACCTTGAGCCTTGAGCAACGCTCCTGGTTTTGACAAGGTTGGATAACATGGGATGCCCAACAGATCCCATCCATTGCCTTGACGCCACCTAGGACCGGCTACTAGGGTGTGACAACTCGACTCAAATGACTCAACTCTACCGTACTACAGTACTCCTCGGCTGTCACTCAAGACGACTCGACTCGACTAAGCAAAACTTGGAAGGATTCATCAGAGGAAAGAGGAACCAGCAGTTTCGCAATGGCAAAAATCTCCATGCTCCAAAATCCTGTCCCCGCAATTCCAAGACCTACCGGTATCTGGTGTGACCTGGAACAGTGGAACAGATTGCTCTTACTTTATGATAGATGTATCCATGAACACTGACGCTATCCCACCAAGATTTCCACTGATTTCTTGTTCTTGCCATTGGGGTTCCTTGGCATTATTTGACATTTTTGTTTTGGAAGCTACTCAGTAGCTAGCTCGTCGCAACCGAAACTCGTACTGATCATGTGTACTTCGTACCCTGTAGCCTGTAGTCTAAAATGCTCACGGAGATTGGAGAGCCGATTGGAGTAGAGCGTCAGTGCTTTTCGTTCGCCTACCGGCACTGTTGTCCTCGTGTCGATTTCGATGGCCAAAGCTATAGGAAGAAACCCAACTATTGGCTTTTACAGATCCAAGGCAAGCTCAGAAACTGGCTTCCTCAGCTCTTCCACAGAGCTCCTCGGTGGTTTTGGAAAGACCCACTGTACGTCGAGATTTATGGAGTTTCCTTACACTGCCCAGACTTCTAACTTCTGGAATCTGGATACGAGTAAGCTTACGAGTTACGAGTACGTGTAGACGGTAGACGAGTACATAATACATAATACTGTACCCGCGCAGGCTGCAAAGCCGCAAAGAGCTCAGAAGCAAACCTTCTGGAGAGGAGCAAAGAATGGAAGAAGCGCTGAGGAATGGAGTTCTGAAAATGGTTTGTTTCCAGTTTGCCTTCACCTCAATTAGCTCCTCAATTATTGACCTTCTGAGAAAGTGTCTGCCACTCGAGTACCGAAGGAGCCCTGCATGCTGCATGCGCATGCATCTCCAGTCTACAGTACATACATGACAATGTAGCTACCAGCTGGCTAAGATATTAATACTGGTACCCGTTAACTTCACACTTATTTCTAGTAGAATTCATTCGTCACCCGATCTTCCAACTTGTGCTGTGTGTTGCAGCTCTGTTGCCACGTTGCCCCACCGCCGAAACCAAGCTGCCCCCCAGCAATCTTGGTCCATCTAACCTTGAGAATCCATCGGATCCAAACTGGCTGGTTCAAAAGATAGATGCTGCAACCTCCTAGACTACCTAGCTTTTGGATTGCAAGATTGATAGAAAGAGCTACATGTACTGCTCTGTAGAGTTGTCAAATTGGAATGAGAGATGGCTGAGTGCCTACCTGGATGTTTGGTGGTAGCTCTGTGCGAGCGAGTGGCTCGGCTTCCTCAGCCAACCAATCACTTCCCAGGCAACGTAACATGCAAGACCAACTGGATGCTCAGATAGGAAAATATTATGCTAAAACGATGGAGCAGATTGCAGGCAGTAGCAATAGCCTGCCGCTCATACCAGGGACCAACATGTAGCATCAGAAATAGGGAGATGAACAAGGAACGCTTCGATACTGAACAGCAAAGGCAAGAAAGGCGCATCTGCTACTTTCTTTGATCGATGATTCTCCTCTAGCTAGCCGGCCAATACCTGGCTGTGTTGACGTCGAAGTTTCAGACTTATGACCCTTGATTGTAAATGTATTGTAGTCTAGTACATGTAGATGAGCTTGTAGATGCAACAACGAATCCTTCCAAAACCTACTTTGAATTCCCCAACCACCACCGAGCAGGTGAAAAGAATCGAATCGACGCTACTGATCTATCTAGAAATGGATGGCAATAGGCCCACAGCTGGCCCAACAAAGTCTGCGGTTGAATTGTGAGCTGGTTATTGAAAGAGTGAGCAGTTGATTGACAACTTCCCTTCTTTGAGAGGAAAAAGATGCTAAGGTGGCTTCTGCTTCGCGTTAGTCACAAAACCTTTGGAAACTTCTCCTTGTCTTCCTGGGTCATTAAGCATGAATAAAGACCAAAGCTTGATATGGCAACCGTATAAGTTCCGAGTACCGGTGCCGTTGCATCATCCAATCCTGCAGCATCACTTGTCTACCTTTCCTCCCGCAAGCCCACACGGTGGTCGAGCTTATCATTCGACAGTCTTACTTCTCCAGATGTCGCTAATCTAATCACCACCAAAGCTGCCGGCACCACTACTAGCTAGCTAGTTCTCGGTACTGCAAGGAAAGGCTTGCTTGCTGCTCAGTAGAAGCAAGAGCACTGGAGCCTTCCTCTCCTTTTCCTCTTCCTCCCACAAAAAGCTTTCTTGCTCACAGACCAAGGAAACAACAGACTAAGAATTGAAAAAACTGAAGATGACCAAGACGAGCAAAGCAGCAATCGAGATGATGGGTGAAGACCCCCCCTCGGACAATGAAGGGAGAAGGGTATCCAAGAAGGATAGCTGGGCGGTCGACGACGAAGACGAGACGTCGAACACTGGCTCCTACTCGGAGAGCTCCGGAAGCGGCAACCACCTCTTGGACAGGCAGTACAGGAACATTGAGAAGACGACCAAAAGGACCAAGATTGTGGCTCTCTTGGTACTCCTTGTTGGAACAGCAGCAAGTGCTGGATTCCTCTACATGGGACTTACCAATGCCAAGAAGGATCAGGAGGAGAGCTTTGACAGGGCTGCTGCGGACTTCTCCAAGAGCATCACAGCCGCTTGGAACGACTACGAGAGCACAACGCTTTGGATCCATGAAACATGCCGCAACTTCAGGACCAACGGTTTCTCTCTGGATGATTTCACGGCGCTCCACCAATACATTGTCAGTGGAGGCCTTCAGTTTTACGGTATGCAATGGATTCCCCATGTCAGTCACGACGAACGTCCTGTGTACGAGGAAGGAGGCAAGGAGATGTGGGGTGAGTTGGAAGGCGCCAACTATACTGGATTCACTGGCTGGGAACCTGATCCAGACAATCCAGGAGACATCAAGCTTGGTCCCCGTTCCGAACAACCTTTTTACTTTCCGATTCATGTACGTTCTCTTGGCAGTTGCCAGCTCACATTCGTTTAACTCAATCAATGCACTAACCTACCTGATACCCTTTCTTCTTTCTACCGTACGACTCCAGTTTGGTGCGCCCATCAAGGATATGGTTTCCGTGGCTCACTATGATCTTTGGAGTGCTCCTTGGGACGAACCGGCAATGTCCCAGGCTCTCACCAGTTGGAAGCCAGCTTTGACCGGCAGCTTCCGCTTGATTCAACATTCTGAAACAGACGGATTCTCGGTTGTCCTCTACAATCCTGGTACTCCCTTGCCTGCTCCCTTTGAAGATGTGAGACCCAAGGACCTATCGGCAATGGTGATCTACGTTCCTGATCTCATGAAACGAGCTGCTGCGGCAACCAGTGCAAGCTTGCAAGCCTTCTTGTATGATGCGACCATGACCAAGGAGGATGGGTCTCCACCGCAATACTTGTCAGGACTCGAGATTCAGACCTCTGAAGGCAACAACGGAACCGCTACTGGTACTGTCATTCCTGAAACCGCATTCGCTGATTTGCAAACCCATGACAACCTTGTCTTTGAAAAGGAAATGGCCATTGGCGGCAAAGTGTGGAAGCTGGTTGTGATTCCCGCCGAGGGTGCCTATCACTCCAATCCAGCCTACATATGGGTTAGCGGCATTATGATCTTTGTTGCATCCTTGCTTCTTGCCGTTTGGATGCTTCACAACATGTACCGAACAATTGAAATGCACATGGTAGTCACCAAGGCAGCAGCTGAAGCCAACATTGTGTCCAACTTGTTTCCAGCCGCAGTGCGCGAGCGCATGATTCAGGATGCCTCACCCGAGAGTTTTGCCGCCAAAGATGGTTTCAAGAATGATGGGACATCACCTCACACATCCTCCGCTCTGTCCAGCGATGCCATTTTTGGTAGCAAACCCATTGCACAACTTCATCCGTACACAACTGTAATGTGCTCAGACATTGTTGGCTTTCAGGCTTGGGCGTCCATTCGAGACCCCAGTCAGGTGTTCACATTGCTGGAAACCATCTTTCATGCCTGGGACAATATCGCCAAGCGTCGTCGTGTGTACAAAGTGGAAACTGTGGCTGATTCCTACGTTGCTGCCGCGGGCCTTCCCCATGCTAGATCGGATCATGCCGTGGTAATGTGCAGGACAGCAGTGGAATGCATCCACAGAATGCTCAAACTCTGCAAGGTCTTGGAGCGGACTCTTGGACCAGGTACGTGCACATACGGAGTGGTTTCCTCACATTACGCATTGTTGTGGGTCATTGTATGCTCATCAAATGGTGTGTTTGGCACCCCTGCTGATCTTGCAGACACCGGTGAATTGGGATGCCGCATTGGCGTACATTCTGGACAAGTCGTGGCGGGAGTGCTGAGAGGAGATAAGGGAAGGTGGGTACAGTACACAACCGAGATCATTCTTCAAACGCCGACAACACGGTTCTCACGACACTCTTTCTCATCCAATGTTTGTTGATTGATTGTAGGTTCCAGGTATGGCTTAGGTTTGATGGACTGTAGGCATGGATATTCACCTCGCTCAGAGTTGCTAATTTTCTTTCCCTTCCATCTGCAGCTGTTCGGCGACACAATGCTGGTGGCAGACAGTATCTTGGCAACCGGAGTAAGTCATCGCGTGGCATGTACCGGTATATGGCGCTGGTTGAAGAACTGTTTGCATGGTCCAGCTCACCTGCCACTTGTTCTCTAGTTGACCAACGAAGTTCACGTGTCACCTGAGACGGCAGAGCTCGTGAAGAAAGCCCAACGTGACAAGTGGTTGGTTCCCCGAGAGAACCTGGTCAGTTTCATGGGTAAAATCCCTCAACAGACATACCTTGTCCAGATTCGAACTGAATCACGAGGTTCCATGGCGAAGGAAGAAGCACAAGCAGGCCTTTTGTCGGGCAACGTTGATCTCGGCAAGAGGGAACGGTTGATTGAATGGAACGTTGAAGTGTTGAGCGGACTCTTGAGAAGTATTATGGCAAGACGAGCTGCAATGGACCATCAAAACCAAGAGCGAGCACTGCCCACAGGGAAAGGTTTGCCCAAGAGCCGCATGGTGTTGGATGAAGTGGCTGAGATCATTGCTCTCCCCAAGTTCGATGCCGAAACTTTCAAGAATGAGGTCGACCCTGACTCGATTGACTTGGATCCAGATGTTGTCCACCAGCTGGCCGATCTGGTGACGAAGATTGCTGCCATGTACAGGTATGTATGAGTGCATTGTGCGTGTACGCTGGTTTTGTCGGTAGAGTGGCTTAGATGACGTGACTGGACGAAACGACATTCCACTCAACATTGGTTTCTTCGCCCTCCAAATTTGATTGCAGACACAACCCATTCCATTGCTTCGAACACGCAAGGTACTTCACTTTCTTTCGTTGATACATACATGGTTGTGGTGTTGCCAATCAACGTGCCAAGACTCACCCACCCCTGGCTTTGATGGTTTTATCATCTCTCTCCCTCGAACTCTATCTTTAACTAAAGCCATGTTACCATGTCCGTCATGAAGATGATGTCACGCATTGTGGATCCCGAAAAGGTTGCTGCCCAGCACGAAATGAACGCCAAAGGCAAAAGGAAATCCATGCGGAAAGAGCTGCATGATCACACTGTAAGCCCGAGAGAAACATCAACATCCTGACTGCCAGACTTTCAGCCGGTTTCCTCTGACCCGCTCCTTCTCTCTGCTCTGTCCCCACCAAAAGTTTGGGATTACCTCAGATCCTCTAAGCTTGTTTGCTTGCGCCTTTTCAGCCATGATCCACGACGTGGTAAGTTTCTGGATGCCGACAGCGAGTCAAGTATCTTGTACTTGTTGCTAAAATGTAGTCATCCCATGTACAGGATCATCAAGGAGTTCCCAACACTGTGTTGATCGAAGAGGAGTCACCTCTTGCCGCTAGGTACCAGAACAAGAGTGTCGCCGAACAGAACAGGTGCGTGAAGGAAGCTTTGTGTCACTCCCACCGTGGCGGCAATTCTGCGGGCCCCTTACGTATCTTTTTCTCCTCCGTCTCCCAGTGTGGATTTGGCCTGGAATCTTCTCATGAAAAGGGACTATGACAAGCTCCGTGCTTGCTTGTGCTCGTCGGAAGACGACTTTGCACGATTCCGATCCTTGGTTGTCAACTGTGTCATGGCCACGGACATTATGGATAAGCAATTGGGTGCAGCCCGAAAGGATCGATGGAACAAAGCCTTTAGTGGTGATGATGCCGCTGCCCAGGAGAGTGCTGAACTTCAGGTCAACAGAAAGGCGACAATTATTGTAAGTTCCTTGTCGTCGGTCTTGCTTGTATTAGTACTTGCGTCGCCTTTGAATTTCTCATCCTGTGATGGTTGTTCCTCCCATCCTCGTCCGCAGATTGAGCACTTGATTCAAGCTTCCGACATTAGGTAAGAACGAAGCTTGCAACGCTCACTCCCGGTGTGCATTTATTTGATCATCGCAACGCTCAGGCTGGACGTCTTGTTTTCCCTCCATAGTCACACCATGCAGCACTGGCATGTCTATGCCAAATGGAACGAGGTGAGAACACCAGGGCCACGATCCACTCTCCAGTGTTGCGCACCTTGCCGATTGGCATCTCACCCCGCCCTCCCTCTTGCAGAGACTCTTCATGGAAATGTACAAGGCCTACAAGGCTGGCCGTCTTGAGAAAGATCCTTCCGTAGGATGGTATCGAGGAGAGATTGGGTTCTTTGATTTCTACATCATCCCTCTAGCTAACAAATTGTTCAAGTGTGGTAAGTTGGTTGTTGTTGCAGCTCAGCGGTACCGGTACTTTGTGTGTAGTATGCTTCTCACTCATCACCAACTTGTTTTCTTGGGGATCAGGTGTCTTTGGAGTTTCCTCGGATGAGTTTTTGAATTACGCATTGGCCAACCGAAAGGTAAATCATGATCTGTTGCTTGGTCTCCTCCCTCTTGGTCATCGGCCAGCTCACTCACAAACGCTGTTTTGGTTGATTATCAAAGGAATGGGAGGCAAGTGGCGAAGAGATGGTAAAGAGGTATCTTGCCACCTATGCGGAAGAATCCGGCTCAGTCAACGAGACCCGTTTCATGGCGGAAGTTGAGGTTTAAGAGATGCTCCGATTGTTGATTGCGCAAATGGAGTATGAAGCAAAAGTGCTGCTTCCGAAAGGCACTGCCATTATTCCTCTTGGTCGAACAGATCCAAACAAGCTTTTTCACTTATGACATACATTTCTATAGTATATACATGTATATCGGATATCCATTATCATTCTTCATACTCGCATCGAGGGTGCTTGGTTGTTACAAATAGTTATTGTTGCATTTCGCAGCTCCTGGGTAGGCAAGGGATCGTCAAAGTACCGTACAGTCGTACTCGTAGTCAGAGATTCCCAGTCGAGTAGGAAGCAAACTGGGACTCCCTCTTTGTAATGATCAGGGAGGAGACGACATCATTGGAAGGCCCCAGACAATTTTCAGCTGCGTCCTTCTCGACTGACTTTAGTGCAAAGACAACTGACACTTTCAATTCGTTCAACTTGTCCTTTTGCAAGTCGGCGGGTAGCCGGAAAGGGGATAGCTGCTTTTCCCAGCACCACATGTTCCACTAGCTAGCTAGTTTGGATATTTGTTTGTTGGTTTCTTTTATCAAATTTACAGCGCAGCCTGCCCTTGTGGGTGGTTGGCTTTTCCTTGTGGACTTGACTTTCCTTGTGAGATCGATCCATCATTTTAAAAATGAAGGGCCTGGTTAATGCTGGCCGACTGTCCACAAATGGGTATGTCCTCCGCAACCTAAACTCATCCGCAACCTAAACTCAGCAAAGGCAGTATCAATCCTAAGGGCCAGGGCAGCGTAGTAGTGTAATGGTGGCGTCGTACATGAGTAGATCTATTGGGCTTGGCTGTAGGAGGCAAACGGAGGAAAACAAAAGGCGCGAAGTCGATTTTGTGTTGGGAAGCATGGCGATACCACCGCACGCCAGCCAGCAAAGTGGAACCACTTGTTTGATATCCAGATCAACAGACGGCAACACAAGAATAACAAGAGGCAACAAGAAACGCTCGGAGCCAACCCAAAGCCCAGAGAACTGCTGTGAGTGCTAGGTTCATTAATCGACTACCATTAGGCTCAAGATGCCTTTAGATACCACATAGTGCTATTCATGGAGGATACTACCGTATCTGCACGGTTGTTTTGCAGGTCGTGCATTGATCGCAATGAGTACAGGGCGTACAGCGTACAGTATTACCATAGCTGTTGCCAAACAAAGCGCAACAAACCAATCCAAGGATCATTCCAACGTCCTTCAATGGAGCTCACAATTATAATTGGAGCTAGCGGATACTGGTACTCCCTTAGTTAGGTTGGCTGATAATTGGCCATCCAGTTTTGTACATGTACAAGAAGAAGGCTCCTCGCCGGGGATCGTGCCTCCCTCCTAATGGCCCTCAACAGCCTAGCTAGCAACCACTAAACCGTCCCACTCCCATGACAAGATGGTGAACAACTGACCTATGAACCAATTTGGTTTGGTTACTACTTGAGTGATTCTGCAAGGTACGGTACCCCTCTTGTAGTGGCTGTTAAGGCCGGCCCAAGTCGATGCGTTGGTACCGGGTACCGGTACCGGTGCGTGAATAGCATATCATCCCAATCTCAACATTGAGCAAATCAGGCATGGTTGGACAGCAAGAAAAGCTGGGTGATTATCAACATGTCAATCGTGTCTGCTTGAGCTTGACCGGAAGTCAGGTAACCAGCTAGCCAACAATGGACTGCCATGACAGCCGTACAAGGAATGAGGTTTCACCCCAAAAAGGAGCCGCGACCAACCATGGTTCGAATAGTGAAAGCATCATTTGGGAGAGGCTGGGTGTGCTCACAGGACTTCCTTGGTTTGAAGGTTTGAGACTACACCCCCGGTACCAGGTACCGCACCGCTAGCTAGCTAGGGAAGGAGAGGTGTTGCTTGCTCAGGTCTGTAAATTTCTTAAAAGTAGAACGCGCGTACCGGACGCACATTCGACCCGATCCGTTGGCATTGGTGAGACCGAGCCACAAATTTGGCCACAACGTTGACGAAAGGTTCACCAAAGAAGTCAAGGAAAGATGTTGTCAGGCGAACACCAAGAGGTGTTGGAATGGCAGAAGTACAACGATTCTGAGCGCCTTGCTATATACATCGAAGGAGAAGATGGTGACAACCTCCGGTTTGACCTTGATAATCTGCTGAAATGTGGGAAGGACGCCAGTCGTCTGCGGGTCTTGTGTTTGATGAAAAGCCTTTCAACCGGCGAATCTGCCTTTGTACAGTTCAACCCCGAGAAAATCTCCAAGCTGCTGCCTTCTTTGGAAGTCATTGGCTTTCATTGCAATACAGGGATCTTTGCATGGCCCTGCGAATTCCTCAAGAAGGTTTTGAAGCGGACGTTAGTCTTAGTCCCAACAAGACCGTATGTGGGTGGGTGGGAGGATGTGGAAATCATCTTCTACCAACATGCCATAGTTATTGAATCGAGAACTGAAAGACGCCTGCCGAAAGTTGTATTCCTGTTTGACGCTGCTGCTGGTCCTAGTGATCATGGGACCATTTCAACCCTTCCGTCCATGCGGGAAATCCTACAACAAGGAGCACTCTGTTATGGAACTGCCTCGAAACTCACTGTCAGCTCTACCCAAATAAAACCCATCGAAACGACAATGTTGCTGGACTTTTTGAACTATGCAAGCTCCATCAATTCTAAAAGAAAGGCAGAGAAACTGGCAGAGATAGAACGAATCAACTTCCGGAAAGAGCTTCTCCTGCCGTCAAATCGCAAGTGGCCCTTGTCATTGCGGACTCTCTCACTAAAGAATGTCAAGATGCGGTTTGAGGACTACCGATTACTTTGCTGCGCTCTAGAGACAAACAATAGGATTGCCTATTTGGACTTGTCAGGCTTTTCATTCACCAACAACTGTGGAACTTCTGTCCGTTCATTGGAGCCGGTTCTGAATTTGTTGGAACATAACCGCACGCTTGAATCCATCCGTTTCACAACCACAGATGAGAGCACTGGCCTCGATGAAGCAGAGTGTGAACCTATCCAAGAGCGCATACACGAGATCCTCACGAACTGCAATGACACCATTTACGACTTGAAGATTGAAGAATGGCAGCAAGGCACCCCTCTATCAACCAAGATTCAGAAACAGCTGGACCTCAATTACTTTGACTTGGGTCGCGTCATGAACAATCCGCATCGTTTTTCATGTTCGCATCAGCGCTATGTGGCCTTTTTCATTGCCCTAAACTGTGCTCATCGAGAGACACCCGAGGACTACGAAAGCCCAAGTCTCCTAACCAATCTTTTCATTGTCCTGCGAGCGCATCCACATCTTGTCCCGATTCACACGGAAGCTCAAGGAGTGCGAGAGTTGCTCAACAAGTTTCGGTGGGCCAGTCCTGAGCACAACAACGCTGTGGCGTTGGAACTTCTTGATATCTTTCGGGAGAACCCAGCACTCTGCGTTCCAACGTACAAAATCTTCGATTGTGGCGCAATAGACCCAAGACGCGAAACCTATCCTATCATTGACACGTATTCGCCGACTGACATGGAAACCTGGACCGACATGGAAACCTGGACTCCAGTTTTCGCCTTTCTGATCGCCAAGGTCCCCATTGAAAGAATCTTGCTACTTTGCGATCTCTGCCCCATGCTCAAAGAATCTCTAGAGACTCCATGCGGCGGCCAGAAGGTCCAAGGCAGGGTTACTCCCATTGAACTTGTCAAGAATTTGTACGGCCATTACTACGGACTGCCCAACTTGAACCAGACATACAGCGATCTGCTCGAGCAGTTTGTGGCCAGAGAACCCAGCATTCTCGACTCCTTTTGTGCTCGCGCCAACCTGCCAATGCTGTTGTACGATACCAGCTTGGTGAACATCAATATCACGCGCCAGTACCCTGCAAAAGATACAATGCGGCGTTGGTTTGACCTCTGGCCTTCTGGCACAACCTGGCAAGCCCTTTTTGATAAAACCTTGAGCGATAGTGAGCAACCCGGATACTTTGCAGACCTTGAATTCCTGGCTAATAACATGCCTCGGGAACAAAGCAACCTGAGGATTCTGTCCCAGGAAGTGGCACTTGACAAAGCCCAATACCTGTGCCAGTTTATTCCGCGAATTGAATCGTTGAGCGTGCACAACTGCAACTTTGATCATTCGACGTTCCTGCTTCTGGTCGAAGCGATCCGACAGAATGAGATGCTGCGAACACTTGCATTGAGCTATCTACCAAGTCTCAAATCAGTCAGCAAGGAGGAGTGCACTGCGTCGAAGAAAGCTTTTCTTCAAATGCTAAAATGCAACAGCAAGCTCCAAGAGTTGACAATAGCTCCTTCCCCTGACGATTCTTCCGGCAGCGTGCATCGGTGCAGCAATGGGAACTATCTTGGGTGGCTCTCCACTGTCCATGCGGGCATAATGGAGAATCCAAACATTACATCCTTTGCCATGTCCCCAGCCACATTCTCGGCCGTCTTCGAAACTAAGGGAAACAAGGAGGAAGCGCAAATTGTTTACCGTCTAAACCTAAACAGGATGTGCTGCAGCAAGGTTCAATCTGCTTCCCTAGCTGGCGTTGTCGACATCCTTGGTAACATCGACATTTGCAACCTTCATGGCACTTTCAACCTTCATGGCACTGAGTACGTTGGAGAATCGTGGGAAGCACGCGATTTGTACGGGCACAGCCTCGTCTTCAGCCTGCTATTGGAGGCCCCAGCCATATGGTGTAGAGCAGACACCAAGGACTCCCGAAGCATCCCGGAAAAGCATATGCAAAATCTCATCACGGAAACACACACGCAAAACCCCCGAAAGAAGCCGTAAGTCAAATTGTTGCCACTTTATTTCCATGTTGCTTGGTTCTGACTGTCTTCCTTTCACGCTCTCCTTCTCCTTTCGCATCCCAAGTCGCCTTTCAGCTTCGACTGAAGTTACCGAAGGGCTTGAGAGACTGACGCTAGCACAAACAGCTTCAGCTGGGCAAACGTGTGTCCTACTGTGAACACTTCACCCACACAATCTTTACCTGGGGATTTTTTTCGAGCTTCCAATGTCTTCGTAAGCATTACCGGACCGGACCGGAGGAGGAAATGTGTCTTTCTCGCTCTTGTCTTGATCAAAACTTGGCGGTACGGCACACATGGGGCAGTTCTCGCTACGGTAGCACCACATAGTCGCATAGTTGGTACCGTAAACATTGAAACAAACTAATAAGGCAATAGCAGCACATTCTAAGTAGCTAGACACCTGCAGTAGTGATCCCCTTTCATATTCCAGAAATGAAAGCGGGTTACTATGTGGTTCTAAAGGGTGGAGTGTATGGGTGGGATACGGTAGGTCTCGATGTCGAGTGGAGCATATTGTTGAAAGTTGAAAGATGGCCGTGGAACCGGTAGCCAGCAAGGCTGGCAAAATACTCGATGTAAAAATTCATCAGCATTGGTTTTGAACAACAATAATAATGTCCACTACTGCGACCAAGCATCAACAAAGTTGTCCGAAAGAGACGTTTGTGCCCAAAACTGAATTTCAAGTCAACTGCCACCTTCTTCCTTCCAGGGCCTGTGCTGGTATGTCATACTGTGAAATGATCTTTGAGAGTGCCTTTGGAAGGAGACTATTACCCATACCTCCGTAAGTTTTCAAAAGTTCGTTTGGTTGATTAGAGTTGTCATTCCTTTTCAAGCTCAAGGGCCCAAACAACATGAGAAACGAACTAGTTGAGGGCTGAAGTTGTCGAGGCACAAGTGATGTAGACTAGTCTGATGATGTGAACTTGCAACATCAGATCAGTGAGAACGACTACGATACAAGATGCCCCCACAATATTTGTCATGAAACGAGGTGATGACGACATGGCTCACCTCCAGAATACAACCCACAGAGGAGAGCCGCCTTTGTGAAATCAATTCCTCTCTCCCAGCTTCTTTGGACAAGAGAGAGTTCGAGAGAGAGAGAGAGAGAGAGATGTGTGTGTGTATGAGAGAGAGAGAGAGAGAGAGACAGAATCGCCACTCGCTCTTGGAAATCAAGCCCCCGCGTTCGATGGCATGGAGATGGTAGCGTTACTCTGCTAGCTAGCTGGACCCCCGGTATTGGTAACTGCGGCTATCATGAAGAGCACATTGCTGGTACAAGCGGAATGGTGGGATTTCCATCTCTGGATTAAGTTGCGAAGCTGAATCGAATCCAACTTGTCAGGGAATCGGAGCAACGAACTAATAGTCAAATCCTTGACCTCGGACTCGCTGGCCTACTGACTCATTGGCTTGTGAAGATCAAGTATGGCACAGCTGGATTCAAGGTCAGAGAGTGCGACAGCAAAACTCTGGTTTGTTGGAATGGAGCAAGAAAGCACACAGCAACGTGATAGCTGACCACGATAAGCGTACTAACATCAGCCGGATGGAGTGTTCATAAGTGAGAGTTTCAGCCTGTCCGGCGAGATCACCTGCATCCGAGGGAGCGGCGAGAGCAGACACAACAGGAGTGGTCCCATCACGGGAAGGTGAAGGGCGAATCCAAATTGGTGGACCAGTTGGGCAGGTGAGGGGAATCGTTGTGGGTGAGAATGGCAACAGAACCAGCTCTTAGATCGACACAAGTTTTTAGGATGGCGATGGAAGCTGTCAGGATTGGTTTCGTGGCCTTGTGTGGATGGCATGCTCACCAGGAAGAAGTGTCCACACGAGTCGCATTCTTGATGAAGAAGGGCATTATGGACACAAGCATGGAGCTAGCTGTCTTGACCCAGGAGAGCTGAAATAAACGATCGAGAAGAAGAGTTGGGGCAAACAACTCATCGCAACCTGGACATGCAATGCGGAGATTCCCGTTCAGAAGGTTCTGGCACACAACCCTGACTCCAAGAGGCCAACAACCAAACAAAGGTTACGTGGACTCAATCACAATCACACCACCAAAGAGCACCACTCTTCTTAAGGCGAGGCACTGATTCATTCCAAACTCAAGCCTGGGTTGAATGGGTTCAACAGAACAGCCAGGTTGAATGGGTTCAACAGAACAGCCAGGTCACAGAGGATGACGAGTTGATCGCGCACTTGCACCAGTAGGAGCGTAGGTTTTTATGACTGGGTAGGGAAGCCGTCAAGAGGAATGAATGCTAAGAATACTTGCACGGGAGAATTAGTGATTCAATCGTCCCAATCTTGGCAAATGGTTGTTTTGCACGGAGGAGTACACTGCCGGGACTGTCTGCTGCAGCTGGCAAGTTGGGAACCTTCAAGTCTACCATGGACGCCCAGCCAAGGATGGAAACATGGACGTCTCAAGAATCGTGAAGCATTGGGTGCAACCAACAGGTGACAAGGTCAAGATGAATGCAAGGAACGCGAATCAAGTAGGAGGAAGTCCCGACATGTCTTTCTCCAAGCGGAAGTGGGGTGGTCAGAGCGCATCTGGACAGCAATAGCATTCGGAGTGGGGAAATCCAGAGATGATTGACATCAAAAAGAGACTGGAACAATCAAACGCGCCGAGACCATGGCTTGCTTGGAACTGATCAAGCTATTTGGGCAACCACAGGCAATCAATTTGAGGCAAGAGCATTGACACAAAAGAGACCTTGCAATCGTCACATCGAATTGCATCGGAGAGATGGTTGTGTCTTCCTGAGAATGGAAGATGGCTCTGGTCGACTGCCAATAACGAAATACCACTCTTGAGTGGTGAGAAAGGGACTGGGGTGGGAACGCTTTTGTTTGGTGGGAGAGAAGCAAACTGGAAAGCCTGCGTGACTTTCTATAAGGGTGCCATGAGGGATTGGCTGAGTGCGATGGTTGAGTTGGGAACTTCGGTGTAGTTGGTGTTTGCCTGGAACGTCAGTCTGAGAGGCTTGAGGGGGGAAAGCAGGGAGGCGGTAGATCTGTTCCGGGCGAATCTTGAGAGACTTGACTCCAACTCATCCCAAACACACGCAAACGGCTGCAAATGTGGCTTTCTTCAGTACAGGTAGGGCGACTGAGAGTAGTTCCGACGGTGTCAGAAAGGAGGCTATCTGCGACGGGCTCATGGAAGGAAAGGATGAAAGAAGAGATACCAGTACAGAGATCCCATGGCATAGTGTGGTCCGTTCACACAGAGTTGTTTTGAATTCGAGTAGGCGAGCCAACAGATTGGCTGGGAAAGAGAATCAGAAGGAAGAAGGAAGTGCAACCAAGGACATAGAGACTGTCAATCTTGAGGCCGCAACAGACAATCCACAATGCATGCACGTTAACAATCAGCCAGTCATGGAGTCGAGTCAAACCAATGGTGCAAATATGGCATGGATGGATGAAACGCCACTGTTGCAATGCAGTGCCGACAATCAATCAACCAACGCGTCAGGTTCTGAGGAAGTGCTGGGGTTTGAATGTGTCGAAGGTAGTTTCGGGACGCTTGCATGGGAGGCTTCGTTAGAGACAGGATTGAATTGATCGGGGGAAGCTGAATGGAATCTCCAAGAGTTCACCAGAACCATCGAGCAAAAGGAGACAAGCAATCACGTTGAATGCAAATCGAGTATCGAGCTTTCGTAAGCTAAGGTTGGTGACAGTCAGGGCTCTGGGTAGGTTGAAACGACTGGTACAGTGCGTGAAAAGGAGGTAAAAATACGCGTACAGTCTTGATAGTATCTTGCCCAATGTGAAGAACTCGAGGCGCCACCTACTAGAGTGCCCATCCTTTGCGTGGTTTCTGATGAGCCGTCAGTAAGTGTTGTGTCGGGTTGGGTATCCATTCCATTGGCTTGAATCAATCCTCTCTGATGTACCGCTCAACCTGGAAATGATGCTTGCTCAGCTTTGATGGCAGACCAAATGAGAGGGACTTGGAATGCCAGACGAAAATTGTGCGAGGCTGCGTCATGAGACGTCGGCAAAGCGCTGACTCGGATGATGAGCAAAGTTCAGGGTACACAGTGCGTGGGTTACATAAGGTAGAAAGGAAGGGCATAGGTTTCGAATCAATGCTGCCACCTGACAAAGGGAAGACTTGAGGGAAACTGTGAGCCGGAGCAGCCAGGAGAGACGCCCACTAAAAGCAAGAGGAGGAGGATACAAGTTGGATGCCACATTAATTGAGGCAGATGGAAGTAGATTCGATTCAGGAAGCTTGCAATTCGAGGCTGGGTCGTTTGGCAGGTAAAGGCATAAGTTTGAAGCGGTCATGTATCCGTTGGGTGCGCAGAACTTGCAAGGCTGAGATGCAAAGGTATCTTGTTGTAGCATTGCACTGAAAAGTTCGTAGTTCAAGCGTTGGTAGCCAACAATGAATAGCGTTGAGACTTTAGTGCAGTGTCGTCAACCGTGGCGGGGAAGCTTTTAGTCAAGGCTGAAGTGATCGGAGCTGTCCGGCACAGGCATTGGCAGAGATAACTTCAGCTGGTCAAGCAGAGGAATACAGAGAATGGAGAGCCAGGGAGAGATTGAGGAATGCAAGGATGCCTGAGAAGGATAGTCACTGCGCTGGAGATCATTGCGCATCGACTTGGTTCATTGAGAGTAGTTGTAGGTCAGAGGAATGGTAGCGGGCATTCAATTCATGCGGCCAAAGTTGTTGCATGACTCCATACTGATATGGCTGTCGCGTAGAAGGACCATGGGCTGACTCCGACAGAGAATCATGGCAAGCACCGCACATACAATCACACAGACTACCAGGATGGGTAGCTAGGAAGCGGCAAAGGTAAAGGTGAAAGCGACGTTGCATGGACAGGACTTCAATCGCATCGCGAATCTTGCCTTTTTCCGAAATGAGACGAGGTCACAGAGAACCGCACAGACTACCAGGATGGGTAGCTAGGAAGCGACGTCAGGGCTCCAGGTAGGTTGAAATGATACTGTACATGAAGAGAAGGGACAAAGTACTGCGTGTACAGTCTTGATAGAACCTTTGCCCGATGTGAAACCACATCAGCTGTAGCTGCCACCTAAATTTCCAATCCGTTGCGTAGTTCTGTCAGTGTAGTGGGTAGTGGGTACGCATTCGATTTTCTTGGCACAATCCAACTCGAAGTAGACACGATGCGTTCTCAGCGTTTATGGCGGACTGAATGAAAAGAACTTGGGATACTAGACGGAGCTTGAGAAAGGTTGACACTGCTGAAAAAAGTTTACACAGTGCCGGGGTCACATTGAAGCATACGGTAGCATCGAAGGGCAAAGGTGGTTGCTCCTGGGTATCCAAGCAGCACGGGAAGAGTCAAGGATGGCGTCGTAGCGGGACCAAGTCAAAGTCTTAGTGCAGCGGCACCAAGTGATAATCTGGAACAAGAGGGAATTGCGAATGGTTGAAGGATGGCAGCGAAGTTGCTCCTGCAGTGTGTCGAAGCTGCCAAAGACCGCCACAGATGGCAATAGGAGAATAGAAGTTGGACGCGACATCAGATGAGACGGAGTAGATTGTAGGAAGCTTGCAACTTGAGGCTTGGTTGTTTGGCTGGCAGGGAAAGGTGTAAGCTTGAAGCGGCATGGGTAGAAGTTGCAAGGCGGAGATGCAAAGTTTTCTTGTGGCACAGCACGCAGACAAGTTCGTAGTTCAACTGTTGGTGGATTGAAAATGTCAGAAGCTTGAGATGGCAGAAGCTTGAGTGCCGCGTCCTCAACTACGACGGGGAAGCTTTGATCAATGATTGGAGCTGTCCGGCACAAGCGTTGCAAGAGACAAATTCGTATGGTAGCGGGAACTCAAATGCATGTGAAGAGCAAAAGACTTGTCAACTGGGAGATCTTCCAGTAGCAACATGATGATTTGAAGAAGACTTGTAGAGTCGTCAAAAGGAAGCAGTATGATCCGAGGTAGTCCAGGGGAGTCCAATCAGCATGGGAAGAGTCAAGGATGGCGTCGTGGCAAGGATTGTTAATGCAGGACGGAGTCAAAGCTGTAGTGCAGCGGTGCCAAGTAATAATCTCGAACAAACGGGAATGTCGTATGGTAGGAAGATGATTTGAAGTTGCTCCTGCAGCGAGTCCGGCCAGCGAGGCGAGACGCCCACAAACAGCAAGAGTACACGTAGGATAAAAGTTGGATGCCACATTAGATAGATGAGGCAGATGGATGTAGATTGAGGTGCTTGCAATTGGAGGCTCGGTCGTTTGACAGGGAAAAACACAAGCTTGAAGCGGCAATGTGTCAATTGGGCGGCATGGGTGGGATTTGCAAGGCCGAGATGGAAAGGCTTCTTGTTGTAGCACACCACGGAGACGAGAAGTTCGCAGTTCGATCGTTGGTAGCTGGTAATGAGTAAGGCCGGGCTTTAGCGGGGCATCGTCGGCTGAGATGGGAAAACTTCGATCAAGTCTGAAAAGATGCGAGCTGACATGCAATCATGGGAAGAGAAGACTTCAGCTGGGCGTCAATCAGAGGAGCAACTGGCGTCTTCCCAAGGTTGGAACACGGACAAATTGAGAGGGGAGCCCGAGATAGAGGAATGCAAGGATGCCCGAGCAGGATATTCGGAACGGGTTGGTTGAGAGTACTAGTAGTTTGTGTGGTTGATGAAAGGAGTGGTAGCGGAAACTCATGAATGGCCAATACCAGGCACTCGGAGCAAAGGACAGCATAGACTTGTAGCACGGCGCCTCCCCAGCGATATGGACTGAGTGACCCACGAACGGGCACCACCATTGTCAAGACCTATGTTGGGAACTAAGGGATGAGACGGCAACGGTCGATGACCGTGAAGCAATGGCACAAAAGACAGGAACACATTGACTTACACTATTACGGGACGGACTGAAGCACTTCAATAGTACCATTGTCGGGTTTGGCTCTGGTTCCGTTCAACCACACAGCGGTCCGCGCGAGGGTTCATCACAGAAGAACATCTCGAGGCACGTGAACGTGGGACTCTCAATTCCGTCATTGCCTGATTTATGAGCTTAGATGGTCATCGCAAAAGGAGAGGCGGAGCTTTGACATGAAATATTTCAAACTTCAAACTTCAAACTTGAATTGAATTACACTGTGGCCTACGACAATACACTGATCTTTTTGATTTTTGATTTGCAAAACGGTTTGGCATCCAATCCGTTTCTACGGTATGCTTGTTTCCCCGTGCTACATGTACCTACCTACCGGTACCGCTACGGTACGTCCACTAGCTAGAAAAGCTATTTGAATCTTTTTGATGTTTTGATGTTTTGATGTTGCGGATGGCAGTTTCCATGATTTCAAAACATTGTGGGCCTCCTCGACTTCGGGTTCACTAATAGCATTTGATGTTGTTTGAAATTGTGAATGGTTTGGCCCCATTCCGTTTCCAGTGGGGTTTCACTTGATCCTTTGATGTTGTTTTGATGTATGATACTAATAGTTCCAAAAGGTTAAAATGGTTCGAGGCATTCGAAGAAACGGCCTTGGCAAATCGAACAATGGAGAAGATGACTGTCACTCCACTCCATGGCCCACAGGAAAAAATGAGGTCGGTTTCGAAACTCGTGACTGCTTCTATTTTGAGTCACAACTCGAAAAAACTCACTGGACAGCCAAGCATTCATTCAACATCACCTCCCAACAAGTCCTTTACCACAACAAGAAGATAGATGCAACACACCGTTTCTATATTAGAGTGCCCAGCACCACGACAGTCAACAGTGTTAGCTTTGGGTGGTTTCGAGAGAAGCCGTCCTTAGATGGTTCCTACTCAGAGCAACAACTGTCGTCCTTTCGAAACTACCGACGCCCATCGTTCTACCCCATCCTTCTACTGACTCCACCATCGCGCATCCTTCTACTGATCTTTTGTCGCCAGCTGCTCCTGTTTTTGACTACTCCCTTGATTGCTGCGCTATTTGTTTTGCCTTGAAGTCAGTGCCTACTTCGGTAGGGGCAAGGCTCTTGGCAACAACATACAGCTAGCATTATGGTGAAGTACTCCAAAAGCCGTGAGGGCCGAGTCTTTGGGTTTGGTGTCACCCATATTCCTACCAAGAAATCAGAATCATCAAAGCGCAGTGTGGCTGCTGCTAATGCTATGAAGGTTGAATTAGAGCGCCCTCCCGCAAAGAAACATCATCTACCAACCGTCACCACCAACCAACCAACCAAAATGTCGCCGCCTTCGGGCTCCGCCGGAGGGAGGCTATGTCATTTTATTTTGCTCTCGTAAGTTTCACCTTGTTGAATTATTGCTGTCACCGTCGTATGCTCATGGCTGGTCGTCTAGTTTCCTTCTAGAATGAAAGGAGCTATTGACTGTGGTTCAAGTGCCTGGATATTTTCCACACTATTGTCACCTTGACCACCAAGACGCTGGCTCTCATGTTCCTTCAACATTGTCTCGAGTGCCGTGATCTTCTTTCCAGAGAGCTCTGCTTCAGGGTAGTCACGTGCCAACAGTTCTGTTCGCAAATGAGGGATATTGTGGTTGCTAGTGACCAAGCTGAGAGTTATCTTTCCTGCCACAGCTGCAGCTTGTATCTGATTGGTCCGCCGGTTGGTGTGCATGGATGGCAATGCTCCATCTTGAAGGGGGGCTGTACTCGGTGTGTTCGATAGTGGTCCTGTCCTCTCCTCGCATGGAGCTTTTGATTTGTCCAAGTGCCAAATAATAAGCTTCTTCACCCAAGTTGCCAATCTGTACGTTCTTCATCTCAGTCAGTGTACCGTCTTGGATACGTTTTCAACCAAGTGTGTCTGCGAAGCACAAGGGAGATAGAGAGCACAGATCTGGTCCTTCAGTGGCACCGCTCTTCATCTCGAAAATCCACCAATCCATCCCATAGGAGCTCAGCAACGTCCAGAGCAAGAGAACGGTATTCTTCCTCACTGGATAATCCGTTCTTCAGGAATGAGAAGAAGCCTTCCATGGTCGGGTACATCACTCTGAAAGATCGCTGAATTGAATTCAATCTCATCATCCAGTATCTTCAAAAGGATGGCTGCCACTATTTGACCAAATAGATCTTCTGCCATCAAAGCTGCAGGAAGCCACTTAGGTTGAGACGAACATCCAAAGTGATCCGTTATCTTTGGGTTAGATCCTTTGAAGAACAATCCAGCCTTCTCCTGTTGCTTCTGTCGACGCACTGGTGTCAAGATAGATAATCTACTAGCGGTAGCTCCATGTTCGTCCACAATCTACAATGGAATCTTGGTTCCTGCGTCTCCGTTACCCTACTTTCGTAGCACTTTGTAGCTTCACAACACCTTTGAAGTATTGGTTTGTGGTGTGCAACGTTCATTGACTGCTCGTCCCCTTGGATTTCATCGCCAACATGGCAACTCTCTGCTCTGTGAACAGCTTTCATCACCTCGTGGTAGGTTCGAAATCTGTCTCATACCTAGCTAGCTAGGTACCCGAACCAGTATTGTTGTGCCGACAGACCTGGTCGCATCGTCCTCAATATTGGCCTTGCCCCCTTTCCCCTTTTGGGTTTCGAATTGCCAGATCATGCCATATCCAATTCGACAGCAACTACAGCGACGACAGGCTGGCTAGTGGTCAAGATTTTTTTGTGTGGCAGGAGATACCACGCTGTTTCCGCAAAGGAAGAAACAATGGATGAATCTGCGCTCACAAGTAGGTGTCTGCTGCAGCAGCAGGTCCACAATGACAAGTCTCCTTTGAGTTGCATTGCAAGGACAGAAAGTGCCGATGCCCCGTTTCTATGGAGAGCGTTCCTGCTCGATCAGAAGGCTGACGATGGCAGCAACAATCCAATCCTAATACTAGTCCATTGCCTGGCCTCTGCTCTTTTGCTTCCTAGTAACTACCTGTGTTGACTTATTGCCAACCTCTAGCTAGCTGCGCATGCACATGCAAAACCCATGGAAGCCTTCACATGTTGATTTTTACGAGGCATCCAAAGGTGGAGAATGAACACCTAATCTACTGTTACGTTACCTATCGTTTGAAGCTGGATTCCTATTTCTTCCCCTCTCCGCTTTCAGTAGTTTGTGCCCCCATGTCTTTGGGCATGATTTGTTGGTGGACCAGCCCACGTTCCACTGCATCTTTCTTCACTACAACCTGGTAGACAGTCTCCAGCTTGCTCCATCCGAACTGTTTCGCAAGCTTTTGGTCTAGCTCCTTGCTCAGCTTGTCCTCAAAATCTTGCAGTTCCCGACCACTGAGGGTTTTGCGTAGCTGCTCCTCAGCTTCAGTTCGGGCAATACAATCAAACTTCTCCTTTTGCTCCTCCTTGAAAGGTTTGATGGGCAGGACTCCTTCGTTGCCATCCGCAATGTAGCCTGCCCCAGCATTAAACATGAAACAGTGTCCAACATTGTTGAATCCACTGTCAGAGTTTACCTTCATCCGCACCACCACCAAAAAACAGCCTTGCTTCTCATTGAAAAGCTGGTAGAAAGATCTCAACATAGGAAAACGATCCTTATCCTTCCTTTTCTTGGATCTGGTGATCGCGTTATATATTTTGAACTTCTGTTGCATTGCAACCACAAACAAGTGTTCATGCTGCTTCCACTCCCCATTCTTTGGCTTGCATTTTTTTTCTGTTTCAAACGCCTTGCACATGTCACTGACTGTCAAGGCAGAACGCACACCGATTGCATTGCAACCTGCTTCAAGGAGGCAGTTGTCACCTGCATAAAATGAGAAGAAAGCATGAGATTATCCAAGTTCCAGCACATGACGGCTGAGTGAGGTTGCTTCACTTACCATTTATTCGCCAGGCTTTCCCACCTGTTAGATGGGCAGCATGATGCAAGTCCATGAAAGTATGATTTCCGCCATGCTCTCGGTAATCCTGAAGAGGCTCAGGCCATGGAATCCCCGTGACTGAGTTTTGATCTGTCCGATTGGGATCGGTCCATAGATTTTGCTGGTTTTCATTTAGAAAGCTATCAATCTGTGCAATTCTTGTGATGATTTCCTTACGGCGATCTTGATCCAGAGAGACCTTCCCAAGCTCCTTCTTGAGACGTTCCTTTTCGTTTTGTAGCCCAATTCTCCGTTGTCGATCTTCATCATGTGTGATTTCCTCCCTTGTTCTATCTCTCTTCTTCTGGTCATTGCCCTTTTTGTGCTTCTTCCTTGGCTTGCTCTTTTCAGGTCGTGAGTTTGGCTTGGCTGTCGCTGCCTCGGGCTTTCCCGCCTCATCTTCGGAAGCCTTTGCTTCCTCTTCTTCGTCATCGCCTGTTGTTGATGCTTCGGTGGCAGTAGCAGCATCAGAGGCTTTGCTGTTCTTCTGCTGCTTTCGAACCGTGACACCTTCAGGAATGGTGAGAGTGGCAGTACCAGAAGCAAATTTGGAGGCTTCAGCAGAAGGTAGAGATCTCGAGGGTGGCTTTTTGGAAGCCTCGGCCTCGTCTTCAGAAGAGGCCTCTTCCCCTAATGCACCGCTTGTGGCCAAACTCCCAGGCACCCCGCCAGTTTCGGAGACTTTGCTGGGGGGGCCTCCCAGATCTTTCCATGTAGCAAGTCGAGAGGCAGGCTGTCGGGTGTCGTCTTCGAAAGAAGCCTTTGCCTCCTCCTCCTCATCACCACTTGTGACCAAACTGCCTGAACCTCCCTTTGCAGTGATACCAACAGTACTAGTAGCCGCTTCAGAAGCTTTGCTTCCGCCGGCCAAACTCCCTGAACCACCTTTCCCAGTGATAAAATCATCCAATACAGATGACCGAGGGGCTCGTCCGGAGGCATCCCCAGTCTCTCCTCGGGAGGACAGAGCTTTGTCCTCTTTGTCTTCGCCATCGTCAACATCCATGGAAAAGCCGAATGAGGCTGGTCTCTCTTTAGTGACTTTTGGGGTAGCCGTCCCAGGCGTCTCATCCTCATCACTGCCGTCAACCTCCACTGAAGTTGTTGTTTGCTCCCGAGCCAAGGGTGGTTGCTTCCCAGAAGTTTCTTTTCCCAGAGTTTCATCATTGTCGTCAACACTCGTAGTTGACCCTTTCGTGGCAGTAGCAGGCTTCAAAGCGTGGCTGCCCCCTAAATCATCGGAGGCAGAGGGATCCCCAGTCTCTCCTCTGGAGGACAGAGCTTTGTCCTCGTAGTCTTCACCATCGTCAACTTCCATTGGCATGTGCAGGCGTTCCTCTGTGTTGACTTTTGTGGCAGAATCAGGCGAAGTCTTCTCGGATACGAGCATGTCCTCCTTGTCCACATCCATGTGAACGCACAATGGGCGAGGCTGGTCTCTCTTTGGTGGGTTTAGGAGCGGCCTCGAGTGAAGCCTTCGCAGATTGGAGGCTCTCCTCGTCATCGACATGAATATGATCGCGAGACTCAGCGCATTTCTTTTCAGTGACATCCGTGGACGCCTTCAGTGGCATCTCATCGTCAACATCCATGTTGTCATCAATGCCGGCTGGAGCAGTTGTTTTCTGTGGAGCCAATGTTGGTTGCTTTGCTTTGTTGCGTGCTTCCTTTCTTTGTATTGATGTCGTATGGACAGCATCAGGAATGAACCCTTCCTCATCCGAAGAATCTCCTGCTTGTTTTTGACTGGCATGCAGCTTCTTTGTGGTTCTTGCCTTTGCGGCAGGGAGCACATCGCCTTTCAAGGCTCCAGCAGTGTCACTGGCAGCAGGACCAGTACCCATAACATGTTTCGATGGTCCTTGAAACTTGGCACGCTGCTTCTCGCTTCCAGACTTTCCGCCCCGAGACACATCTACTTGAAAGGCTGCTGTGGGGCTCTTTGTGTTGCCATCGTCGTCGTGGACACTGTGAGCACTAGCCTTTTCCGCAACTGAAAACTCCCCAGCAGAGGCTGCAGTAGCACTCCTCGCACTCTTGCTGTTGTCAGTGACGCCACCCTCAGTTTGGGTGAGTGCCTCTTCAGAATGTTTCGTACTTCCAGCCTTTGGAACAGCTGACAACTCCACAACTCCTTCTCAGAGGATGCTGTGGAACGTTTGCTGGTGACGAAGCCAGAAGCACCACTCCCGGTTGTCTTGGGTGGCTGTTCAGAATGTTTCGCACTTCCAGCCTTTGGAACATCTGACAAGTCCTTCTCAGTGGATGCTGTGGAACTTTTGCTGGAGACGAAGCCAGAAGCACCACTCCCAGTTGTCTTGGGTGGCTGTTCGGACTGCTTGGAGCTTCCAGCCTTTTCCGCAACTGATACGTCCCCACCAGAGGAACTCTTGCTGCCGTCGACAATGGAAGCACCACTCCCAGTTGGCTTGGGTGGCTGTTCGGACGGCTTGGAGCTTCCAGCCTTTTCCACAACTGATACGTCCCCACCAGAGGAACTCTTGCTGCTGTCGACAATGGAAGCACCACTCCCAGTTGGCTTTTTGGGAGGCTTTGTATTTCCAGCTGCGCTGGCCGACACATGGTTGTCAGAGTTGTCGCCAGCCACTGCCGCCTCGCTGAGAGCACGAAACAGATTCTTGCGGGTGTCCTTGCTTGGGGTGGCCTTGCTTGGCGTAGCAGAGTTGTTTGGTCGTTTCGGCACTGGACTCTTCTTTGTTGCAGTCAGTGGCACTCCTTTGTTTTTCTTGTTGGCCCTGGGAGTGTTGTCAGCCGCACCCGCGCTTGAGTGTTCTTCTTCTACTTCCATTGAATCTCCCTTTTGATTGTGATCTGAGCGTGCCTTCTTGTTGGCAGGGCTTTTCTTGGGATCACCGTCTTTCTTGGGAGTCAAAGTTCGACCCTTTTTGCCATGGTCAACAACTTCAGTAGCACCAACTTCCAGAGTACCAGCGAATGAAACTCTCCTTTGCGCACGACCCAATGTGTCAGATTGCTTGGCAGTGCCATCCATCTTCTCCGGGTGCACATTGTCCGTTTTCGTGGCAGCACTAAAACCCATGCCCATTGTGGAAGCATTGTCGGCCCTTGAACCAGAGGAGCTCTTCTTCGAAGGAGTGCTCACATCCATCATCATCATGTCGTTCATTGTGGTGACCAGTTTCTTGGCAGGGCTCTTGTCAGCACCAACGCCAAAACTTACACCGCCAGTTGCTCCACCACCTGCACTGCCGCCACCTGTTATATGTTTTGGTTTCTCTTTTACAGGCTCATCGGAAAGCTTTGGGTTGCATTTGGCAGGCACACTCTCTGTAGATGCGGCTGCTGTAGAAGAGCTGCCAACCTTGTCCGCTCCTTTGGCGACGGATGAGGAATTCTTCACTGGTGCACCGTTGTCTTGGTCGTGAGCTCAAATAGTGGTCTTCGTGGCGGCGGATCTACTTTTCATCTCAACATCACTGGTCTTGGAGTACACAACAGAAGCTTCTTTGGCTGCCTTCGTAACAGTCCCACCAGAAAACAGGCTGCCCTTGTCAGCAATAGAGGCATCTCGCGACTCCAGATCCATGCCCTTCTCATCCACAGTAATGATGGAGGAATCCACTCCTCCTCTCTTCTTGGGAGCAGAAGCATCCTCAGTGGCGTCAATGGAAAGAAGCCAATCCATGTCCACGTTTTTGTCGTCTAAATCTATCTCATTTCGGTCTTCTAAAGAACCAAAACCAGCGCTTTTCAACACAGTGCCATTCGTCTTCTTGGCGTCCTGCTCGGCAAGTACCTGAGCAATGAAGTCTTTCTCTTCATCGGTTTGATCCTTCTGCTTGGCCAGTTCCTGAGCAATAAAGTCTTTCTCTTCATCGGTCAAAGGAAAATCGTCGATGCTTTCGTCATCTTCATCATTCCCCAAAATGTTGTCGTCCTCTTCAACAGTCTCGACGTCCATCTTCTTGGCTCGTCTGTCTTGTTGGCAGCATCCTTAGCGGCATCAGTGAGCGGGAGACGATTGTTGGTTGTGTTGTCGTCAATGTTTCCCAAGGCCTTCCTTGCTTTAGCTGACTGATCCACAACCGAACATTTTGTCGATGCTTTGTTTGCTCCAAGAGGAGGAGGAGCGCTCTTCTTGTTTTGGTTCTGCACAGACTTGTCTTTTTGCAGTTTTGCCACTGCTGGCCGCTTAATGATAAGAATATTTCTCTTGCTGAGCGTGTTCGGTGAAGCGCGGCAATTCTCAACCGTCGACTCTTTGGCACCCATTGCATGTGTTGGTTTCTCTTTTGGCTTGGAGTTGCCTTTGGCAGGAACACTCTCTGTAGATGCGGCCGGTAATGTTGGTGTGTCGCTAAAATCGGTAGGAATTGTTGTGTGCATCTGCTTCTTTTGTTGGCCGTCCGTGTCACCTCCTTCATCAGTCTTGTCACTGGGGGTGTAAAATACTCATTAGTTTAACAAACTATGGCCACGGAGTGGCTTTTATGACGCGGGCAAGTGGTGGGGAAGCCCCCACCTAGCTGAGTCGTCATCTACTTATTTGCCCAATCAACATGACCTCATCCACTGGCCCAACGTGGAGCCAGCACCAAGTAGACAGATGCCCTGGGTAGGGGGGTGAGCACATTGATAGGGAACCTGCAGCACAAAACCTGGGTTACAGGGGCTTACACAGGATTTTTGTCGGTATTGAAACCATTATCACCAAAGGGACCGTGAGGACCAGTTAGATTGCCAGACCAAAGAGTGCTCGCCAGTAAGTGTGTCTGGGTGATCTGGTCCCAAGCTGTGGCAAGGGCCTTGGCATGCAAGGCAAGATGCCAGCAGAGCCCGTAGGAGGTGGTACTCCTCAGGCTGGACCAGAGCAGGGTGTAACCCATCCAATGCACAAAAATTGTTAGATAGAGGCCAACAAGCAGGCAGAAGATGGGGTCAAATGACACACTGGCAGTGTGTGGTTCCCAGGAGGGAGGCACAGTGGCTGCTGGAGTGTTGTGGGCTGTTCGAGGGGTTGTTGAGTCAATAGAAGGGGGATAAGGGGGCACTGGGAGTGGGCTGGTGCCACGGGCAGGAGGGGAGATCCTGTTGGGGTTGGAGTGTTGTTGTAGGAGTTGGGATGTAGCATGGTTGATGGTGTGTTGTAGGATAGAGGCGTGCCTGTGTTCAAGGGTGAGAACAAAGGCATCCTCCCTGATAGGGTAGGGTGTGATTCGGAAGGGTGTGATCCTCAAGATGGCTGCATGCTCTAGGAGCTGTTGGCTGATCATCTGGGGAGTGGTGTTGTGTAGTCTGCGGAGGATGGTGGATGTGGTTGGTTGGGTGAAGTGTGGGAGTGGGGGAATGTCTGGGAGGACCTTGGGTTTGAGTGAAGTTGTGGGTAGACATGGGGAAGTCATGGTGGGTGGTAGGTGGGTTGGTGGGAGAGTTGTGTATCCTGGAGTATTGACTGTAGTGTCGTTGCTTCAACGCAAGCAATGGAGGTTGCTTGTGAGGTGGCGAGATGATTGATAGAGAAGGGTGTATTCAAGGGGCAATGCACTGAGGCACTGGTAATCAAGGTTTATATCAAGTTGTTGGGTTGTTGTTGCCACTGGATCAAAGGCTGTGGCCAAGTCTGGTGCAGGTATACCACTACCTGCAGGAGAAGATGGTATCAGAGCCAAAGGCTGTTAGGGATTCTTTCAGGGAAAACTGGAGAAGTCACGCTATAGCCAGTAGAGGCAGTGGTGGGGGGATCAAGGGGTGTTGTTGGTTGATGGGGCTGTGTTACTGGATGACACTGTGTTGTCTCAAAGGCTGGTACTCAATCTGTTGTAGTGACCGATGCTATCAATGCAACAGAGAGTCAAGCCAAGATGTGGAGAGGGTACTCGATTCAGGTGGAACTGTGGGAAGTCACTGGAGAGTCACTCAACAATCAATGAGAGAGAGATAGAGTCAGTTATGTATTAATATCTATGCCACACCACGCTGCAGTTCTGTCTGGGGCTCAATCCTTTGGAGTTCCTTAAGTTCAGTAGGAGAGGCAGGTGCAGTAGCAGAGAGGTGGCGGTGTCAATGAAGTGTTGCACAATCTAGCCTCAGAGGGGCAACTTTTGTAGTTTGTTCTTGTGTGGGTGAGGTCCTTTGGAGAGGAGCTGGATATCCCAGGGAGAAGGCTGACGAGGCCAATCCTGGTGTCCAAGGAAGGAAACTATGCTCAGTAACTCCAGCGAAAAAGCTGAGTTAGGATCCAACTTGTAACCAACTCAAGTCCTTACAGGAACTCTGTTGTTGTTTGTTGTTCCTCTTGGGGAGGAGTAAGATATCAATGGAGGGGTGGTAACAGCAGGTGTCGATCAGTCAATCAGTCTGTATAGGGATAGGACTGGTTGGATCAGTAGGATCAGTGCCAACAAGGACGTCGGGAGAAACCACTAGTGGCCGGTGAGAAAGTAAGAATACAGGTGTAATTCTCTTCTGGGTGGTCACTGCAGGTATCTCGTGAAGTCCTTCTTGATGACAGTAGGCTGCGTACGGAGGAAGAGGTACGTATCGGAGGGGAGGTACGTTCGTGGGAAGATCGATCGATTCACGGAGGAGCGAGTCTTGGATTCGATTCGATTCGAAAACCGATTCGATTCGCGAGTCGATTCAGAGGATTCGATTCGAAACCACGTCACCGGTTGCCTTAGAGGTAAGGTTAACCGAGCGTGTTGTTGTTGAGGAAGGAGATCGATCGTTCGAAAAAGAGGATCGACAATGGGATTTCGATGGCCGTCAGGAGCGTAGCTGAGAAAACAACAAATAGATATGGGAATTGTTTTCTGTGCTGTGCTGGGGAAGACCGGTGACTTCTTCTTGTGTTCAAATTCGTCCAACTTGGCCGTCGGCGGTCGAGAATAGAAAACCCGCCCGATCTCGTAGGATTTCAATGGGGATGGCTTTCTAATCTGAATCGGGGAAGGCCGCTTTGATAGTCGCTTGATAGGAGAGGTGCGCTTGATAGGAGATACCAGAGGAGGTGTCGATCCTGTCAACCGGAGGGCTTGAATGAGAGATAAAGAGAGGAAAAAGGGGTGTATGTTTTCCGTGATGACGTTGAGTTGAATCCTATAGTAAAACAGTACTCTTCAACAAGATAACAGAAAACAGGCTTCCTGAGGTCCTTTCGCTTCGTTTCAATGCTTCTAATGGTGCTAATAGGTAGTGTAATGGTATAGGTATGACCGATTGGTTGTGTTTGTTGCTATTAGTGTTGTTGTGCTTGTAGTGACAGATCCAGAGGGGAAGTGCTTCGGTGTTCGGCTTCCCGTGGAAAAGTCATCAGTCTTGTCACTGGTGTCTCCTGCACCACGAGGACCAGGATCCTCCAAGTCTCCAGGTGTTTCTCGGGAATCACCAGAAGGTAAATCAGCACCATTGTCATCCTTGGCGACATCCGCAGTATCAGGAAGGGCATCCGCATCCACAGTGTCGTCTTGTAGTGGATCTGGAAAGCCATCACCTCTAAAACCACCCGTTCCTACGGGTACGCCCAGGGCACTTCCAATCTTTCCTGCAAGGGAGGAAAACAATGACATTTTGCTTGTGGAGCTGTGTGCGTCCAGTTAGCTCAATCAACAATGGCTGTCCCGCAAGGAGAGAACCCAGACAATGACGAAGGATGAAGAGACTTGATGCCGTTCCCTCCCAAAGAGACTTGATTCAATTCTGTAGCTCCGCCAAGAAAAGAGATGGATGTCAGGATCCTTAGGCGACGCTGAGATCAATGGACTGTAAAGAGACCACCGTGCTGTTGGGAGGCAGACAGACTCCAATACACAAATTCAGAGTTCAGATACTCTCGCCAACAAGCCACCAGTATCCTGTTAAGAGAAAGAACAAAGAGGAAGCGTGTGGTCAGAGATGGCCGAATGTTGTGGTGAAAGCAAAGAGAGGAGTGACTCGACTCAAATGACACTCACCAGAAGAGACTGTCAGCCTTTTGATGGATCCTTTTCTTCTCCTCTCGTCTCGTCTCTCAGTAGCTGTTTCTCTAGCAGTTGGAAGGAACAAAAATAAGAATAATGACAAAGGGTCAGTCAAGTGGAAATGGTTTCAAGAGCTGGGAGGAGGCACAATGCTGGAAGTCGCCTACTGTGAAGTCGTGATGTTTTTGCGTCCTCTTGCTGCTGTTGTGCTTTTGCTGTCGGGTCAAAATGGGGAAGCTCCTCCTCTTTGTTCTCTTGTGGTTTTGCTTTTGGGGCTTCTTTTGTAAAGGGTTAGAGCTACCGGTAATGGTAAGTTGTTTTGAGTGATGAATCGAATCGAATTCGATTGAATCATTCAATCGAATCGAATCGCTTTGTCCTGTCTACTCAACCGTTAACCTGGACAAGGGCGCGAACTCACACTTTAGTAGGGAACAGAGGCCCGTTGGATTTTCTCCGTCACAAATTCCCCATTTTGAGCCATTTGCAGACAACCTTTGGGCTTGTTCACTCTCTTCATTCACTGGTCTACTACTAGAAGGAAGCTCATATGGTAGGAGTATAAAGTAGACGAAAACTTCCTCTTTGTGTTGGCCTGTTCAGCCATTCAGCCCATGTCAGCCTTGTGGACCGATCCGATCCGACCTGATCCTTGTCAGTTCTTTGGCTACTGCTGTAAACTGGCTAGAATGAACCGCGCAACCGTGAAGCCAGCCCGTGGCTACATCATTACGTCTTTCAAGCCTACAAATTTTTGTGATGAAAACCACCCGCCCACAAAGAAGAACAACAGCCGCGAACGTTCACCAAAGAGCCCAAGGTTTCCAAAGGACAGTCCCTTTGCCAAGAAGCCCCGCAAGAATGCGCCACCACAAGCTGCTTTGACGATCCGTCCTTCCAAGCTGTTGGGTATGCAAGGAGGGCCCAAGCCTACTAGGCTTGGTGAAGGTTGTCAAGACATTGTGGACCCTGAATGCTGCTGCCGGCTATTTAGTGGATCATTGCCATGGAGTCATCAAAACTGATCACCTCTGTCAGCTGGATGATAGTGCTTTGAACAAGAAGTTGTCTGAACAGTTTGGATGGTTGAAGCTCTTTGGTGTCTATCAAGTGCTTGTGAAGGCATAAGCTGTAGAAGAAGGGAAAGTTCGCCATCAACTCATGCCAGCCAACTAGACAACCAGTGCTGGTGCTATTCAATGGGTGGAGTAGCCAAGTCGTTGTACAGGGCCCTGAAACATATATATGCTCTTGCTTGGCTCTGGCTCCATGTGTTGGGAGGACTGTTTGAAGGAAGCCAACCCGCTTGTACCTGTAGGTTTAAGCCAATAATCGTAGCCTTTTGCATTCATCTACTGGTACCAATAGCTGACCGGCCAGGATATACAAGACATAGATTCGATTCAGATTTTGCTTTCCCATACGGCAAAGCTTAGACTGAACGTACCGGTACTAGCAGCCAACCCACTACACTGATTTGTGCTGTTTTGCATCTAGATCTTGGAATTAATTTCTGTCTGCATGTATGTACACTGACAATTCTTTACACATGCTGTGCCAGGCTCGCCATCAAAACATGTAGGCAGCCTAGGAGGCTTACGCGTACCGGAAGAGACGCGCGGAACATCGTATCTTTTCGGCCGCTTCGACCTTGCATCATGTCATTGAGGCTGAGGGCAACCTTGTCTAGATACCGTCGCCCTACTAGTACCCACTAGTGTATTCTGTTAGGAAAGAAGCAAAAAGGATGGGCTTGCAATCTCGCAGTATATATAACAATGGCACTACCAGCAGCAGTTCCGGCGGTATTCAGCCAACCCAGAATAGTATCATACTTCAGAAAAAGAAGAATCTGATGATGAGCCCTTCTTCCTCTTCTTCTCCTTTTGGTTCCAACAAGAGCAGTACAGCAACGAAGAACAAGAAGAGAAACCAGCTTCTGCTGTTTGGTTCCATTTTGACTTTGGGTATAAGCTGCTTCATCCTGTTCCAGGTAGCTCATTTGTCCGTTTGGAAGTTCATGGGAATGGAGGCTACCGTCCAGGAACCCACCCAGCCACTGCAAGAAACCACCAGAAGCCGCTTTGCCTATGCATTCTTTATTGGGGGAGTTCCCACTCGAAATCTTACCACCAGCCATGATCATCCCAGTATGGGATACCGAGGATTGCTCTACAATGTCTTGGTCTCGGTTCACAATCTACGAACATCCGGTAGTCAAGCCGATATGATCTTGATGGTTCACATGGCAAGCCCCTATGCCGAATTGCCACAAGATGAGGTAAAAATGATTGCAGATTTGAACATCCAATTGAAGTATCTACCACCCTCCATTCCCTCCTACACAAACGGATTTGCCACTCTGGCCCTGGAAAAGTTCCGGATCCTGGAATGGGCTCAATATTCCAGAGTCATGTACATTAGTGCCGATATCATGCCTCAGTGCAGTTTGGATTATCTCCTCGAACTCGCCCACGAAGGATCAGTGGGACCAGATTCTCTTCTCCGAGAAAATGTTGTGATTAGTATTGCTGATAAGCCCATGTCCACTTCCATTTTCATTCTAAAACCCAACCGAGGACATTACCAACAATTCTTGAGAATGCTGCAGGAGAGTTATCCCTATGGCAATCAGAATTTTGACAAGGAAGTTGGCTGGGGGCGAAAATTCAAGGGCGGCGGCGATAGTTGGACGTCGGTCAAACAATTAGCCCTTCAAATGGCGACTGGCAAGACGAAGAAACGTGTCAAACCAAAGACTCAATGGTCGTTTGAGGGAGCCGACAGCGATGCCGGGTTGCTCTACTATTGGATCCGCTTTGTGCGCAAAAAGTACTCCATCGTTATTGGCAAGCAAATCTACACGCAATTTGGCGGGTCTCGCGTTGATATTTTGCCTTCTATCAATCCACTCTTGAACTACAGTTGCTTGCCTATGGAAGAAGAGAAACAGGGAGGCCGTGGAGCCCAGCAGTTTGCCGATGATCCCGACAATAAGCTGCGCAAAATCGTGGCTCCGTTTGGCGTGGCACCGTATCGCGATTTTGTGCAGTGGGAGTACCATGCCCATGCGCCCTGGCACTTTCAAAAGGCGCCGCATCCGCAACTGAATATTACTTCGGCACGGCGCTATTGGTTTTCTGTCTTGCGGCAACTGGATGAAACGCACAAGTGGAAGTTGGGACTGTACGAGCCACAATACAAACGTAACAAACGTGCAAGAATAGCCAATAGCGACGATCAGCCGGAATGGAAGGAAAAGATCGGTGACGACCAAGCTAATAATTGGAAATACAGTCCGAAACCCAGAGTTTCGGAGGACAGCAAGTATCCCGTGTGGAGTACCAAATTGCAGGCGTTGCAGCATTGGAGCACTATCCAGTCGGATGATCGCATCAAAGAACACAAATGGCAACCTCCGTACATCCAGTTGCCGGGACAGGAAGAAGACCCTCATCGACAGCATCTCTTTTGGGGTGATGATGACTACACAACTATGTCAAAGCAGAAGCAGTTACCCAACAATCTAAAACCCTGCAAGTGTTCCACACCCATCACGGTCGATCCGTGTTCCTTACCTGACCGGAGCTTTGAAGATTGGGTAAAAACACGCATGGGAACGGGATTTTCCAAACACACTCCAGCATGCCCGGATGCGGCACGTCATGACATGCATGTCGTGTTGCCATTCGCCAACTTGGATGCCAACACCATTCACGATGCATATTGCTCTGTTCAGTGTCAAGATTATCCTTCCGACAAGGTCACCATCTATGTCTATCAAGATGGCGGTGATGAAAAGTCGTTATTGCCACCGATTTGTGGCACCAATGCTGTGCTCGAATTGGACCCACCCGTCAAAGTATCGGAAATGACTTCCAATCAGCAAGAAGATGAAAAGTTCGAAGAAAAAGCCAAGGAGTGGGCGGAACAAGTCATGAACAATTTCGACCAGAAATTGGCGTCGAAACGACACGGTTCCGTTGCTAACGTCGTTTGCTTGAAATCACGAGAACATTCTGGACCGGGCGGTGCCAAGTACTGGGCATTTAGATTGGTCCAAGCCAAAGCAAATGCCAATGATGTCGTTGTGGTGTTGGATGGCGATGATGAATTCTATACACCCAAAGCACTCCAGATCATTAACCGCAAATACGTTGAAATGAGCGCGTGGATGACGTATGGGTCATATCATGGCAAGTACTCCGAACAAACCAAGGGCATTCCGGGCAAGTATTTGGAAGGGGGGGAAACTTGGAATCCTCGGAAGGAAAATCCGTCCTGGAGGTTTGGACATACTCGCACCTTCAAGACACACCTACTGCGGCGTGTTACTCGCAAAGATTTTACGTTCAAGGATGGATCCTGGCTTATCAAGGCCACTGATAGAGGATTTGTTTATCGCATGCTGGAAGTTTCTGGATTCGATCGAGTCGGGTACATTGAACAAGCCATTTACAAGTATAAGTGGTCCGCTTCGTCATCGACACAGGCCCAAATCCCAAAGGAAATGCGCGTAGCTCAGCTCCAGCATGTCGTAGACATGGAACCATCGAAACGAGTCAGCCTTCCGATTCATGTCATAATCGTGTGTTGGGGTCGAGTGTTCATGCTGAAGGACCAGTTGACCTGGCTGCAGCATCAAAATCTCACCAAGAATCGTCAAATTATTCTTCATTTGCTGGGAAACAATCCGGATACGAATCCAGACATCCATCGAGCAGTGAGGGAATTCAAACAGAAGCAGCAAGATGGCAAGTTTGAAGGCGTGATACCCCTACAGATCAGGATAGTGGAGAACAAGGTGAATTGGCATGCCTTTTCCAGATTTATCTACACCAACGAGCTCCGAAAGACGGAACCCATGGACCTTGTGGTATTTGTCGACGACGATCAATTTTGGTTTCCCGACTTCCTCTCTGCTCTGTTGACATACTTCAAGCCAAGAGGAATGACTACTTGGTACGGCAAGACCTTCCCCAACACTGACCAACAGACCGGGAAGGCAGATTATTGGACGTCGGGGATCCTCTGGAAATACATTATGAGAGGAGAAACAGAGCTCGCGTCTTTTACTTATGGGGGTCCCGGAGGGTCTGTGTTTGACATCAATCTCTGGTTGTTTGGACAACAGCTCATGCGACTGCAGCGAGACTTGCAGCAATACTACGAATTTGACGATTTGTGGGCGTCATACATCATTGATGCTATGTTGGGCTGGGAATTGCGCCGGTCCCCTTGGCCAGTTCCAATCGACATTGCTAATTGTGACCATCCCATCTACAATGAAACAATCTTCCCGAGCTTGCCGGAAAAGCAAGCGGCTAGAATACGGCAGATGAATGCCGACATGCAAGTGCAACTGCGAGCCGTTGCCACCTTCAGTGACAACACGACTGCCAACACAAAGTCAGGCATGTTTGACGATCTGTGCACTCGATATTACTGGCACGTGAATCGCCCCGATGGGAAAGAGTGGCGTCCCAACAAGCTGACAGTGGAGCGGTCGAATGTGATTGGAAAGTCACCGATTTTGCGCCCAATTCCTGCGGTTTCAGAACCAAAGCGGGCCTTTGTTTGCATTACCGGGCAATTTGAACGCCTTGAGCTCAAAAGCAAGATCGAGAAATTCTTTCGGTCCTTGTCTCGGGTGGGCTACAAGGTGGACGTGGCTTTGGTTCTGACTGGAGGCATGTCAACATTCACGAACGATGCACACATCAATCAGGCCGGAAGAGACAAGAGTCCTTTCTACGAACAATTTTCCAAGGCAGTGGAGGCGATTCAACAAGAGAGCAATATCACACTGATATCTCCACACGATAAGAAAGATGGTCTCTACGAGCGGCTCTCGGTAAACAAAGTACATCTTCAGTACTTGATTGGGTTGTATGAAGATCAGGTTGACAAGCGGTCGTTTGAGGCGCAAGAAAATAGGGCAGAGAATCACCCGCGCATCTACGAGAGCTATCAACGATGTCTCGCCCATGCCGAGAATCATATCGAAAAGGTGTCTTTAAAAGCGGCAAAAGCAGACCCAAGTGCAACGTTCAACCCGCCCACTCTCGAGAACTACTACAACGTCTACTTTCGGCTGCGAGAAGATGTTGGCTTCCAAAACTCATTGCCCAACAGTGTGGTCTCCAGCCTTGCAGAGCCGCCTCGCAACAGTATAACCGTCTGTTCGTGCCGTGCTTGGGGAGGGCTCAATGATCGTTTCGCCACTGTAAGCCCTGATGTTGCGAGGATCTACTTCACCCGTCCCTACAATATCTTCTCATCACAAGAAGACATGGTGGACAATTATGTGAACAATCCGGAGTCGTTTCTTCTGTATTCTTATTTGACCGCTGGAATCAATGTTTATGGCATCAAAGCTCTGAAAGGGATTGTTCGTATGTACAAAAAGGATGGTCAGGCCGCAGTGTACTCGGATGATTTGAAAAGGGAGTGGTGCCCCCCACCAAGCAATCACACGATTGCTCTTTTGCAAAACTATGGGTGGGATCTTTGATCCTACGGTGTCACCCGTCTTCCAAGCTGAGTAGTGTCCAGAAAAGAACCACCTGACAGCATATGGATACCATGCGGTTTGTACCATTGTGTCTGTTCCCTGCCATAAATGTAAGGGCTGCTAGATGGACAATTAGGGGTGTACGATCTGCACTTGAACTCGTGACAAGGTGGCTGGTTGTGTTGCAACCGCTTCCGTTACCAGGCTCCTGCGGTTTTCACAAGTCCGTGGTGTTGAATGGGATCCGTTGCAAGAGAGCGGGATCCCTTGCTAAGAAGAAATGCCTTTCTTTTCACTTCGTCCCGGTACACGATGGCTGTTTGAAAGACAAACACATACATTGTCCAGGACAAGAGCAGAAGAAGAATAGGAACAGGGCCAGAAGTAGTTGACAGTAAATACATGCATGTAGCTTCACAGAAGCAGCATTAGTAGTTAGATGTCCTGGCTAGCTGGTTCTGGATATCGCCAGCAAGACTACTATTGAAAACGACAAAAAAGGGGAGCACTTCACTTGGCTTCCTCCCCACGCAGGCATCCTTGTAAGCTGCGGTCCAATTTGTTTGCGTCATTGTCTCGTTTGTCGAATTTGCTTTTCCACGTGTCAACATCATTCCGAAGCTGGGTGTTTTCTTCGTCAGCCGCAGCATTGCAAGCTTCCTCCTTTTGATTGAGCGCCGCCCGGCAGGAAGTCAAATTCGCTTCGGCCGCTTTCTTTTCCTCCGCAAGTGTCTTAACGTAACCATTACAACCGTCACGCTCCGTCGTGGCCGCAGTGAGACTTTGAGACAATTTCTCTGATTGAGTTTTACATTCGGAAGCTGAAACGTTCGCCTTGAAAAAGTCATCTTGGCAGGTAGAGATTGTGGCAGAGAGCGTGGAATTCACCTTATCGGCTTTTGCCTTCATCCGTCCCAACGTCTCATTGCACACCTTTTCATATCCCTGCCCCAGCTGATCCATTACCAAGTCTTTTTGTTGTACTTGCGATTCCCAATGAGCTCTGAGCGCGTCTTGAGCAACCACTTTCTCCTTGGTTTTGGGCAACTCGTCTCTGCAGTTTTGGCATCCATCCGCTATCGATGCTTTCTCCTGTTTGAATTCTTCCGCCATCGATGTCTTGTCCTGTTCGAGTCTTTCCGCCATCGATGCCTTCTCCTGATTGCTCTGCACATGAAGATCACGGAATCCAACAGCATACTTCTTGCACCCAATTTGACTCTGGACAATCTCTTCGATAAGAATATTCACGCACACATTGACGGCTAGGCGGCGATCATCATTGTCCTTGATGTCGTTGAAGCCATTGTAGCATTTGCCATACCGAATATTGCTAAGAGAAGAGGAGCAACCAGATGGTGAGAGGGAGCAAGGAGTGTCGCCGTAGTTCAGCAAAAAGGATTCACAAGACTTACCACATACGCTCAATCTCCTCATCGGACAAGGGGTTTGGCAAAGGATTGTCGGAAAGAGATGTGCCAGCAGAGGGCGCTTTGTCGCTCGGGACGACATCTTGGCCGCTGGTGCCCCTTTTTCCATCGAGAATCACCAGCAACAGAGACAAGGAGAGTGTTAGAAAAGCGTTGTAGTTGAATTTAGCCGAGGATCCAGCCAGCAGACAATTCAAACCGATGGACTCACGAACTGCCAGCACCCGTCGCCGGCTCTTTGCCATCACTGCGATCGTCACCGACGAGGAAGATCTCCTCGTCGGACAAGGGGTTTGGCGAAACAACGTTGATCTCTGTGCGTGGGGTCGTTGTACTTGTAGAGGAAGAAATGTCATCATTAGGGACGTTCGCTGCTGCTGCCGTCGATTCCATGATGACTTGTTGTTGCTCCGCCTTGATCACATCATTTTGACCATGGGATCCACCAGCCTTCAATTCCACTGGTGCATATTCCACAACGGCTGGTTGCTCCTCCTCTGTAATTGTGCTGTTTGTTGTTGGGACGTTGATAGTCAATGCTTCCAAAGAAAGACAGGAAGTCGAGTTCTTGTTGGGTTTGACAACGCAAATGGCTCTACCAGACCCTTCCAATTCGCCTGCATGGAGCTCAAAGTGTTCCACAGTCACCCCATCTACAACCAAAATCAATATATTTGAGAGCAATTCATGAACCCAAGTGGTAATCATCTCGTAAAGTTCTGATACGTTCTCCATTGTCTCCTTGACAGTAGCCTGCAACAACGCCGCCATGTAGTGTCGATGAACCTGTTTCATTGTAGAAACCTCAAGGTCAAGAATCCGGCGCCGTGCCTCGTACATAGGCAACTTGGCATCATGTTCCAAAAGCTCGAACACTGCCAGCTTGAAATCGTGTGAAAGCTCGGTCATTGCATCTCCAAACTGAGTACCAACGTTGACGTCATTGCTGAGAGGCTGGTCCTTCGTCGCGACCAAAGTAGAGCCGAAGAAGATGGCAAAGGCTGCCAACAGAACAACTGGAACCAGTCGTTGTAGGCTTTGTTTCATGCTAGAGGACATCATTGTCGTGGCAAGAGCGTTCCAAGGATCGGAGAGAGAGATGAGAGATGCAGTTTGTCGGCTTCCAAAGCGAAGGAGTGTGTGGCAGTTGCCCAGGTTGGTTGTTGGCTTGTGAAGAGAATGACGTTACCCTCAACCCTACTTCAAGAAACCCGAATCGAATCAGAATCGAATTGAATCGAATCGATCATTCGATCGGACAATCGATCGGAGCCGTTCCCATTGGCATTCAGCGTCATGGCCACTCTGAGAGTGCTGTACCGGTACTACATACATGTTCCAAAGATGGGGATGGTTTGGGACGGTACAGGAGGATGAGCCCTCTGCAATACTGGTAGAGATAAGCCATCACATCATCTTCTCTGGTGTGGACAGCTTGACAGTGAACCCGAAGGAAAAAGAATTGATGTGAAAAGGACAGCCGCGGTGGCAGTCAAACGAATACAACTCTCGGACCGGCACCACTGTAATTATTGCTGTTGGATGGAATATTGGTAGGTCGAATGCCGGTTGGCCTTTTGCTGAGCAGGAGCCGTCCAGAGGCGGCTACACGACCACTCAACAATGCTTGTCTCCTCATGGCTCCTCACCATGGTCGAGACGATTGTGGCAGCATAAGAGACCTGTTGCTTACTGTTGAAGATTGAGCTGACTCGACTCGACTCGACTCGACTCGATCGTCACTCGGCGTGGCTTGTGCCATGGAGGCGGCCAACAGTTGGTGCCATAGAAAAACCGTGAAGCTATTGAAAGATGCAAAATTGAGTCGCCTGGAAGCCCTACCGGTACGTAAGACGTGGATACGGTACAGTGCAACTAAGATTTAACATCATCTTCAGGAAGGAAACCAAAGATTTAGAACTGTCTGTACTCCCTTCTGCACACATCACATCACCAACGACAGCTACAACGACACAGCAGGAAGGAAGGAGCCCAACAACGGATCTATTGTTCACCACAAGAGGAATAGAGCACCCTGAATAGTCTACCTTCAAATTTGTTGGATCTCTCTCGACTCCAGTCTAGTCTTCCATAGAAACCTGTCTGCTAGGCTTCTCGTGCTGTTTGTTTGTTGGATAGAGTGATTCCAAGCTTCAAGCTATCATAAAATACCTGCATTGCACTTTGCTGTCCCCACACCACACATCCCACCATGATCCAAGATTTGATCAACCGAGCATCCTTCCTTCAAAAATGGCAACAGAATAGCCGTGATTCCGATGGCAGCGCACTGAGCGCCCTTTCTTCGCAAGAATTCATGGGTCAAGTAGCGACCATGGCGGAAGACAGCATTAGATCTAACGGATCCAATTCCTCTTTTCACACTGCCGCAACGTCAATGGGACGGGCCGATACTAATGGAGAGGCCGATGCTTTGGTCAAGGATCTCACGAACAAGGTGGAGGGATTGGATGATGATACCGTGGTCTCGCTGACTGCCCGTGAAATTCGTCTTCTGTTGGGTCTTCCCGACAATCAGCAGCGCCAATCCGTCAAAGACTGCAGCAGGCGCAGGAGGAGCACGGAAACGTCTCTCCCTCGGCTCAGTGAAGTCGAGTCGGAGTCGTCTGAATTCAATGTTACTGGTGCATCTGTGCCACCCACGGTCATTGAACCCACTGACACCTCTAACTTGTTCACCATGTGGGACTTTACGTCCAAAGAAAAGCTGTCGGCAGATGAAATCCAGGCTGTCATGATTGCTTTGGCCGCAGAAAATCAGCAAAGGTGGGAAGGACAGGAAAATGACGGACTGGAAGAAGATGACGACATTCATAGCAGCAGACCCAGCCCATTGTCGTCACGTGAAGTTTCCATCCAATCTCTGTTATTGGATGATGACGACAGCACCAATAATAACATTGCCGAATTTCTCGTGACTCTGGGTGGTACAACAACAACAACAACATCCCAACCAGCTGCCAAACGCCACAGTCGAAAACTCAGGCGCCAGACAGAGATACGTCAATTGACAATCCAGTCCGAGGAGGAAAAGAAAACTGACGATTTAGAAGCAACAGCAATCGAGAGTTGCCCCGACATTCTTGCAGGGCGTCAAGTATCCGTCCGACCCGTGCAGGCCCATGAAGAAGGTTCTATCCTTGACGTGACCCAATTCGTCGTCACATTCAGCGACAGCAGCAGCAGCAGCACGCAGAGCACTCCTAAAGGTGAAGAAGAAGAGGTTCCGCCACCTCCTCGACCTCTCTCTTCCTTTTCTTCTCTGGCCCGTCAGCTATCTATCCAGCCTGCGCCATTTGACGGTCCCTTCTCATTCCAAGGAGGAGGAGGAGGGAATCCATTTTCGGACGAAGAGGAAACAATGCTCATGATGCCTGTGCCGGCATTGACACGCCCAGGCATGATGTCAGAACGGCAAGTGAGCGTGAGAGTTAACGGAAATCCCAAGCCTGTGTCATTTCGGGTTCACGGGCTTTGAGAATGTTGGATAGTACATGTATAATAAATAGTTACTGGAATACATGCGACTGATGGCATTTCGCCGATGGGAAGTGGTGACTTTCATGGGTGCGTAGTGATCAATCACCCAGCGATGCCATTAGACGGCATGACCAATCCATCGCGCAGCACGAAGCCCGCCCCTCCTTGGCTATCAGATGGGCTGACTGCACCGCTGGTTCGCATAAGCTCGTGTACACTGGGTGTGGTACATATCTGACAGTCACATAAACCAAGCATCAACATGCAATTTTGTATCTAATATTTATCCTAGTGGGGCGTTCCATGTGATGCCTTCTGAAATCAACAGGTATGGTACGCACCCCCCGCGAGCCCACCAGCCCAGAAAAGAACAGGAAGGAATACATCAAAAGGATTTGTTCACGACCAAGAAGGTCCTCAGGCTTGCTTGAATAAGGAATCCTAGCATTCCTTTTTGACCACGGCAGTCACCAGCACTTCTGGATCATACTTCTTCTTGACAGGAGGGTTGTTGGGAGCGCTGGGAGACACAGATTCACACTTGACACGAACCTGTCCAGTGGAAGAACTGCCACGGTTGGTGCAGGGAGATGCTGTGGTCACCGAGGATTCAAGACGTTGCTTCTTGGAACGTTGATTGTTGATATTGCCATTTCCCTGAGACTTGCTACGACCTTTGTCATTGTCATTGTGCACCAGAGGGGTAGAATGCAAAGGGGAAAAGAAGGTAAGAAACAATAATCCTGAGCGGTTAAACAATGAAATGAACCATGCGTACCCTCCGTTGCATCTCGTTTGGTTTTCTGACGAGGCTCATCAATGCCAGCGATCCCATCCCCAGTCATCTGATCTCCTTCTTCGGAAACTTTAGCTGGAGATTGTTCCCCAAAGCTTGCGCATGCATCAGGTGCTGCCACCATGGGCATTTGTTGTGTTGTTATTGTTGTCTGCACCTCCAATTCTGTGGATTCATTTTGATGGTTTTCGGCTTTCTTGGCTGCCAGCATCTTGTTCATCTTGCTCATCTTCATGAGACGTTGAGCAAGGCGTTCATTTTCAAACTGCAAATTGGAGAGCTCTGCCATGAGTCGATCTCCAGTTTCTTGGCTATCCCGTAGCGCTCTCTCACACGTATTCAGTGCTCTCTCACCCGTATTCAGTGCTCTCTCAAAGGTATCCAGTTCTCTGATAACAGTATCAACCTGGGCCTTCAAACTCTTTTCTCGGTCCTTGCTCTTTGTGAGCTCTTCCGTCAGAGCATCCCTACTAGCGAGGACGGTGTTGAGTTGCTCTTGAGACTCTTTGAGTTGTGATTCCGCTCGTTCCTTGTCAGCCACCGCTGACTGATTCTGTCCTTGAACATCAGCCAGCTTCGAATTCGCCTCACTACGTTGAGCACGGGCTGCCTTGAGTTCTTGCTGGACGTTCCCAAGCTGTGAGAGTGCCTCATTCCGTCCATTTTCCGCAGATTGGAGCTTGGTTTTGAGATCATCCTCGCGAGCACAGGCGTCCTCCAGCTGTGACCGTAACTCCTTCCGTTCCATCTCAGCAGCGTCTTCCACAGCTGTGGCTCCTTGTCGTCGCTGTTGTTGCTCCCGTTGCCCTCCAACTGAATCATCGAGATTGACTGTAGGGTTGTCTTCCAGCTGTTCAACGTTCGCTGCTACTTCCTCTGCCTGGCGCCGCTGTGCCTCTTGCTCCACTCCTGCCCGACGCTGTTGTCGTCGCTGTGCACTCTTCGTCGCGTCTTGTGATTGATGCCGCTGCTGGTGCTGGTGCTGGTGCTCTGGGACAAGCAGGTGTTTCAACAACATGGCAGCACTTTCAATGAAATTGTCCATGCATTTTTTCTGCGTTTCGCGCCGATTTCGGGCTGTGTCCACCTCCTCCAAGTCGCGCTGCTCCTGTTTTAGTTCTCGATCCTTCGGCTTTTCTATGCCTGAGAGTCGCAAATCTGGGACCAGAGTCTCGCTGCCTAAGCAACGGCTTCCATGCCTTGCAAATTCTATGAACACGTCTTGTGTTTCCTTGGGCACATCTGCCATCATTTCCTCGGCCTTGGCCTTGACGTCAGCAACAGACTTCAAAGAGGAACAGAGCATTCGGCACAAGAACGCGAGCATAGGCTCATCCATCCATGTCAGGTAAAATAAAGCCAATTGTGTGTCTCCTCTCATCCAAGCACCGACTGTTTTGTTTTGCATAGCTTCCTTCAACACTGTGAAATCAGCCCTATTCAGTCCTAAAATGTGGTTTTCTGGATCTTCTTGAACGCGTTGAAGAAAATCAATTGACATGGCCAAACCTTTACCCCTCCCAAATTTGCGATAGCCCCATCCTTCGATTTTGGCATAATCCCAAGCCTGTGGTGGCAGCATCAATTTGTCAGCCTGCTCTGCGATTTTCTTGAGTAGGCTGATGAGCCTTAGTCGCAATTCATCCATTTTGGCTGCTTCGCCATGACAGAGTGCCTCAAAACATCGCATGCCCAAAGAAAGGCATTCACCGACCAGTGCATTCCTGCTGGGCTTTTCGGACTTGAATCCGAGTGGTTTCCATTTGTGTTGTCCGACGACCTCTCGCAGCCAACGTAGTTTGTTGTCGTCGCTCTCTTCCTGCAACTGATTGCAAACAGAGAATATTGTAGCAATCTTTCCCAATCCCTTTGTACCAATCACGAAGAAATTCGTGGTGATTAAGTGAGGAACTTCCTTGAGGAAAGCAGAGAGGATGAATGTCCGCAAATAATGATCCGCAATTTCGCCTTCTGCTATCTTTTTCACTTGTTCGCTTGTGTCCAGAAAAGCCATGGCCATCTTGTCCAATGTCGTTCTCGACAGACCATCATCATTGAGGACTTGATACCATTTAGCTCCCAGATGTGCTGGTAATCCTGGCCATTCCTGGGCCTCTGCACACATGTTGAAGGAAATGAAGCGTTTGCTGCTGTCGAAAAACGAGAGCGTAGATTCAGCGGCAGCATCATCGACAGCGTCATCGACAGCGGCAGCGGTTTCGGCTTCGACGTCAGCTTCATCCGATACAAGCTGATTTTGAATTCGAATGGATTTTCGTGGTGTCATGGTGAGGAAAGGACAGCCTCAGCAGGAAAAATCGTCCACGGCGTTGGTTTGCTGGTTTGGGAAGGAATGGGAGAGAGGCGACCGTTTCCTGTTGCTGTCAAATCCAACCTCCGCCAACCCACACCAAAGATAGTTCGCCGCACCAACGAGGAGCCAAGGCGAGAGGATCTTTCGCAACAGCGAGGAAGCGAGGGGCAAATCTTTCGGCGAAAAACGAGCGGAGTGCAGACTGTACCGGTACAGGTTAGGGGTAATTCACGGGATTCTTGGCTGGACCCGACTCGTCACTCGACTCGACTCAAATTCGTACCACCAAAAGAAGCCGCTCCCTTCCACTTCTGCAGTGTTGAAACCTCTTATAATGGCATGTTATCATAATGGCGTCCAAAGCTTATCTGATGGTCTCAAAGCAAGGGTAGAGGTAGAGAGCTCTGAAGAATTGAAAGGAGCCTTTTGGCTGCAGTTATCTCGTCGCTCCAAGGAGTCTCCACATTCTTGGAGCGGATTGTGAGATGTGATCGCGTTGTCACATCGAGATCAACCTCAACCCTAATGAAGATCTACCTCGTAGCGTAATTCCCCTCTATTTTAGTTCATACCTTTACGTCGAACTCCCCACCATGTCATCCTTCACATCGACCTCAGTTCGTAGGTTATGAGCCCAAAGCGTCATCGTTCTCGCAGTGAAGATATCGCGTAGTGTAGAGCAGGGCGAAGCCGT